GGCCCCTCCCCCTCAGCCCAGCCAGGGGAGCCTCCCCTACAGCGAGTCCAGTCCGGACCCCCATCTCCAAACCCTCCACGGGCTTGCTGGTGATGATGCCCCCAGCGACAGGACCCAAACCTGTGGGCAAAGTCTCAGCTATCCCCCCTCTCAGAGCTCTCAGGTGGGCCAACACACACAGACTTACACCCACACACACACACCAACTCAACTGGAGTTTAGGCAGGCTTATTGATTCTGTCTTTGCTCTTTACTCTAAAGAAAGTCGGGATCATTGAAGGGTCATTCAGTTTTTTTTTTTGTTTTTTGTTTTTTTAAACCTGGGGCCTAAATGAATCTTAATGAATAAAGGTACAGAATATTTCCAATCTGCAGCTGTAGATTTGCTCCAGCCTGCAGTGAAAAAACAAGCTGTACTGGCTGGAATAAAACCCCTGCAAGCGAATTCTCCCGGTCAGAGTACATTCACTATAAGTTCTTCTCTTCGCCCTCACAGACTCACAGATTCTGGAGTTTATTCCCTGTAAGTATGTGAGTGCTAAGTGCTGTCCCTCAGGCAAAACTTAAAGTGTGTGAGTGCCCCGATGCAAACTTTTCAGCGCCAAATAACTGATCCGCTTAGACTTAGCCACGGGACGTATTCAAAGTTCATTACAATCTTGTTTGAACATAAAGGACACAATTTTCGAACCCTTTCCGAATCAAAATCAGCCAGAAAAAAAACACAAATAACTTAATCTGTAAGTGACAACATGGAGTTCAAACTCCTTGTGTTTAAGTTGAGCCTTGTGTATTCTTCCAGCCTCAGGCAGGCCATGAAATCAAGCTCAGCATAGCTGATTTTTAACACTTAAAGATATCAGCTGACACATCAACCAATAACCTTCACTAAAGCCTCCTCTGTTCTGTCTCACTGTATCTTTGCTGCTGCTCTCCCTGCCTGTGTTTTGCATGTATGCACATAGAACAGAGGGGGAGGTGTGCTCTCCCACCTCAGGCTTACGCGTTACTCTCTCTCCCTCCCTATCTCTCTCTGCGATATAAATAAACATTAATTGTTTGGTTGATTGATATATGTTGCACATGGATGTGCAGGGAGCTCGCAGAACAGAGCGGTACCACCAAATTCACCTTATTACACATAAATAATTTGTTTTCTGTGATGAAGGTGATTCTGTCTGACTGTAGGTTCTGGTTAACTCCTGACTTGATAAATTTATAGAGGTAGACGAGCAGCTCCCATGCCCTCCACTGTTTGTCAATGGAGTGTGGTTGCATTAAAGCTCTTGTGAGGAGTTTTCATCTGGTCCTGAGATTGACTGAAATTAACACTGAAGCCTCTGTATGACCCAGGAAAGCGAATCAAACCATCAACATGAATATTTGTAATTTCTTTACAGTTGTTTTTAAAGCTTGAATCTACTGCTGTATTAGATGTAGTTATAACATCATGTAAAAAAAAATCCCTTATTCACGGTTAGTAGTTTTAAGACAGCAGGACATAATCTTTTTTTGAAAACTCTACTTACATGGACAGCAAAGAAATACAGTATGTAGAAACAACCTTGTCCACTTAAGGGCACTAGTGGACAAAAGGAACTTCAACTATAGTGATGAAGCAGCTGTTTCTGGTTAAAATTCATCTTTCCTTTCTCTGTAAAGATTGATTTTGTAATGTAATCAGACACCGAGAATAACGATCTGAGGCTACCAGTAACTGAAACAAGAACTTCTATTGGAAATCCTTTGAAGTAGTGATAGTTAACATACCAGCCGGCTGGAGCTATCCTGAAAAGTCTTCTACTTTTTCCATCCTTCACATCCAAGAATAAGTGAAAATAAGGCCCAGAATCAAAAATGGAGGCACCTTCTTGCAAGTTGTTTATTGTCCGTGTTTGAAGGTGTTTTATGATCTCCCTTTAAAATACTCCCTCACAATACCCCTCTGTTATCACTCCGTACTGTCCTCCAAAAACAAAGTTTAAAGGCAGTGCAGCAGGGCGTGGACTCTGGTCCTCCTCCTCACCATTAAATTTTCATAGTTCCTACTTGAAGTGATGGACCCTGGTCTTAATGCCTGTACCGACTGTCTTCAGATGCAGAGTCATGCTTTTAGCTCCGTGCAGTTTATCTGTACATGTAGTAAAAGTCAGGCAGAGAAAGCTCAGGGGAACTGTTCTCAAGGTTTTATGGTTCCTCTTCTCCTATAATCTAACAGATGGATCAAAATGTCTCTTCAGTACATCTGTTTCTCCCCGGCAGAGCTAAGCCCCGATCCCACAACAGATTTGATACTTAAAAACCTGCTGCTGCTGGAACTCAGAAATAAATTTAGACACTGATTGATCTGGAGAAATCTGTATCAGACCTTACAAATCCACAACAATATGTGTTTTCTGTGTTCAAAGAGGTTTTCAGCAACACATGCACAGCAAAAGGAAAAAAAGACATTCAGATAATATAAAAATAAATCTGGAACACAATTACTGCAAACTTTTTGAGAGACAAGATGGTGCGGAGCAATCTCTCGCCTCCTACACAAACATCATGACTACAAAGCCCTGTGGAACTTTTTAAATATGGGGGCTGCAATGACTGTGATAATGATGAGAGAATAAATCCTGTACCATCCTCGAGATGGTGGAGCGTCTTGTAAATATCAACACATGTTGTGTGTTGACTGGATTGCCCATGTGAGTCTTTCTATGTAGGACAAAATAAAAGAAAGCAGAGGAGTGAGGTGCGGGGAATACAAATGCAAATACTGCTCAGTATGAAGTATGTAACATATGTGCATGCAAAACAAGGAGTAACCAACCAACTAGTTCTTTGTTTTTGAGGGCACAGTTTACTGGTCTAGAATTTTTGCTAATTCTACAGCAAAACTGCGATCTATTGTTTTCAATAAATGATATGAAATATCTGCCAAATATGAAACAAACAGAACAAATTAAATACTGATTGAATGGCATCCACCAAAGCCTAACAACAATAAACCTTGGTGGTAATGGAGGTTATCCACTGTCAGTGGACACAGGCCCTCCACACCAGCTAACCCTAGACTGAAGTTTCTTTAAAAAGGCCTGTTATCCACCAAAATACTCAGATGAATATGAATAATTATAAGCATTTGGTTTTCTTTCCCTATTGTCCATAAAAATTGAGCCTGCAGTCTTTATATTCAAAATGTAGCTCAATAGATTGACTAAAGATTGCTGTAATGAGGCTTACATAAAACTGTAAAAATGAAAAGGGGCCAAAAGTCAGTCTTTTTTAAAATAGTTTTCTTCATTATTTCATGTATGTTGTAGTTGTTTCTTGCATTTTTACCTCATTCATATTGTAAATTTGCAATTAGAAAGTGCTAAACTGTCAATCTGCGGCCATAATCATACAGAACTGTGTCAGGCGAACCATCTTCAGTTTAGTGTTGCCGTTTTAAGAAACCAGGTCACAGTTCTTGTTTATTTTGTTGTTTGTGGTAATTTTTTCAGAGTTTTGGGGAACAGCGTGGCTCTCTGGCACAGAGGATGAAGTTATCAGGGTGTGAAACTCTCAGATTTCTTGTTCGGGGAAAAGCTCGGCGCTGGTTTTGGGATTTGTTGACAGAAGGATACAGAATATCTCTGTTTTTTCTTCACCTAGAATCTCTTTTTCTTTTCCTTTCTCCTTGCAGACCGGTCCCAGGTGCCAAACCAAACACAGCCTCGCCTCCACCACGAAAATGACCTTCTCCTCCCCCGTCCTCCCCCCCCTGGAGGAGGTAGCGACTGACAGCTTATTTGCACTAAAGAGACTTTGGCTGGAAAACCACAGAGCTGTCGCACACACCCGAGGAGGACAAACACAAAGTTGAAACCAGAGACGCAAAAGTTCAGACTTCAAAATGAAACCTTCCCCTCCTCACCCTCCTCACCCCTCCCTCTCCACCCTCCTCCTCCTCCCAGCGTGCTCACATTAACCACAAACGACGCGGTTTTGCACGGAGGCCTTGCAGACTGAGACAAGTGTCATCGCTGGGGGGCGGTCACATTTGCCAAATGAGTTTTTTTTAGGATTATTAATTGTGTTTTTTTAATCTGTTAAATCTGTCTGTGTTAAAAAAAAATGCTTTTTGTATTGATTCGTCTTGTTTACAGCTTGTTTTATGTCTCGTTTTATGATTTGTGTTCTGTGCCAAAGAGGTCTCTTCATTCCCGGGGTGTGTCCACAGCGCGTGGAGATCCGTCACATCAAGTTTACCACGACTCCTCCATCTTTTTTTAGGTTTTATAATTTATTGTATTGTAAGAGGAATGTTTTGAACACAAATCTGGAGCTACAGAAGCCTATCAGAAGGAAGGAGAGCCAATCCCACAGCAGCTTCTTTTCTACACTGTTTACATGGTGGAGGATTCGCAGGACACGCCCCGGTCACTCATGTTGATTTGAATGTCTTTTGCCGTGTGTTATGACTTTTGAATTGTTACATAAAATATTTTTACAAAACTATCAGCAAGTTTCTGCAATTCTGTCTATTTTGCATGAAAACCTGAAAGAAGTCTTGAGGACGAGAGAGGACTAGAATTTCAATAAGGTGCTGGTTCAAGTCAGGTAACATGCATCGACTCTAAACATTCAATCTGCTGCAGCACCTGGAAGCCTTTCATTAATCAATCAAAAACTAAAAACAAGTCACAAGTGATGAGGAGTTTTTATCCTGTAGAAAGAGTTCAGTTATGGAGAACCTTTTTAATGACCCAAACTATTTCAGTTCCTCAAGAATGAGAAAGAATAAATCATTTCTTTGTTTAAATCAGTGGTTAGTTAGGGGTTGCATAATGAGTAAATATTGTAAACGTTATTCACAAATCATACAGCCCACCTCCTCCATGTTAACAGATGAGACATGGCTCAAACAAGAAATTCACACGACACAAACAAATAAATGTTTCTCAAATGTCGTTGCTTTCATAATAGTTCTTATAATGGATATTTAGATCCAACAGTGAATTTTTCTGTCAGGTTTGGTTTAATTCAGCCATTTGATGCTAAAAAAGGGGAGGTGTGGTGTCATGATTGACGGCTGCGTTGACCAATTAGGCGCCTGCAGCATTGTGCGAACTGGATTATCATAGTAGCAGAGGAACAGTCACAAGAAGAGTCATTAAACTTCTTTTTCTTCAACAAAAGTAATAGGTATAGGCGTTTATGTAAGACTTTGATTAAAAGCACTCAACTCATCCTCTTAATGGTCTTTATTCTAGCGCTCCTCTGAGACAAAGACTCATCTGGTTTCTCCATGGAGTCAGATAATTCTATAGTTCCTCTCTGATGAACAAGTATGAAAGCTTTACATCACGGGGAGTCTCCATTCTCACCTGCTCTTAATGGATTCACTCTGTTGGAAATGAGATATCTGGAAGCGGCTCTCTGCTCCCCGGAGACTAATGCTTTCAGAGTCTGCGGTTCGACTGGACCGCTATTGGACAGCAAGGAGGAATGGGCTCTTGGGGAGATTTATTGATGTAGACGTTTTCCTAGCCCATTACCAAGACGCCCTGGTGCCCAAACAAACCTGTGGGGTGGATTCTGCTCCAGACTGTAGACGTGATCTTAATGAAAAGAGATGATATTTTTTTCAAGATGGCTGTCTATAAATCTGGCTCTGTGTAGCCGCGGGCCTGAAGGAGCTGAATGAATACACTAATGTTTTTCCTCAGGCTGGTTTTCAGCGGCTGAGACGCATAAATGAAATGAAGGATTATAAAAGCAGCAGCCTGTCAGGTTTGGATGTCACCTGTGCTGCAGTACAGCGTGGTTTAACATCAATTCAAATATACACAACAGCCATTCTCCCCTGACAGGACGCTCAGAGTGACAGAAATAAAGACGCGCTGTTATATTCAAGGTCTGAACACAGTATGAATGAGGAAAATCTAGCAAACTGACGCAACTTTGTACCTTTTGGCAGAAAGTCCACAAAATGACTGGATTTAGCAAAAAAAAAAAAATCATTCAAATCTGATTCACATGTGATAACAAAGAGGACACAATCAGCTAAACCACTAAAATTCACACAAATCATTTTTTATGCACAAATTGTTGGTTTGGAATTTGTTGCTTATGGAAACATACTGTTATCCTACAAGACAAGTCATTATCTTGTGGGAACAGATTGTCTTTGGCATATCAACTGTAATTTGTGATACATCAATCATCTTGCACACAAGTTATTTGTTTGTTGGGACATGTTATGAATTTGTTTGTGCAAGATAACTTTCTTGTGGGAAAATACTTTACTTTAATCTGATGTGCATCGGTTGTTGTCTTGTGGAACAACATAATTATCTAGTGGGAACAAGTTATCTTTCTGTGGGTAATGATTTCTATGCACATGATAATAACTTGTTGGCACCTGCGACTACAAGACAAGAAAATGAATAATTTGATAACTCATGCCCATGAGATAGTTAGGCTACCTGTAGGTCAGTTATTTTGAAATGTCTCATGAGGATAATCTTTTATCTTGTGCACCCAAGATATTCATGTTACCTGAAGACTGTCCACACAAGTTTTTTTCTTCTTCTGTGCAGTTGAATATGTATATTTGTTCACATAAGGCTAAAACATGTTACTATTGGAACTTCTTGGGCTTTGTTGAATTCACTGGGCTAGGTCCAAACCATAGACTATAGAATAGTATATACAGTGATGGTCCAAACTATAAAAGATTTGTTGCTTCAAAATTAGCATCCTACAAAAATAAAAACACATCTACATCATTTTGGACTGAGGGTTGAGTTAAGTCACATCTGCATTTTAACCTTACTTAAATCACAAATCAATAATTAAATCAATAAAAAAGGACCTTAGTAAACTTCTGTACTCTTTGGCTATTTCCGGTATTACTTGACCAAACGTAATTCTAGTCAACGGCCGCGGGAAACACACGAACGCAGAATGGAACTACACTCGTAGGTTTACAGACGAGTGTTTAAATGTTATCATCTCTCTGAAAGTGAAACGCCATGGTTATTTGTTTTAGATGAAAACTAGCTGATTGCTGGACCATCTGAGACAACGCTAATTTCAACAGGTGTGCCTGATTTAGAAACGAGCTTCAGTGAGAGAGCGTCACTTCAACCTCCAGCTCGCCGCGGTAAGTAACGTGAATATATTACCTGAAAAACAAAACAGGGGCTGTGTAGCTTGATACATTTTTAGTTTATGAGTAGACACAACGCATTTCTTCATCTCGGCTTACATTAATGCAATGTAAACATTTAATTTATTAAGTGAACTCTACTATAAGACCCACGAACTTTACTTCTGATGTGTCCTTAATTAGCATATTTTTGAACGGAGTTTGGGCGGCAACGCCACTCTCTTGGATTTTCACAATTACAGCGTGTCTGGTCGAAATTGAAGGACAATGGAGGGTACAATTGTGCATCAGTACAATTGTATTGAGTAATCCTAAATTTATTGCATTTCTGCCGTGGCTTCTTCTAAAAAAGTAAGCTAACGTCTGAAGTGGTCTCAACATGTCGCCGGACGCACTACGTCCTTACGTCACTTCAGCTACAAATGTTAAGTGTCATGAACAATGTAAAAGTAAGCTTATAACAAGGCGGAACAATTATTTGCAGTATTTATGTAGCATTTTCAATGTACATTACTTTTAAAATGTTAGTTATAATTTGCAGCAAATTGTTTACCCAATCCTGAAAATCAACTAGTCAAAACAGATCACAATAAATGAAGCTCAACTAAGAGTTGGCATTACAACTACTCTTCAGTATCTGTATCTAAACTATTGAATTATTATTAAACACACAGTAGATAGTATTGGCTGATCTCAAGAAAAGTTTTTTTTGTATTGGTAACAAAAGCCCCCTATCTGTAAAAAGTAATATTGTGGCTTACTATCTTAAACAGGACATATCTGAAAAAATATGTTTCTTTGTAAGATTTAGTCAAAAGCTTTCAGACCTAAGTTTTACCTGTGACAGATAATACAGCCCAAGTGCCTTAAAAGTTGTGAAACTGTTTGGAACGTAAATAGTTTTAATGCGCTGAAAAATCCTAAAATCACAATGTGCTTGAGTTTGGTACCAACTGGCACCACCCACTCAAAAATATGCAAGACCAGTGCAACCAGACAAGGATTAAAAATTGTATGTTATCTGTTTTTAATTGTTTGTTTGTAATTCCTGTTTTGCAGCTGTGTTTGCAGACATGAGGAGCTCCATTACACAAAGTCAAGCCACAACGCTCCTGCACAACAAGTTTGTGGTGGTTCTCGGTGACTCAGGTGAAACATAAGAAGAAAAGCTGATTTGTGATCTTATCCTCAGGCATTCAAGACCCACTAATCATGAGTATAGCCCCGGTCTCCCTGATTGTTTTGAACTCTAGAATAAAATTTTCTCTGAAATATTTTTGCAGAAATTTTACTGACATCTCAGCAGCTTTTTTCAAACCTATAATTGTCCACTCTCTTCCTCCTCATCCTTTCATTTTCCTCCATTTCTGATTGTTTTTAAGATTTGTCTTCTTTTTTTCAGTGCAGCGCGGCATTTACAAAGACCTGGTCCTGCTGCTTCAGACAGATCAGTTCCTGTCATGGCCCCAGCTGAAGTCCAAGGTGAGTCTTTGCACAAGTTTGAGACACTCAAATGGCTAAATCACAGTCTTCATCTCTTTTTTTTTTTAACCCAAATGGAAATCAGGGTGCTATTGCAGACCTTGATAGAAAAAAGCGCACACCTGACAACAGTTGAAAATTTGACTGCACATGGTAAGAGCAGAGTCCCTGCAAACTCTGCCACACCTGTTCTGAGCTACTGAAATTGTCTGGATGTAAAAAGAAGCTGAAGCCCAAAGTTCAATGTCTCTGTCGGTGTCCCAGGGCGAATTCTCCTTTGAGAATGACTACCTTGTGGAGGGGGGTCAACTGGATCGCATGAATAATGGCACAGAGTACAAAGAGGTTCGTCAGTACCAAGCAGACCACCACCTGGTGCGTTTCTACTTCCTGACCCGGATCTTCTCGAGGTACATGAAGAGCATCCTGGAGGACCTCAAAGGAGGACTCAAACCTGACGTCATCATCATCAGCTCATGTGTGTGGGACATCAGCAGGTAACACAGCTCCATACGATTTCTGCCTCTGAACACTGAAGATAGAGAGGGAGGGATTGCAGGGAGATGACAATAGACTGACTGAAGTGATAACAGCGGCCTGAATGAGGAGGAAGATGTGAGATTCACTCAGTGTGATTAAAAACACGAGGTCATGCTCCTGTCTTAAAGGGGATGACAGAAAAATGACCCATCAATGGATTTGAAATTTGATTCTCAGAAGCAGCAGGTTTGGTAGATGTCTAACTTGAGTCTATTTAAAGCCTTAAAAATAATCATAAGAAAATAAAATTGGTCCTAAAATGGACAAAGTCAATGCAGAGGCTAAAAGCAGTGAAAAGTTGTCATGCATTCATTTCTTTGTTAACAGAGATGCAGCGCCATTTTGCACAAGCTGGAGATTTTGCAAAAACAACTGATCCAACAAAAATCCAGAGAATCACAGAAACTTTACTGTGGGGTGTTGACTCTTTTGAAGTCATTTGAACAGATTTAACCTTTGCGAAAGGGCTGGGCTTCTAAAAACTGATTTTAACAACAGAGCAGATCTGTTTGTCCAATTTGACAAACCCTCAAAACTAACACCAACTTTTTTACAGACTGACATTTGTGACAAACTTAAGGGCTTACAGTTGCAGGACAACAGCCACAATCTTAATTTTTTAGAAATTTCTGTCCAGCTGGCTGATCAACTTCATTAAACAATCATGCCTTTGAAATGTACGTAAAGGTGTCCTTCAGGGTTCCATACCAGTACCTGTTTTATTTTTATTATCGGTTTATGTAAAAATGTTCTTGGTGCAAAGCTTTATTTTCAGAGTAGACTATAGATTATAAACTATAGTGCACAGGTACAGGATAGAACAGGTTAATTGTAATTTTGCGCGGTGCTTCTAGACTCGGCTTTGATGAAGTTCATAAAAGACGTACAACATTTTAAAAAGAGGAGACAAAATTCATAAAACTGCATTTACAGAGTGCAGGAAAAACCAAAACTATCTTTTTTTCTTTCTTGCAAAAAGAAACCAGAGAAAATCCAAAGAATTGATAATAAGCGCCTTTTTTCCACCTTTTGTAAAGTGAATATCATCGCCCCAGGCTGCTCACAGGTTGTTAAAATTGATTATTTGGTTCTAGTATTACTTGTCAGAATTAATATGATGCCTTTTTCAGGTCACAGAGAGAGCAGTAACATTTGAGGTGATTAAATTCATTAGATGATTGAAATTTTATATAAACACACATACTGCACTTAATCTGGTATGAATTCCTGCACATTTTATATTGTAATAGAAATCAAAGAAACAGAAAAGATGCGTATTATCATTGTGGCTGTGACATTATTATTTACCAAAATAGTGCCACCTTGAGTGCGTGCTCATATTCCCAGCTTGTAACTTAAATGCGTCTCAAACCAGCTGCGGAGTCTCAGGTGCGTGATGTTTGAACTAATTCATCTTTATAGAATAGGAGGACCATGTCCTGTCCTGCGTTGTTTTCACCGTCCATAAAAGAGGTAGTTTTAAATTTACTGAATAGTTTAATGGAGCTGGTGTCACTCTCTTAACAGCTAAAGTCTCTTCAGAGGGCTCTTGATAGATTATTCATTATCTGTCTTCTGTTTTTCCTGACAAGCTCTTATAAAACACCATGAGCTGTCACAGTCAAACCGCCTCAGCCTCAACACACACACTTGGCTCTGCAGCATGAAAATGATCACCTGCACAGGGTCTGCATGAAAATGACAGCCATCTCCTGAGGGGACCGTTTCTAAAGTTATCCCTTTGAAAGATATATTTTTTACCTGCCCTGTCTGTTACTTCACTTCCTGGACCTCCGCTCGTTTGTTTGGTTCAAGTTTCATTAAAGCTGAGTTGTGCTCAGGCTCAGATAAAGTGAGCGGGACAAGAGTGTGTGATTAATTATGTAGAGAAAACATGAAGCAGCTGCCACCAGAGGGAGAATCAGAGAGATACTCCATCCTGTTGTTCTTGTTTTCTGATTGCTCCCAAACATTTCCACTCCTTCCTCAGAGGGGGGAAATTTCAGTAAATGTCAGGAATTAGAGCAGAAGTGTAATGATGGACTGTAGCTGAACGGTGCAGAGCTCTTTCAGTGGATTCACCGCCTACAGTTTTATACTTAATCCTTCATTGAGTTCATGTGGGAGTTGGTGACAGCGGCAGTTTGTTTGCATTTATGTCAACACTCAAGTTTTAATCCCAACTAAAGAAAGTCTGATACGTTTGATTGAGAAGAAGAGTAAATGCTCCCATTTCCTCGAAAGGAAAATTTTGAAAAAAGTGAAGCAAAAGACCTTGAAACCTGAATAGTGCTCTTCTTTATGACTGCTATTTTAGTTTCAGGCAGGACCAACAAACATCTAATGGCCTAAAGTGCAGCTCTTACTCTTTGCACTTAAGCACAAGCTAAACAATACAGAATCCAAATGTTGGTACCTTTAAGACGTCTCCCCCATTTTCCTGAGAAATACAACATTATTGTGTCTAATTAAGAACCTTGTTTTAGGGTGTCAGGGGAGCTGTCCGTCAGTCTACGTCCGTCAGTCTACATCCACAGTCGTTTTAATGAGAACAGGAAAATGATAGCAGATCAAATCTAACCGTTAACAGTGTGTGATATACAGTATAATAATAATACATTTTATTTTAAAAGCGCCTTTCTGGACACTCAAGGACACTGTACAATATAAAATAATGGAGGATATTAATGTCTCATTATCTCATACTATGACATCTGTTGCACGACCTGATGTATTTTATTTTGTGAACTAATTCAGAAACATGTTTCTGGCAGACATAACCACATAGAGCAGATCATAAGGAGCTTGAAATGAAAGATGTTACTGAGCTGTTATATTTTATAGAATGCAAAAAAATATGTGTGTATATATACTGTATATATCAGCATTCTGTATAAGCCATCATTTTACCTGCGTTGTAAATCTTGGCATCGTATTGGCTGTTGAAAAACCCAAATCAGTCTTGAAATGATTACTGAGAACCAGTACTTTTTGATACAGGTAACAAAGATACTGTTAGGCTCAGGGACAAACTATCCTTTTGGTATTTTATGATTGCTGCTGCCTTACTCATCTCATCATGCTTTGATTACTGTAACAGGCTTTGTACCTGTGTGAACAAAAAACATGTTGATTGACTCCACACAGTCCATATCTCAGCCGCTAGGGTTTTAACTGAAACCTGAAAACATGATCAGATCACTCCTGTTTTAGCGTTTTCACCCTGGCTTCCTGTATGTTTTTAGAAATTATTTTAAGACTTTACTGACTACTTGAAAAGCCCTCTGTGGCCTGTCTCCCAGTTACATATCAGACCTGCTAGTACCGTATGAGCCCACTCGTACATTGAGATAAAACCAAACTGAAAACTGTGGGGGATGGAGCTCTGAAAACTGGAACAATCAGCGTGAGGAGAGCAGGTCAGCTGAGTCAGTGATCTCTTTTTAAATCCCTTCTTAAAACACACTCTTATTGTAGAGCTTTTCCTGATTTAACTATTTTTAACTGTTTTAAATTTATTTTTGGATCTTTCCTTGATTTTTTTTTTGTCTTCTTTGTTTTATTTGCTGCCCTTGTAAAGCAGTAGCTACACTTTAAGTCCATTTGGGCACCTGGAAAACATCCAGTACTTTTACATGTTACTAAAAAAATGGATTTATTATGTTTTTAAAACTGATATTTAACATATGTGTAAAAATATTAGTCCAACTGAAATCACACTTGATCAAGTTTGTGGTATTTGGATTAACACACATAAATTATGCAAATGGGGATCGATTTTCTCATCCATGTATACGCCTCAGTCGGACTGGAACTGGCCTAAGCCTTCTGAGCGTGTGCTGGGATTTGCATGGCAGGCTTTGACCTGGAGGTTGAACAGCATAGATGTGTAGGAAGCTGAGCAGTAAATAAAACCTACACAGAAGAAGAAAAGATAAAGATGTTTTACGTATGTCAAGTACAGTGATGCATCTATTAAGACAAGTCAGGTTTAACAGTTTTTTATTCCTTTGCTATTCCTTGGTGTCAGGTACGGATCAGGGAGCCTTAATCAGTACAAGGAGAACCTCCACGTGTTCTTCAGGGAGATCCGAGACATCGTTCCTCGAGACTGTCTCATCGTGTGGAACCTGGCCATGCCTCTTGGCAGCAGGATAAAGGGTGGATTCTTGGTGCCTGAGGTGAGTATCTCTCAGCATCCAACCAAACACTTCAACACCTGGTCTCACTCAGAGGCAGTCCCATCCACAGAAGAGAGAAAGGCATGAATATAAAATAGCTGCAGGGATGAGGAATAAGAAATGTTCTCATGAAATGATTCTGCCTTTATGCTTCTTTTCTCAGTCTTTGTTTAAAAAAACAAAACAAAACCTGGATTATCTGTCTCTGAATCCCACAGGTGAGTCACCTGGCCCCCTCCCTCCGCAATGATGTCATTGAAGCGAACTTCTACAGCTGTGTAACTGCAGAGGCCTACAATATGGACATCCTCGACCTGCACTATCACTTCCGGCGCAGCCTGCAGCACCGCATGCCAGACGGCATCCACTGGGACTCGCTGGCCCATCGACGCATCAGCGCCCTGCTGTTGCAGCACATCGCTAATGCCTGGGGGGTCACCCTGCAAGACGTCCCCTCCATTCAACGACAAGTTAAAGGTAAGAGCACAAGCACAGACTCACCCATTTTTGTTTGAAATGTTTTTTTGTTTTCTGTTTTTCAACATGCTGCATCTTGCTGTTTCCATCTATTTTTAGAGAAGCTCAGAAAACAAATGTGATTCTCTCCTCCAAACTTTGCTGCAAACTGCATCACTAATGGTGTAACGTAACATAGGCCCTGGCTGCAGTCCCACTTTTGTTGAGTGCAAAATTTCCACTGAGGTTTGATCCTGAAAGATTTCTAAACCGAAAAGTGGAACAAAAAAGGCGCTGATTGAATCCCCAAATCTCAGAAGTTTAAACCTGTTCCAAGTTTATCCCCAAGCCTTTGAGTGCTACAAGTTATAATTTATTGACTCTGTGATTTGTTGTGCTTTACAGCTGAGAAAAACTGTAGTGGCTCCAAAAAGCTCAATTCTACTTTATACAACCATCTATGACACACAGTAAATGTTTCTTTTCTGTATTATGACCTTTGGTGGGGTTTTCAGAGTTTTTAAAGCTGTGACCTGTTTTTAATATCTTGGTGAGGCAGGAATCCACACAGATGTGTGCTTTTGTTCAGGCTGATCAAAAAAGACTTATCCACTTTCACTGACCCTCTGCGCACTTCATAAATGTTTGCTCAAGCAATACTAGAAGATGATGACATAGAGGGGATTGTGGTAAAAGGCAGGGAACATAAGATAGCTGTATGCGCGCATGATGTCTTGTTGTTTGTACGCAACCCTGATGTTTGTCTTCCTATCCTGTTGGATCACCTCACCAAACTTGGCAAATATTCAGGGTCTAAACTTAATATCCAAAACACAGAGACATTAGCATTTGATTACTAGGGGTGGGCCAATGCATCGATTCTCTTGATGATTGATTACGATTAACAAATGTTCAAAAATTGATTATTTCCCATGATAGCAAAATTACAGAAACACCAGGAATTTGTCCAGAACAAAAAAAAGCCACCCTGACAACTTTAAGGGGCGAAGTTATTAGAGTGTTAGCTAAATGGCTGGCTACTGTCACTGAGCATCAGGATCACATTTTGGGTTTGAAATCCAGCGTGTGGAGGCATTTCTTGTGGAGAATTTAATCCATTCTGTTCTTTATCTTGACTGTGTTTTAAAGGGCAATGATATAAAAAATTCAGTAAAAACTGTAGGTATATATATATATATATATATATATATATATATATATATATACAAAAAAGATTTATCCAATAGAAGATGATGTAGAAGAGTTGCACGTCTGCAGCAGGAACATGAACTGTCATCTGTCTGCAAAAAGATTTGTTTGACCCGGAAACGACTGATACAAGCAAACCAGCTGGCTGAGCAAAATTTCTAAAGTCAGGTCAGAATTGGTGTTCACCCAGCCAAACTCACAAAACAGAGACTCTTATACTCACAGAATGAAAAATACGGCCCTGGTTTATGGAGTCTGGAGGGTTTCAAAAAAGAGAGCCCTTCTGGTTTATACAAATATTGACTCAGACAAAAAGGTCTGTCTCTGTAGAGATCCTTTCTTTAATGTTTTCAGACACTTATTGTAACAACCCTGAGCCTTTCAGGGATAAACACAGGCGTTTTAAGTGGACAGACCTGGTGCTATTTTCAATGTTGGAGCTTTTACATCCTGGTTTACTGCCAGTGAAGTAATCTCCTGAGAAATCAGAACTTTCTGAACCTTTTAACCCCAAATATGTAACACAGAAAGCTAAGGTTTAAAATTCAGCGATTCTCATGATGTCATTCTGGACTTCAGTCGAGTGATTTCATGGTTTGAGGAGCTTTTACATCCATCAAATTCTCAATGTTTTGATTTCCTGAAAACCATTTTGCCACATTTGTTTTTTGTTCTTCAGAGACTCATTAGGTTTCTGTAACATGACAAAATGTGTCAGGGTGTCCTCTATCTTTGAAGAATCACACCTCACCAAATGAAAAATTTCAGGCTCTTGCTGACATGCAGTGATATGAAAAAAAAAAACACTAAACATTAAGTCAATGTGTAATATAGTTGAAATCCAGCAGCACTGCATTTCCCGCACAGCATGTTTTAGTTTCTGTAAACCTGCACATTATTTTTTGTTGCGTTGTGCAGAACACTATAAAAAATACTCTTTACTTCAACTCCATGCAGCAGTCAGTTGTATTTTTTGAACATTTTTCAGTAATTTTTAAACAAACTTTTGCAGCAGAAATTTTGTGCATTTTGAGAAGTTAATAATATCTGTATGTTTAGTTTCCCAGAGTCAAAGAGGCTTAAAACGCACCAATAAGAGCCCTGAGAGACCTCGTTCAAGACCCTCAAGACAACCACAGAACTCAGGTTGGTAAATGTCACGCACATGTGTCTCAAACTGGCTAAAAAAAAAACTGGAAGTTGAATGTAATTAAAAAAGCAGCAAGTAGTTATTATGAAGACTCTATTTTTATGTTGATATTTATGTCCATTTTGTATTATTATGCTTTCTTTATCTCAGAGCCCGTCCACAGAGTTCAGCCGTTTCCCCCACACCCCCCGCTCATTCAAGGTAATAAACCTGCTCAGGTGTCATGTTTGGTCACTCTTTGAACCCCTAACCCTAATTTAGAGACTTTGTAGAATAAGCACCCCAAAATAGAGGCACAGATCACCTGGCAAACCCCGATTGCATGCGCCCCACATACACAGGCAGACAGGGTTTGCATACATTTAATTAGGATAATGCAAACTGCAGCCACTGTGGTTTTGCACACGTCACATTGTGTCCTCTTCAGCGTATGAATGAATACTAGAATACACCCTTCTCATCTTTATTTTTCCTTCCTCGTGGTTGATGCTTAAGTTGATAAAGGATGAATGAGTACTTTTTCTTTTCTGTTTATTCTTTACCTCCATTCATTCATTCAGCTTTTCTCTTCATCAAATCTCCAAGGCCAAATAATCGTGGCCTCCTTCTTCTTTTGAGTGACTTCAGCTTTCAAGCAATCTTCATTTTCTGTTTTCTTTTCAGTTTCCTCTTCATCAGTTATGTTGCTGAAAGCCGTCAGCTACTGAAAAGCCCGCCTGTCTGTTGGTCTTAATGCTGCTGAAATGTTTAGTCCGTATTTTAAACCTTCACTTCTGTGCAGATTTATAAATTTCTTATCCTGACCACTCAAGCATTTTTCAAACATTAGGGAGGAAAACACACTTAGTGATTTTTTTTTTACTTGATGTCCTTTTATATGTAAAAAGAAACCACATTTATAACCATTGCACATGTCAGTACTAATGTGTGGCGTCATCTAAGACACATTTTCTTAAAGAGAGAGCGAGAGGAGGTTTAATATTTGTCAAAGCAAAGAGACCAAGTGCTCTGCTTGTTGGTTTAGTTGAATGTTAAATTAGCAGAAGTGCTCTCCAGCCTCTGTTAGGAAATGTTACTCACAGAATAAAAGGAAGTGTTTGTATGAAAAGGTCAGGGGAACCAGCCTTTTTAAGCCGTGAACAATGTTTTTCCTCTACTCTTGAGACATTTGTTGTTAATCTAATTATTCCAACATAATTTTGTTATTTATTTCAGTTCAGAAAGAGCTTCATGAGGGATTGCTGGAGTATGAAAAGCTTCATTTGTTTCCTGTTAGTGTGTGTGCTTTTGTTTGTTCCTGTCATGTTTGCAGCTGTGTATCAGGCTCTGAATGATGATAATAATAATAATAATAATAGAAATGATGTTTTAATAGCTTTTCTGCTGGGCACCTGTATGAAGCTCTGAACCGGTTTCCTCTTAGTGGAATAACTGAATGCAGAATGACTCAGTGGCCTTGATGAAGACTTCTCCACCTTTCTTCATTATTCTCCGTAAAACTTTAAACGCTCTCTGTCTCCACTAAGTTGCATCTGCAGACTCTGCAGTTTTAAAGCATGCAGCAGGTCTAAGTGATGTGCTGAGGTGTTCAGATTCGTGCCATTGTGCAAAGTAAGCACAATGAAAGTTAAGTTTCATCATAAACACCAGCACATAGAAATGAGTATCTTTTCAGCTGCAGCATCTGTCTGAACTGCCACAAACTGACAGTTCTTTATAATTCTCTCTACATTATGTCTCTGAATGAAATCAGGTTTATCTTTAACTTTCAGGGAAAGTCAGAGTCTTTGCAGCTCTTCGGATGGGAAAAAAAGACACTTGAAACTCTGTGTGACAGTGCCAAATACAAACTCATTTAATGCAAACGCACAATAAAGGCACTTAAAATATAATCTCAAATATCAAAAAGCAGGTTTGGGATTACAAAGACATTTGCAGATTTACACAAAAAAAAAAAAGAAAAAGAAAAAACCTTTGGATTTGCTGTGAGGAACTGTTGGTTTATTTTGGTTCTGGCGCCCCCTGTGGACAAAGTGATGCTTCTTTTCTCTTGTCCTGTGCATGTGAAAAAAATCTCAGACAATAAAAGCCATCCTCATATCTTTAAACAGTGAAATGTAGAAAAAAATTGATGTTTTTTGAAGGTGCTGTCAATCATCTAGTCTGAACCTCTGATGGTCTGTTTGCTTTTGAAGGTCATTAAGAGGCATCAGCTTCAGTTAAGTCTGTTTTTAAACCAGTTAAAACTTCTCTCAGTGAATTTTAAACTTTTTTACATTTCTTTGTCAGAAACCAAAGACAGCTGTTCAATAACCTTTTCCTTCAGCAAACATCAGAAGCAATGTTGTGTAAATGAACATAAATGAAAGGATGAATGGATAATGTAATTATCAATATCAAAGTTATTGTTTTTCAAATGGAAAGATAAAGATGCAGTATGAAAGCCATGTAGATATGTATTTTAAGATTTCAAAACTAGCTATGTTAGAAAAATGAAGACAAAATCTAACCGCAAAATAGTCAAAAGTTAAGTTATAACATCGGAATAAAGTTATGACAAAAAAGCTGTTATAACGGAAAAGTCGTGTTAAAGTCATTTAATTTATAAATCAAGTTACAAGAAAATCCATTCTTAATATTTAGAGTATGAAGTCATCATGTTATGAGAATAAAGTCACAGTTTTTAGAGAATAAAAAGGTCCTTTGATAAGAGACTCACCCTGTTATGAGAATAAATAAGTTGTCATATAAGAGTAAAGTCCTCTTGCTCTGAGAATAAGTTTTGATAAACTGGTAGTTTTGGTTCACGGTGAGCAGCCAGCTGTCTGGACCAGAATGAGGACTGTGAGCATGTGGTTGAAGTGTCCCTAATGTTTTGTCTCATTGTTAAAAGGATCAGGACTCTGAATACTGTCTGGTATCCTCCTTCAAAACAACATTATGAAACTAATCATAAACTGAAATAGATGTTATTTTTATGATATTATAAAATTGTTTCTATATTATGATTTTTTTTCTCTCAAACAATGATTTGTTCTAGTAATATTTTGTCTTTTATGTCAGAATTCTTTTTTTTCCTCTAGCAGCCATAAAACTGACATATTCGACAAACATTCCTTTAAAATTTCTTCTTTTCTTCTTTCATTTTGTTTTCCTGTTTTGTTTTAGCTTGTAAGGCTCTTCATCATTCAGTGACCTTCATATGAACAAATGATGAAAAACAAGGGAACAGGTTCACTTATTTTAAGAGGAACTCAATCTTTCTTTCTAAAACAAAATAGTTTGTTTTTGTACATATTTCAGTTCTTATCAGAGGCCTTCACCTAACCTGCAGTGACTGAGTTTGAGTTATCTTTTAGCAGAGATGCACCAAGTTTCTTTAAATAACATTCATTAAACATCTTCACTGTCAGACTTTGGACCTCTCAAGCTTTGCAGCCCTGACCAGTTTAGCAGATCCAGTTATACAAAATATGAGATTTGTTTTCTGCCTCAGAGATCATTCTTAAATCTGAGATTGCAGCTTTTTTAGATGCTTGCACATTTAGCTCCCCATCAGTTATTTTCTTTTAATTTTACTGATAAAAATGTTTGTAGTTTGTTGATTTTTAAATAGTTTTGTCATGAATTTCTACATTTATAAGCGTGCTGGGTGCATTCTGCTCCGGAGTTGCTTCTGGATTATTCACAAGGTTTGAGTTGATTTGCTTTGACAGATGGGGAAAGAGTTTTATATGGTAGCCTGTGAAGACTAGTGTTTGTGTTTCAGTTGGGCAGCTCTGGTTTTAATGGTCTGAAATGTTGCAGCAGCAGCAGCAGTATCCTGTTTGTGTTTGGCGTCTGGGCTCATCATTTCTCACAGATTTATTTCACATGCAGAAATTCCAGGAGTGATCAGATAATAATTGTGTCCAGTATAAAATCTGTGCAGCTCGAGTTGCCTGTTTGGACAAGCTTGCAGGTGTTGCTGTATTTGTTTTGGCTTTTTGCAGCACAGTTTGATGTTTGCAGTTCCATCTCATTGTGGTCTTTTGGATTACTGCACGTCTGTCCTGGTGGAAATCTTTTTTTGGCCTTTGCAGCATGTTTGTCCTCGTCAGCCAGAATAGTTTATTGTCTTTGTCCCTTTCCTCGTCAGTAATTAACTCAGCCCACTTCTTCGGCCTCTCTGGTCTTTGTTCTGTTGTGGGTTCCTGCCTGTTTCTGGCTGTGGTTGATCTTTTTTCAGCTGTTTGTCTCTGTGATCGTGAGCAGAACTTTTCCTCAACTTTTCTTCCTCGGAGGATGTTTGTTATTGTCTGTCCCTGTTACCGTCTGAGCAGAGTTTGGTGCTTCTGTGAGAGGAGTAACAAGGTCAGAGCCCAGACACAAAATATCAGAGCCGTTTGTCAGACATTCACCTGGGGCTGGGCGGTAAACCGAAATTTTACTGATACCGAAATTTGCTACAATAACCGACATCATTTTGCAAGAGTTGATTTTGGATGTGTGTAGGTAGGCTATGGTCTCATGTCCCTTTAAGACGCTGTCCTATGTCAGAGACGTGACTCCACCCTATCCAGTCCGTAACAAAGAGGGAAAGACAGGTGAGGAGATGGAGGACAGTTGTAGTGGCTAGTGCGGCGGCTGAAGTCGATTAAGTTAATGTGGGAGAGGGTGAGCAGCTTGTGGAGCAGTTATCGTCCATTTGTCGAGATTAACTGCTCAATACATCGTGATATTGATTTGAGGCCATATCACCCAGCCCTACATTCACCAGTCTGGATGAGAGATAATGAAAGACGAGCTAAACAGGTTCAAGTCAACCTTTTAATTCTGGATTTATGGGGTTGAGTTAGGGGTGGGCAATATGGCAAAATATCTTTTTTCTTAAAGACAGAATTACAATCACATTTCATCTTTCTTTTATGCTTATGTTTAAGACTGTTTTGCAGATACGACTTACTTGGCCAGTAAGTCGTATCTCAGGCTCATATCAATCGTCGTATCATTTGTCGTTGTATCAGTTGATACAATCAGTCGTATCAATAAATCACATGATAAATGAAAATGAACTTGATAACTTTGCTGACCTCAGTGTATTGGCATGTGCATGTGTGTTTGTTTTCCTCGTCTCTCGCCACCCGTGTGTAAGTGTAAAGCTGCAGCAGATGTAATGTGTCGATACTTTGATCTTTCTGGATTTGCAGATCATGGATATATTCAAATCCTTCATGATCTGATATTGTCTAATTGCACACTTGTAAATCAAATCTATAGATTAACTGCTTGGCTTGTTGACACCTGATACTGTATTTTGATCTGTTCAGGACTGCTTCCTAAATTGCCATGTAACCCACTCAAGTAAAAAAAAAATTTAAAGGAAATGACTGCATAGAAAAGCATCTAACATAGTTTAGCTTTTTATTATCCTGTTAACTCACACGGCAATCATCATGAGTTATCTTAATAATCTACTCACAGAGCAGGTCCAGACTGCAGTGCTGTAGGACTCCAGTCTGGGTCTCATCCTTTATAACCCTCACCCTAGTCTGCCTACACAGTCCATGGACACAGTGATTGAGATAAAACCAGAGCTGGGGCCCATCAGCACCGTCTCCCCTCATCTTCAGCCTCTTTCTCTCAAAAACTGACAGTTTTCCAATAAAATTCAGCCTCCCAACACAACATTTTGGTTTTTAGGGGACAGATTTTTTGGCCAGTGGTCAATGAAGCTTGAATACAGCTACATTTTCATCATCTCCAAACATTTGTAGAATAGAAATCCAATATTTCTGAAACAGGGGGCTTTTCTAACAGGAAGCCTCAGACAGAAAACAGCGCTGACACTAATAGAAAGTCCCACAGGCCCTGTTTCTCCTCTTCCCCTCTGCTGTTTTGGAGTTTTCACAGCAATCAGACATGTCGGCCCACTCGGCTGGGTCCATTGATTGCATCAGAGCAGTAATCAGCGCTCATTCAGAGGAGAACCTTCACCCATCAGCCGGTTCACAATGGCTAATAAAGAGCCCTCTGAGGGGTTTAAAGCCCCCTGCCCACCTTTAATCTGCAGAAGAGAATAATCAGAGTCCTGTCATCTTCTCCAAGCTGCTGTGTGAGGTTGGACTTTTAACAAGGACATTTCTTATATCAGTTTCCTTACCCGTACACTCCCATAAAACTTCACACACTGAAACTAAGTCCATCAAAGTTCGAGTGCAGGATGGAAGACCAAAGGGCCAGACTCACTTTAGTGTGGTTTGTCTGAGCTGGGAATGACGCTACACAGAAACAAGATGGCTACATCTACGAAAGTTACTCTAGCGCTTGTTATTGTAGGTATTTTAAGTTATTTCAGCACCCTCCTTTGTAGATGTAGCCATCTTGTTTCCGCCTTCGATTTTGCTTTTTTCCAACTTGGTCACTGAAACGCTGGTAACTCGGGTGTGACGTCTTTTTTAACTCCGACATCTGACTTCCGAGGTAACTTGAACACAGCATAATTCTGAGTTGCAAATAATATTTCTCTGCATTTCAGTAGAACTCTCGCACCCTTGATACTCAGGCCCTAATTACTGTTCAGTTGCAGCGTAGCCTTGTTTAGTGAGCGGGACATGAGGTGAGACAAAGTAACGCAAGAAAACAGACCCAGAGAGAGAGACAAGCCAGAAGCAATAGGGCCAAATTAGCAAACATTTCAATTCATTAATTTTACCAACTAGATGTCCCCATAATCGGCAGAGGCCGATTATTGGTTTGATCCTAGTCTTGTTTTTCTTGTCAAACTGTACTTTTCTATATTTACGTGTAACAACTACCAAATAACATCTCTGCTTGTTAACATCAGGATAGTAGAGCATTGTAGCATCATGGCGTTGGTAGATATTAGCTGGAGCTACAGTCTTGGTTGGTGACATGTTACTGTGCAACAGATAGAACACAACATACAGCCAACATCTCAGGCCTGAACGTACTGGTGGTACTGGTGCAGACTGGCTAAGGTACAGACATCAAGTTTTTCTCTGACTAAACCGAAACATCCAGGTCCAGATCTGGGCTTTTGTTATCGAAATAATAATGAAGAGACAGATTGATAGCGTTTACATCCAGCCCTGTCTTTGTCTTTTCTTTCACTGTCTGTGAAGTGAAACTCAAAATACTTCCACAAGGAGCCAAACAGATGTCCAAGGGTCCAGACCTTTCACTCTGGATGGCTTTGATTGCAGCACACATCATCACTAATACCTTAAAAGTGTCAAGAGTGCTATTTAGTGGTCAGGTTACAATAAGAGCGCCCTCTGTCGGATTGGCAAGCTACTACAGATGACCCTATTTGCTAATAAACTTTATATTTTGGCTCATTCCAGTTTGAATACAAAGTTTTTCTCCAAAGTTTGTACAAAGATTTGAATTTTGGATAAAACTGACAGCTCTAGCCTCTATTTCACCGCGTGTCAAAGAAATGAATCATGTTCAGGTTCATGCTGAAGTGTTCCACCCTGACAAGTCCATAAATAACTGAAGTAAATCCACATCCACTGTGAGAAGATTTTCTCCAGAAATCCTGCAGGGCCGAAAAAGTCAGAGAGATGAGAAGTTCACAGTGTTGTAGTTGTTTTCTAATGAGTGAATTTATCATTGATGTGAATATAAACCACTTAAAGACTAAACAAGTTTTTAAAACATGGACAAGAGAAGATGAGATGATTATGAAATAGAGCAAATGGAGAAAAACTGGTACAAAAAAAAGATCAGAATGAAATGAAAAATCTGGCTGCTGGTGACACGCTGTTCCTCAAGCAACTGCTTGTGTTGAGTCCAAATCTTGAAAGACTTAGCAGAGGATAAAACTCGACGCTGTTTTTATTGTTTAACTTTCAGGGCAGCTGCACAATAAAACAAACTGTAGAAAACCTGACAAAGATGATGTGTTTACAGCCATGCTCACAAGGAGAATAAATGACAGGACAAACTCTCAGGAGCATCAGTGACACTCACGGTTCAGACTCCGGGGTTGAAAACATTAAGCGGTTTTATCCCAGTTTCAAAGGTCTTTCCTCTGCATCTGTTTTAATGTGACAGTCATTAGTGTAATTGATTTTGACACCAGAGGAGAGGCGTGACCTGCTGCTGAACAAAGACAGGCGATAATGTACAATCAGCTAATGTTTGTTCTTTTAACCTCACATGAAATCATTATTCCAAGTGACAAAGAGGGAGGACGTTAAGATGCAGCTCATATTTCTGCAGAAAAGAAACTGCATTTAACCTTAAACTGTGATGTAGCTCAAGAAAAAGAAGCTGCTCTGAGTGTTTCATTCTTGTTACCTTCATTTTGCAGGAACAGAAAAGTTAAAAGTTATTGAACAGACTTTGACTCCTCCACCAGTTTAGTCTCAATGAAAGTAAATCAAACTTTTTACTCACTGGAGTGTTAATTTGTCAGATTCTGGATACACAACTTTCCCCCTAATTGGATTTGAATTATGTGTCCGCTCCTCTTTAAATGTGTATCACTCTCTTCTCCATCCTCGCACAGGTTTTCCCCCCATGTGCCCCCCTATCCGTTGGCTGATTCCACAACATCAGATCCACTTCCCACCAATGTACATAAGGTTCAGTACAGGTAAGAAGTTTTCTCTCTCTGATAAAGACGCTGAAGCTCTGCGGTGCTCTTCTTTCAGCAGCTAATATTATTTTACAGCCATGACTTAGTTTGTAAAAGTTGCTGAAAACTAAACACAAATCTTAACCAACATCAGAAACTGAATTATCACTTAAAGGTGGGTTAGGCAGGATTCCATAAAAGACGCATCTTTTTTGTGGTTTTTATCTAAAATGCTTTTAATATCAGTCAGTAGTTATTAGTTATTGATGACATTTGGGAATATCACAATATCACTGTGTTCTCTTATGTCTGTGGAGTCAACATTTTAAATTTTTTGAGCGGTCTGCTCTTTCTGACTGTAAACAAAACCATTCTCCGCCCCCCTGACCTGATTGGTTGTGAGGCAGACGCTGCTCCCTTGTGTTGTGAGGCACGCTCCACGTCCTCCAATAACGTGCACGAGCCCAAAAAAAGTTAGCGTGCTACAATATCAGACAGTAGAAACCAACCAGAAAGTACAGAAAATTTTCTGAATCCTCTTTTGGCCACGACTGCCGACACAAGCAATAAAACGAAGTAAATACTGAAGACTCTGGCAGAATAACGGGCGCTTAAAACGGAGGTAGACCAGACAACATGAGCATAAACGATGGGGGACGCTTCAAGATCTTATGGACCCTGTAATAGGCCTGGACGATATAGAAAAAAAGCATATCGATAAAAAATAAATCATATTGATCGATATCGATAATTATCAATATAATTATTATAATTATTTAACATATATTTTAATTGCAGCCCTGGATGTTTTATGCTATTGCTTAATGACCTACTTTTAATAAAGAACACACAAGCACTGAATTCAAATTCAAACCTTTATTCAACCACCTTTTTTTTTTTTTTTTTTTACAACTGAAAATTTTTTTTTAAAAAGAACTTTAAAAAAAAGAGGAATCAACTTAAGTGGCCTGAGTGACGTCAGTAAATACTGACAAACATAAAGACTAAAGTGACCAGAAAATCTGATAAATAAATATTTAAATAGTCTTTTGATGAAAATAAACAAAACAAACAAATATATAAATAAACAGAATAGCTTTAGGTGGGAATAGCATACTACCAGTTTTAACTGTGTGGGAAACTGCCCACAGCCTGGTGTCTGAACACTGAAATATTTCTCCCGGGGTCGGGAGATTTATTTTTTTTTAATCATCTTGTGATTGTCTTAATACGCAAACTGAGCACGAGAAGCAGGACATATCCACGCCGGTGTTGTGTCGTAGATTGCACCCCTGCCGAATGCACCCCCTGCTAGTAGCCATGATCCAAATACTCGCGTCTTTGTAAAATATGAGCTCATTTTCTTCCACTTTAAGAAGCTAATGAGTGGACGGGATGCAGGGGTGCATTCTACGGCACAACACCGGAACGTATTTCCTCCGCACCCTTCTCACCCTTTCAACCCCTGACCCATTTTCATGCCTGAAGCGCTGTGTTTGAGAAATACTTGCGGCCGGGCACTTCATATCGCGGGTCAATAGTGGCTAGAAGCTGTTTAAGGCCAGGCTTTTCAACGGTAGTTATTGGCAGTATGTCCCTCGCTATGGAGCATGTTACTGCATGGGTGATGTCCTTATGCCGCTCGGACGCTTTGTCGTATTTTTGGCAAGAAACGAAGTCCAGTTTGGTCTGCTTCACTTGCTTTGTGCTGGTGCTGGCAGCGGTTCCAGAGGATTCCTCCGACGATGACGTGGAGCCGCGGTGCGGCCGACACAGCTCGTACTCCTGCGGGTGCGACCGGTTTAGATGGTAAAACAAGTTGGTTGTGTTACCAGACTTGGTTTTTACTAATTCTCTGCAAATTTTGCAAACGACCGCTGTTCGCTTTTTGTCAGACTTCTAAAAACCAAAACATTGCCATGCTGAAGAACTACTGAAACCTTTTTTCGGGACAATGTCCTCCGCTTCTCCTTGCTGTAACATTATTTCTAATACACGTGCTGTCTGTTGTGGTTTGATAGGGGCTGGGCTTGGTGCCGTAGTACCTGGGTCTGCGTTTGTGATTGGTTGGGAGGAAGTAATGACTGTAGTAAAAGCTACATGATAGGCTATGATGAAAAAGAAAGGGAAACTGTGTTTTCTATCGAACTTTTTATCGACCCGTTTTTTTTCTATCGCACCACACGTCTATCGATCGATATATATTGTTATCGAATTATCGTCCAGCACTACCCTGTAACCTTTCTGTTGGACAGGTAAACAGCTTTAACAAAATAAGCCAAGTGTCTGTAACAGAAGTGTTTCTTGTCAAACTTGACCGTAGACTGTATATACTATGGACAACTTGGTTCCCCCTACCGCCTGTATACGGATTTGAAGACAAAAAGCTCTCTATTTCCGGGATTTTTCTTCTTTTCCTGAAACCAGCGCTGCACAGTAGCGATGCACGCAATCGGCGGTGCAGTTGCCAAGAGTAAGCTTGGCATGAGGCAGTAAAAAGACAGACTAAAAGCTTCATAAATGAAACTGTGATGACGCTCAGCTCAAGCAGCGTATCCCCCGGGTGAGCTACGCCATCCCTGAACGCCCATAGGCTGTATCAGGTGTCAATCATAGAAAACATGAACCCCCTAATAACTTTAAAAAACGGAGCTTCACAGAAAAAAGAGGACTTGAGCACAAACCAGTCTTACTGTAACTACATGTCAACATCGCAAGCAGGGGGGAGAAAAAATTATGTTCTGTGTAATAAATTTCTAAAGTTTGTCCACAGCTCCATACGCTTTGCTGGCGGAGGTGGGATTTATGACCTATACTGCAGCCCACCATCAGAGGGTGCTGTTCTCGGAGTGGCTTCACCCAGCGAGGAGGCAGACTCTGTCCATTCTATATACAGTCTATGAACGGGACCTGCTGCGTGTTGTAGCGCCGCTAAACTGTTTACCTCGTGTTCTGGAGTATGCCACTATATGCTTGTTTTAGAAGTCCTGCAAACATTGAATTTGCTGGTCATCTGTTGGCATCTGCAGTAGCACTAATGCTGTTTACTTTCACGTTGACTGGGCCCCATTTGTAATAATCTGAAGTATTTATCTGCATTATATCTAAATTTAAGTGGAACGATATGAGCGAGTACGTACTTCCACACAAGCTGCGTCTCAGTGCTTTGCTTGTGTCTTAGTCCCTACCACCAGAGATGCATGAAGAGATATTTCTCTTCCTCTTGAGCTTTCTTGTCATCATACAAGTGGTGTACCTCTGTTAAATGGCAGCTCTGAAAGGCTGTTTATATGTGCATTCTTGGATGCAGTGAGTTATTTCAGACGGACCCTCATCCTGCATGCAAGCTGCAGCCACCGGGGCTGCTATGACTGCTAAAAGTTTGTCGTTTACAAAGTTGTTGAGGCGTCTCTGTCGCAAACAGTCCAACCTTTTGTGAGGGTAGGAGGGCTATCTGCATTAGCTGTGTGCTTGGCCAGCGAGTCGTATCTAAACCAGGTCTGCAGCGACAGTGTATGCTAATGACTTTGGTCCTGTGGAGGGAACCATCTGGCAGAGCGTTCAGTTTTTTACTGTTTGATTTCTGCTTGCCATCCACAACATTACTGCTACTTCTTTTCCTGATTTCTCAAACTATGGGACAGGCCAAAGAGCACAATCACAGAGCATGCTTGTGTTGTCTGCAGGTCCAAAATAATAAGTGGTGTTAGAGTGATTCACACTATTTCTAACTCTGACAGCTCTGAAGCTTGGCATGAGGCAGTAAAAAGACAGACTAAAAGCTTCATAATGAAACTTTTCTAGAGTAATCTGTTCTCTAAAATTTGAGCATAAACCAGGTTAAAACAAACAGACATGAAATGGTAGTTTGGTGTTGTTTACAGCCTCATGATTTGGGTGTATTTTTACCTCCCTTTAAGTGGAGCAGCTTCTTGAATGTTTTCAGTACTATAATATCCAGTATTGCCCTTGTTCATCCACACTGAAGTTGCTCTTTACAGCATGTTGCACAGCCCCTCAGTGACCAAAATACATAAATCGCTTCATGCAATTTTTAAATCAGTCCGAAAATTAGATTAAACACCCCAGCAAAGTCACAAAGTGACTGGTTTTGTCCTTTAAAATGTTTTAAGGTGCATTAAACCGTTGATTCCAGTGGAGTTGCTCGTAAATCTGTCTCACAGGGAGAGATGCGCTGTTGAATATTTATTCAGTTATGTTTTTAGGGAAGGAAAGCAGTAAAAAAAAATCTCTTCAAAGATTAATGTGAAGAGATGGAGTACAAGAGCAACATCTGAGATGTTTTTTTTTTTTTCGTTATTTTTGTCTAAGGTGGAGATTTCGGTTTCCAGGCAGATGATCGCTGCATGAGGAGGAGAAGGCGGGCGAACAGGAGTCACCCATACCATCAGTATCTTCCGTAAGCACCGGCTCCCAGACACTCAGCGTGCAGCTGGTGAGCTGCAGACACAGAAACCTGCTTGGAGCAGGGACATGGGGATGGGGAGGATACGGTGACTCCTGATGCAACATTAATTTAACAATTACGAAGAAAGAAATAATTCCAGATGAAGAGTCACTGTCATTTTGGAGGAATCTTGTTAGGAAATACAGGGAAGAGGTTAAGTGAGTTTGAAGTCCTTGTCTGGTTCTGGGCGTGCAGATCAGATTAGTAATTCTAGTTACAAAAAGGCACAGTGGTGTTAAGATACCTGTGTTATGATTTACTGATCTGTGTTTTAACATGTTCCAAAAATCCTCTTAATCCAGAGTTTAGATAATTAAAACGCTGTTTTCTGAGGTTAAAAGTAAGGGTCTCTGCCTCCTCACCACGCTACAGCAGAGGGAAGTGGATGTCTGCTCCTCCTTTGACTTCATGCCTCTGCTCTTTGAATCCACACAGAGAGGTTCATGTCTATCAAACCTAATCTCTGCTCTCCTCATCTGAAGCCCTGATCTGTAGCCTCAGGCAGCCGGCCACCCACAGGTCCAGCGTGTTCATGCTGCCAGTAGCACAGTCAGATAAAAAGATTTGACCCGCAGATGTGGACTAAAACCTGAGAGGAGGTTTCAAGTCATTGGCCGAACAAAGCCCTCTTCACAGTTTGACATTTTTATGAAACAGAGGTGAGGAGAGTGAAATGTGCTCCTCTTTCTCCACCCTGAATTTTAATGAGGAGCAGATAATAGCGCCAGGATTAAGCGCTTGTTCGTATGTTTTCCTTTGTTTTTGTTTTTTTTTAAAGATTAAACTGATCTACACTCCTTAAATCATAGTCTTTATTCTGTTCCCAGAAAGCAACAGCTTTTGTTTCATGTCAATTTTTACGCAGAAACAGCCCACTGAACATTTCTGGATTCTGCATTTTTCAATTTTCCACATTCAAAAACAACTGGTTTCACAAAGACATCAGTGTTGATTAGACCAACGCGTAGGAACCTTTTCTCTGTCTGGCCCACCTACTTCATTCCCCAAAAAAGGCTAGAAATTTGAGGTTTCATTTATTTGCTAATTGGGTTTCAATTTAAATCATGATCTTTAATTAATTACTAAATGAAGCACACCCTGCCTTTCTTCCTTAAGAGAGGAGTGTGCTCTGCCCCTTCTTTCAAACAACCCTCACTTACACTTTATCAGTTGGAGCTCAGATCAGTCTGCAGCCAAGTTTGGGAGCCCAATGCAGTTGTAAGTTTCAGAAGTTTCATCAACTATCAGGTGGAGAGAGGAGAGCAGGTGTGTATGTGTACGTCTGAAAAGCCACGGGACAGTTGCAGAGGCTGTAACAATCACAAGCATGAATGAGTGTTAAAAAGCGTACATTTTTCAGGCTCAACAGACATTAGTCTGTATCATAGTAAAATTTAATCCTGATCTTGATATCATACAGATGCAGGCCTAAAAGGCTTAATGTGTCGTCTGCAGCCTGTGATTGGGTGTAAGTGGTGAAAGAGCTCAGACCCTGTACTTTTAAATATCAGTGTAAGTAATCAATTCTTTTTAATAAGCCGGGTCCTGATTCTGCAGTTATCATTCAGTCTGACATGGAACCTAAAGCTCCAAATCCAGGCCCTGAAAATCTGAATCTAAAATAAAAGTTTTCCCTGATAGTCTTCTGCTGTTGTAGGTCATAAAAAGGGGCTTCTGTTTTGATAAGACTGATTCATAACCAGACTGAAGCTTCTCAGCAGACCTTTAATACCATATAATCATCAATCAATCTTAATTGCTGTAGTTAGCTTAACTAGTTTCTTCCCTCGGGTGTCTTTTCTGTGGTTCAGTGTCTCCCACTGTGAAGTAATTGTGATCTTACAAAGCGCTGCCTTTAAAGTTTCCTCCCAGACACTGATTATAACTCAGCATCAAAGCTTCGAGCCGGTGCTCACAGCAGCAGCAAACGTCAGAGTAACTTTTACAACATTTAGGTTCTGGAGACACTCCTCAGAGAAAGATGAGGAAGAGAGAGGCTTTCTCTTTTAGAGCAACAGGAGCTAGAATTATCCACTAAGACCAGTGAGGTCATTATTATATATAAGTGAGAGCTGAGGGGAAGCTACAGTGTGAAAAGGCAAGAACTCTAGATGAAGACCAGAGACTGTAAGAATAGAGGAACCTGACAAAACTGGACCAGAACTACTGCCAACATCCTGAGAGGAGAGGTGAAATGTCATGAGTGGAAAAAGTGCGGTGGAAGAACTAGTAGGAATCAATGTGCTTATGCTGCGTTCCAGTTACCTCGGAAGTCAGATGTCGGAGCTGGGAATGATGTTAAATCTGGGTTGACGGCGTTCCAGTTTACAAGTTGGAAAACCATGATGGATGCCTACAGTTCTGTTGTCAGTTGTTGTTAGCGGTTGTCAGCGATACCAGTTGTGAACAACGCATAACACAGTATTTTACTCTTACAAACACCATAGCACCGTGTTCACAGTTACACTTTGGGCAGTACAACATATACCACTTATTTATTTCACAAAAACAAAACAGAAGTGCTAATAAATGATACATTACGAGAGCTTTCGCTGTTACTCTTTACTGTTGATGCACTGCGCTGCCATCTTGGATTATGATGTCAGCTGTGTGCAAATTGGATCCCTAATCCCTATATAGGCGACTATATGGGGGTTAGCGCCATTTTGAGGGGTGTCCGAAACCTGCATGATCAATTCCAATGCCCCATATAGCCGACTCAAAATTTCCCATAAAGCATTGTAAATTGTAGTGACCATCCAATGGTCACTCACCGGTGGTGGGCATCCCGTTATGTATTGCGTCTTGCCATGTAGTGTCCGAAACCTCCAGTGATTGAGTTCACTACGTCGTCAGCTATATAGTGAAACCCCATATGGGGGTTAGGGATTTAGTGATTCATTTCGGACACACCCATTGTCGTCAAGCTGGGGTTGGTGAGGATAGTCCGACTTTCCGAGTTGGAAATCCGACTTCAGGGGCGCATTCCAGATGAATTTCCAACGCGGAGCACGGAAATTCTGACTTCCAAGTACAACTGGAACGCAGCATTAATATCAGAGATGTTACTGCCATCAATTCAAGAGGCAAGCACGATTAGTTTGATGTGGTATGAGTGGCATTGAAAGTCTTATTGGTGATCTTAACAGAAAAGCATAAAAAGAATTAACTTGATCATAATTCAAAATACAATTAGTTAGTATATTACAAAATCTCAGTGTTCAGCGAATTCAAAAAAGCTCTTTTCTACTAACCTGAATTTTGATCAACTGGAACAGAGGCACAGAGAGATGTTCAAAAAGTGACTTCTGCTAATCCTCATTACATCATTTTACTAATGAAGCGAGTCTGACTTAAACCCACTCCCACTTCTTTGATGATGCCTCATGTTGTCTTCACCTGCATATTGAAGAGAAGGAAAGATTGCTTTTGCTAAATTCAATAAGACCCCACGCCCACAGTATTGATTCCCCTCTCGTGCTCTCCGACTGAACTCTGTTGGATTTTAATTAACATTAGCTGCGTTGACCTTGGCTATAAAGACATCAAATTTCCAGTTAATTATCTGCAGTCCACACACAACATGCACAGAGACCGCCCTCATTATCGACTTTACAGATGCATCTTTTCAAATATGTTAATATGTTATGCAATGACTGGTTTGACACATCTCCTCTGAAGGCGTGATGAACCAAGAAGTGAAGTTTTTTTCTTTTTCTTTGTAGAGGGACGACTCTTCTTTCCTTTAAATTTGATCATACAGTCTCTGCTTTGGTCGGGAGCATTGATTTGTTTTAGAAGTTTGGGACTGACACGGCTGAGATACAATAACAAATATCTCTTCTGTGTCTAATTTGTCTTTATGTGTGCAGATGTCCTCTGAGATTATAAGAGGATGAAAAGAGACTGTTTCACAGCCCCACTTGATCGCTAAGTTAAATGCTATGCTATCAGGCAAACAGCTTGACACAAGTGCCCGGCCCTCGTGTGTTTACTTCCATGCATCACCTCAGACAGGCTCTTCATCACAGCCCCTCTTCATCAGAGCGCTGCCTTCTCTTTATTAATCAGCTCCAGCTTTAATCACGAGTCAATTAGCAGCGCGGTCTAATTGACTATCATCTTAATTGCTCTATCACGCTCCGCCCTGAGGACTGTCTGCAGGCGGCTTATCGCCAATCTCCTCCATAAGACACACAACTAATGAATGCTCACACTCGTGGAAACAAAGTGGGTTCGATTCCTCTCACGTCCTGAGTGCGTTCTCCCCCGTGAGGCCTGGTCTGACATTTATGGGCTGTAATTGAAGACGGGTATGAACCCCCACGCTCAGACGGAGATGGATATCAGCTAGCAGCAGATCTGTCCTCCTGCTTCATCAGGCGGAGAAGAGTTGAAGAAGGTGACTGTTAAATGAGGAAGAATCTGATAAAACGGGAGCTGAGGACTTTATTCACTCTGTCACCCACTTTGACTCTGTCTCAGTCTCTGCAAACACAAAGCTGCAGGACGAGGACAGGACGGTGTTGACCAATCAGATCTGGATGAGCTTTGGCTGTGAGAGGAGAATCTGTGTGTGGAGAGCAAGAGAGACAGAAATCAACAGCTGAAGTGGCCTCAGTGAACACCAACGATAGTCCAACCGCAACCTGGTTTTCTAAGGGCACGTTCACACCACCCACGTTTAGTCCAGTTGAATCGAACCCTGGAGCATTTACCCCCTTGGTGCGGTTTTTTTTTTGGGTCGGTGTGAACGCTGACCTTGAACTCTGGTGCGGACAAAGTAAATGAACTCTGGTCCACCTGAAGAGGTGGTCTCGGACCGCTATCAAGTAAACTCTGGAGCGGTTCATTTCTGGTGTGAACGTCATCCACACCAATCACAGGAAACGAACCTAGGCTAAGCTATTTGTGATGCTGGTTGTGAAATAAATGTTTTCCGCTCACCTTACTTGTCCCGATTGACACCAGAGAGAAAACGCATTGTGGTAGGCTCTCATTAATGCCTGTCGCCGTCTCGTCTTTATCCATCTGTTGTTTGCAGCATGTCTACTCTGGAATGTATAAATTAATGCCGCAGTTCGCGCTCGCTGGCTAACGAGCCGTTCATACCTGAGATCGACTAGCGTCTTTTGATACGCGCTCCAGATGACAAGCAAAAGCAAAATCAGCCTACGATGCTTCATGATGGTTGAAGACAGCAGAGCGGGGTTTGTATTTCCACATGAACTAATGACCAATAACTGAACGATATTCGCGGTCACGTCACTTCCGGTTCCGTTTTCTGGAGCGATTGAGTTTGTCAGCCGATATCATCATTTTAAGAAAATACTGTTACGTGTCTGTCTGACAAATTATGCCCGAGGCAGAAATCTTTAGACAGAACTTTTTAAATAGATTCTTCTCCCAGAGTCAAGGTCAAAGCAGCGTTTATGCATAGAACTTATTCTTGGATCAAAGAATGGAGAAAAATCAAATCACAGCAAATGTGACGATGAAGAAAAAGTAAGAAAGATTTGAGGTTTGAAAGAAAAAATAACTTCCAGTTTTTGCAACAAGTGCGGATTAGCTGAACACAGACAAGTCAGAATTAATGCAAAAAGTGAACCATTTTTCTGTTGATGGCATTTTACCAACCAAATTTAATGGTCTGCAAGTAAGTCAAAGTGAGCTGAACAAATTGGACAAGGACCAAAACCAAGACTGGATGGTCCTGGTCTTCTTATATTTTGAATATGAACTCTGTAAACGTTATGTTATCAATAGTCAGTGGGTACAACATAGGATGAAAATATCAATAAAATCATGAAATGATGCAATGTAAAGAAATCTTCTTAAAAAGGCCGTCTTTGAGCAGGAATAAACATAAGCTTATAGTCAGTCCCCTGCTGCTGCTTCCATCACTAAAACTATTGGATTTTCTCCATTTTGCTAAATTGTTTGATTAACAACTAATCAAAAGCTTTATTATAGTTTCTACAACATTTATGATCCTCTGTGGATATCTGAACACCTTGACAATTGAAAAAATCATAAATTAAACCAACTGGCTACATCCTGATGAATCTATTTGCTATTCTCTGTGAACTTTATCTCTTGAAATAAAGTGGTTAGATCGATCATATTTGAAAGAAGTCTCTATCAGATCCACCATCACCCTCTTGATCCTCATCCTCGACTGCGTTGTAAAAGATCAAGTCTAAATGTTTTTCGGCTCCAGCAGCAGGTTTCATCCCTCCTAACAGTGTGTAACACTTTGCAACAGCTTTGCAACATTTGGATGGATGAGTCATGTGTGAGGACGGCGTTTCTATCAAACACCAACGCACCTTTCTCTGGATTGGAGCGTTTTGCATCGATAATTTAACCTTCACACACACATACAGGGCCGTATCTGTTCGCTCTGAAACCTGAAGCTTTAATGGCAGCACCTCAACATCTAAACTGGAACAGAATAGGTGAGGTGTTTTACTGAGCTCTGACAGCTCTGAACAGGTGCACAGGTTTGACCAAAATAAACCTGCATTTCAGACTGATAACCAGGTCCAAAATGGCTGCATGTTTCTCATTTCCCTTTTTGACTGCTGCTCCTTCAAACATGTCATTTTACATGCTGGTCAAAGTAGCATTTAGGTATTTTTACCACTGATGGGTTCATTTTAAAAAACATGAATTTGGTGCACTTTGGCAGCTTGGAGCCCTGAAATAATTTGAGATCACAAATACACCTCTGACTGACTGTTTAAATGTGGAGGCTATTTTTATTTTACCCATAACCAACTCATGTCTCCTTGGTCCAACTTTGTGAGGCAGGGATTTTAAATGTATGTATAAGAATAACCAGCACACCTTAAAGTGCGCATGCTTTTATTATTAATGTACGGACAAGAAAGCACCACTGTTCAGGGTTTCAATTGTATCCATTTGCAGGCTATCAAAAGTCTGAGTTGTATTGACCAATCAGGTATCAGCAGGAAAAAATGTCTGTGTGGAGAGCAAAAGCAGGCAGACCTGACAAAGGTGGACTTTTTACTTTTTATTAATCTGCAGCATGATATGATTTTTGCAAACTGAAGACGCCTTGAGGATGAGAAAATCACAAGATAATCAGTTTCTTTTTCCTTGGTGCCCCAAGTTAGGCCCTTAACTTTGCTGTCGGATCTGTTGAGGTGAATTTCTTGTCTCTTCTTCTACTCTTCATACTGAAAACTAGATCCTGATATAAAGGTAGCTAGAGTGCAGCCTCTGTGTAATTTTTTTCACAATGAAACTGAGATGATCTCCATTTGACAAACATCTTTCTCCTCTTGAGGACAGACCTGACAAAATCTGGACTTTTTACATTTACTTATCTGCATCCTGACGTTATTTCAGCAAACTGAAAATCCCCTAAATCACAAGATCAGAAAAAAATCTGTTCCTTTTTTTTTATATTCATACTAAGCCTCTGTTTTTCAAACTGTTCACAGTAAAACTGAGACTCACCACAAAATGATAAATCGTGCGACTACAAGGGAAATCAAGAACCAGGAAATGACTGAGTCTTGACTGATATTTGTTTGACATTAACCCTTGACAGTAGCAGCATTTTTGGGAGTGGGCTCAGATATTGATCGATGTTAAATTGCTCATAATACTCTTGGGTTACATTAAAAGCAGCTGAAATAAACATTTTCTGTTTTTTTCAGGTTGGTTGTACTTTTCAGAATTACTTAAAATGAGAGCGGCTCTGTTGAGATCATCCTGACCCTCTCAGAAAGAGAGTACATTCCAACTCTATTTTACAAGTTAAGGACTTGTTCAGCATCCTTTGACTCACTTATGACCAATCATAAAAGTCTGCTTTTTGGGGTTCATACCAGTTCAGTAAACCACCTGACTGCCAGAGTGCAGAGGCACAGACCACATCAACCTTCATGCGCTTAAATTCAAACCTCCCGGTAGGATTGTAATGGATGTTCACTGAGGTCACTTCAGCTGATGATTTCTGCCTCTCTTGCTCTTCACACAGATTTTCCTCTCACAGCTAAAGCTCGTCCAGATCTGATTGGTCAACACTTCTCACTTTACAGAGATGAACACTGTCTTGTCATCGTCCTGTAGCTTTGTGTTTGCAGACACTGAGTCAGACTCAAAGTGGATAACAGAGTGAATCATGTCCTCAGCACAGACAGTCCTCTGTGCAGATTGTGGCCACTTCATTTAGTCCAGTATCTATGTGGATGCAGCAGAGCCTGAGAGATCCTCTCCCTTGCCAAATTATGGTATGTTCATTTAACTTTGTGTTGCATACAAAAAGACACAGTACAGTCCTGAAGTCAAACCAAAATTTTTTTTTTATTGTTTCATGAATTTTATGTTGGAAATATGAATAACTGTTAAAAACAAGAATTGGTCCTAAAGTGATATTTTCAGTGTGATCCTTTTGAAATCTCTACAGCTGCAGTTGCTAACATTGTGTTGAGCCAGCAGCTCCAGGTGTTTCCTGTTTTTGGCTCCGCTGAAGGCCGTCGTTCAGGTCGACCAGCACCTGGACGGTGTGAGCCAATCTACTCAGCCCCTCTTCTTCCATGATGAGCTGAGGAGAACACAGGGAATCCTGAAGGGAAGGAAAGGAGGAGTCAGGATGGACAGGTAGATACAGTTTATTTCAGCCTGTATCAGAGGAGTGTGTCATCTGCAAATCATTAAAACCTTTTTAGGATGATTTTCATTTGCCAGTCGTCATCCTTTAGGGTGGCGGAGCTGTGTAAGTCAAATACCATGGATACTTTGGTTCTAGATTTCTGGAGCCATGGGCCTCCGACAATCATCCTCAACAAGGACATTGTACACATGTTTAACATCACTGTTGTGGTTTTTTATAACCCTACATGGACTCTCCTTCAGGTCAAAAAGATTTAAGTAGGATGTTTGGAAACATAGATGGCTATATATACTTCAACAGTCTCAAACCAGTCTTTGTTACACTTGTGGCGTGATGAAGCTCTAACCCAGATCTGCAATCAGTAAAGCTTGTCAAAATGATCATTCGTGTGGACCTTCTATTCTCTACAGTGTAAACCTGGACTAGGCAGCCGTACAAACCTCTTGAGTAATTGAAATAAGAGAAAAGACATCATAAATGTGGGAACTGAAAGGTGTTTTTGTCTTTAAAAGACATTTGTTGCTATTCCTCTGCAAAAGTTTAAAGATTCAAAATGTCATCCTCTAGTTGTAAAATCAAAGAATGACTCCTAGGCACTCATGCAGGTTTTTCTTTTTCAGCCATGTCTCCATTTAAACAGTTTGACTTCCCTGGTGTCCAGAGTGTAAAAAACATGTGAACTCATGGATTATATTACCCCCTCTGAATGCACTTCTTGGTTAAAGCTCTTGAAATTCACGTCTCTGTGGTGAAACTTTCCTCCAGGCTTCAGTCTGTCTGTCAGATGTGATATACCTGATATATTATGTGTGACTGTAAAGGCCAGCCTGGAGCAGAAAGAGTTAAACACATTTATAAGACAGGCTCAATGACATTCTGTAGCAAATTTCAATCTCATATAAAGTGGATATGAGTGACATCCACGCACTCTGCCAAATGTTGAGTGTTTATTGCCTGCAGCTCTGAAATGAAAAGCCATTAAAGTCCGACTTTTTCCACTTCCATGAAACCAGACGCTTCAAAATAAAAACAACCACATACTCTGATGTAGAGCAGGAAGACGGGCTGTTTAATGGAGATGACAGGGATCTGATGTGAATAATAATGAGGACTGTTAGTCAGTCACACAGTGGTGGTCATATATGTGTGTGTGGGTGAGATTTTGAGTCTCAGACTTTGATTGTGGGTCAAATGAACAAAATTTACTAATTTACATCAAAATTTCTTTTCTTCAGACTTTCATATGAGTATTTAGGGCCCAAGCCGATGCTGCAAGCAGTGGGCGAGAGCCCTATTGAATTTGCAGGAATTAATTTTTATTATTATTGTTAGGGCAGCCTTGAGGGTTTTTTCTTTTACAATTTTTTTGTGACTGTTTAGGTTATGTTGCAGAGGTTTGTCCCTCCCACTGGAGAGTCACAGCAGGGCAGGTGAAGTGCAGCAAGTGCAGGTGAGGGGGAAGGTAGGCAGAGGCCAAACAGAGACTGTTTGGTGGCATTACTGCAAAGAGACCTCAGAGACGCCAGTAGTAAGGAAATCTTGATGTTTTTAACATACTGTGCTATAGTTTTTATCGTGCTATACTCTTACTATTTTTTTTACATACTATTCTGACATTTTTTAACATATTTTCCTTTTGCATTTTTTAACATACTATACTATAACATTTTTATTAAATTATACTATGACAAACACTATGCTAAGATATTTTTTATTATAGTAAACTGTGACGTTTTTTAACATACTCTGCTGATATTTTTTTAACATACTACACTATGACTTTTTTTTTTTTACCATACTATATTATTATATCTTTTAACATACTATACTATAACATTTTTTATCCTACTATACTGTGACGTTTTTATAATACTATACTATCAGGTTTTTTTTTTATACCATACCACAGTATTTTTTTATCATATTATACTATGGCATTTTTAAATACTTTACTATGAAATTGAATCATATTAAACTATGATATTTCTATCAAATATACAGTGACATTTTTATCATTCTATACTATAATCTTTTTACCATAAATTACAATGACATTATTACAACATACTATACTATGACATTATTCATCATACTATACGATGACATTATTCATCATATTATACGATGACATTGTTTAATGTTCTATACAATGACAATTTTTCATCATACCATACTGTGACAATTTTTTGACAAACATTAGTATATTTTTAATATGCTAAACTAACATTTTTTATTGTACTATACTATGACATTTTTTTAAACATACTATACTATGACATTGTTTATCATTCTATACTATGAAATTTTTTATCAAACTAAACTATGGTGTTTTTTATTGTACTATACTATGATATTTTTTATTGTACTATACTATGACATTTTTCATCATACCAGAGTATGACATTTTTTATCAAACTGTACTATGACATATTTTGTCATGCTATACTTTAACATTTGTCATCATATTATAATATGATTTTTCTTATCATACTATACTGTTTTTTCTTAACATACTATACTATGACATTTTTTTTATACTATACTGTTATTTTTTACCCATTTTTTGACTTTTTTAACATACTATACTATAACATTTTGTGACATACTATACTATAACAAATTGTATCATACTATATGATATTTTATTATACTATTTCATGATATTTTAATAATACCATAGTACGACATATTTATCTAACTATACTATGGAATTTAAACATACTTGACTATGTTTTTTTACAAACTAAACTATGACATTTCTTTCATTCTATAATATAATAATTTGATGATACTTTACTATGATATTTTTATTATACTATTCTATGACATTTTTTTAATCAAACTATACTATATTTTTATGTGTGTTGTGTTTTATAATACTTAACTTTGATTTTTTAACTTACTTTACTGTGACATTTTATTCATCTTATACTGTGACATTTTTATTATACCATACTGTGATATTTTCACCATACTATACTATTTTTTAATTAAACTATACAGTTAGATTTTTGTCATACAATTTTATATTATCATACCAAACTATGATTTTTTTTTACATCCTTACAATGATATTTTTTAATACTGTAATAATAATTACAGTATTAAGGGCTCAAAAACTCATGAAATTATGCAGTGGGGTTGGGCCACTGCATACTTTTTGCAAAAGTCATGGCCAGGGCGTGGCCATGGCGTCCTTTCCAATTCTGATATCTTTTCATAGTGAGTGACCTACAACACTCAAAGGCAGTCACAAGTACCAACTATCATAAAGGTTAGGGCTGCTGTGGAGAGCATTGCACCGGTGATGGCAGGTTGAGCAAAATGGTGGCAGTGCGCTGGGAAGGTGGTTTACAGAGGTAGTGGCACGTCGGTGCCCCATGGGGCGCTAGTTTAATTTTACTTTAGCTAAAAGTAGTTTCAGCAGAGGCTTCACTTACAACTTCCCCAACATTTAGCCAGTTGGCTTCTTTTAACAATAACACCTGTCCCAACAATACAGTTCCAGTATTTCGGCTGTAAGTGACACGAGATGAGCCAGGCAACTGTCTAGTTAGCTTTGCTGCTACTCTGCGTTGGCTTTTCCTGTGTGCACATGACACTTGAAAGGAAGACTGTGCTCTCCCTGCTTCAGGCTTTTTCATTCCATATATGCACCTGAACGTGCAGAACATAATTATTTTGACTTTCAGTATAACAGAAAGTTCCTCTCTTTTGAGGCCAGGCCCCTGAATAAAACATCAAACTTAACTCAGCTGATCACCGGCTTGGTAACCCCTTTTTTGTCCTCTTTGTTTAAACTTTGGTTGAACAGTTTTCTTGCTCTGAAAGAGTCAACCTTGGAATTAAAAGCAGATTTCTGAATCAGGTTTGATGTAACTGGGTTTTATATCATTGGGAAGTCTTTCACACTCTGTTTTCAAGGTTTAGTCTGATTTTTTTAGGTTCTTTTCCAGTCTGTCTGTTGTGGATATTGTCTCCTGTAGTGATTTTACCTTTTTCTCTTTTCAGATTTCCCTCCAGGCCGTCCTCAGTGACCCCTAAAAACCCTCCACAGGAACTCATCCACCCACAAAAAGTGACATTTCCAGGTAAGTCTGTGAGAAATATTAAATCTACATAATGGGTGCTGCAGGCTGTCCTGATTGCTTGATCAGCCAGTGGACCTTAAAGTCTGAATCTGAACGGTATAGTTTGCAGCGACACAGCTCCAGTGGTGTGTGTGTATGGGTGTTTGTGTGAGAACTAAAGCCATGCAGATCAGAGGAATCTGAAAGAGCACAGCTGTTTATTAAGTCTACTCTTTGTGAAGGTGCAGTACAAACCTCCTGAATGGTTCCTGCTTTTTTCACTCTGACCTCGCCTGAACACACTCACCTGCTCCCACACAGGCCAGCTGGGTTTTATGAAGGTAAACTGAAGGTAAACCTGCTGTTCAGAGAGCACAAAGAAGCTTCTGGAGAGGTTAAAGCACACAGCACATTGGAGTCTTATCAGGGTATCTGCACAACTGCTCACAGGATTCAGCTTTTCTTTCACCTTCAACAACAACTGCAGATTTGGTGCATTTAAAGAGGAAGTCTGGTGTTTATGTTTAACCTCCTCCTTATCAAAAAGACCAAAGATATGTGGAAGGTTTTTTGATTTCCCAGCCTGGACTAAACCAAACAGATACTGTGGAAAAGTGACCGACTGAGGGAGGTCAGCCTGAGTCTTTATAAACTCTGTGGTACTAAAGGAAAGACTCCTGCTCTTTTCTTCTTCTGTACTTAAAAAATGTTAGCTCAAATATATTTTTGGAAGTTTGGCAGAAAAGCAAAAGAAAAATGTTGATTTTTGATCATAAAATCTGAGAAATGTCAAAATTAATTTGAAATCTGTTGTTACAACACATGCTACAATTCTAAGTGGGGCATCTCTCTTTATGTTCTACTTTATTTTGTTATAAAGGCTCTATGGGGACTGACTCACTGAAGGACACAGCCTCTAGCAGACACTGGAAGTACTGCAGGTTTTGGGCTCCATTTTTTTTCCACCTGCAATTGCAGCATGTTTGACCTGACCCCACTATAACATGGACTAAAAGTGTTACTCCTTTTGTCCACAGGGGTGCAGCAGCGAGTCAATTCAGTTTAAAGCCACAGACTTAATTGAAAACAAAGTTGGATGGGGACTTACAATAATGAATCTTTTCAGCTATTGTTGGTTAGTTTTTGTACAAACCTATAATTTGATGTGTTAAAAAGAAAAAAATGAACACCACCAGACTTCCTTTTTAAACTGCTTTTCAATTTTTTAGCCAAATAAGTTAAAAACTACAATCTAGTTCAAACTGAACTTAAAATTAAACTTAGATAAAAATTGAAATGTGATTAGTTCTTTATACTCATGTCACCTGAAACTCTGAGATTCAGTTTAAAGCCTCATGAAAAGCCAGTAATTCAACCTACAGTTAATATTCCCTGTATTTTGCAGTTAGCTGCAGACACCCTGATCACGTACAAAGATCTCATGAAGCAAAAGCACATCAGCAGGTTAGCAGACAAACAGCAACACGGTCAAAGTTCAGAGTTTTAATAAATTCTTTACAGCGGGCAGAAAAACAAACTTTACATTTAGATTTATATAAACTCAAAAAAGACTCTTAATAATACAGAGTGTCATATATAAATATAAAATACAAAGGCTGTGTCCGTTTAGCTAACATGTTAAAGAATATAAGTGGGTCTAAACCTGTGAGAGCTGCTCCTCCAGATTCACTTATAAAATAGACATTTACATTGAAACAGTATAAATTTCATATTAACAGCAGGCGAGTAAAAAAGCTCCAGACATGACGAGGGAAGTTTTTACAGCGGACTTTCTGACCTCAGGTTGACAGCAGAGACGAGGATGTGAGCGCTGAAGTCAAGACAGTAAATAAAATCTGGAGTTATGAATTGAATTTGGATGGTAATTTTTTTAATTTGGGCCAAAGACAGAAAAAATCTAATATTATTATGTATAAATTCTGTGGAAGTAAAGGGCTGCTCATTTTAAATAAATATAACCTTCAAATAAGAGATGGTTTTTTAAAGTAAAGTTCATTTAAAAGTTAATTTTTATTTATTTAGCGTTTTCACAACTATATTTCATGTCACTTGAACTTGTTTCCAGCTGATACTTCACACCAAACTTTATCAGATTCTGTGAACTGTCTGTGCAAATAATGTAAAGCTCCTAAACAGTAGCTTCTGTTCACAGCAGGTACCAAAGGATGATAGGCTGAACTACAAACTCACAAACAGCAAGTTAACTTCTGCATTTAAGGCAAAGACCTCAAAGGTGATAAACGTGACATTAATATGAGCCATTCATGAAGTTTGATTTTGGAATAACAGTTTCAACAACATGGAAATTAACTTTAATCAAAGTCTATCAAGTTAAAGGGATGAAAAAGAAAAAGTTAATTATGTCAGGGGTTTATTTACCTTATTTTCTTATATTGGCCTAATTATGAGTGTTTATTTGCTGTGACTTTGGGGTCTATATTTTCAGAGCCCATGAAGAAATTTAGGACTAAAAGGATCTTTTCCTCAATCTTTGTTGCTTTTTTTAAGGGTAAATAGTTAAAGTAGGAAGTCTAAAGGGCTGTTTCTGGTTTAAATATTGATCAGAGACCTTTAGGAAATATTAATGATCCCATTTTTAGTCTTTAGCAGCAGAAAACCTCAAATCTCTGTGTTGATCTCATGCTCCAGCATCAGTTTCTAATCTGTGTAGAGCTGCACACGTTAAACTTAAGTGAGCTGTAAGTCAGAGGCCGTTTACCGCTCAGATAAAGGTGCAGCCTCCAGATAATCAATCATAAACCAATCAGAGGACATTGATGTTATTGTAGCTCTGAATAATTGAATATTGATTTGATGTAATTTACCTGTGAGTGTGACTGAGAGGGAAACCTCTGCTGACTCACCGCAGAAACAAAAATAACACAAAATAAATAAAAAACAATAATTTAATAACCTGTTTACATTTATACAAACATGGCGGTCAGCAGGTCAGAGCGACCACCACAAAAAAGACTTCACACACTCTCGCTCTCTCTCTTACACACACACACTCTCTCTCTCTCGCACACACACCTCCTGCAGGAGTCTGTACCGTCAGTTTGAAGCCTGCAGGGGATCGACGCAGCGACACCGCCCCCTGCTGCTCACAGTCAGAGTAGCAGACATTACAATAAGAGCCAGTTAAATAAGAGGAGGCACTGTATCATTTCTCTCACTTTACAACATCCAGGGTCCGTTTTTATCAAACCTGTGTCTTTTTCCAGGCTAAAAATCACATTCACAGTTCAGTCTCAGGTTTCTTTACAGCTTCTCTCTCTAAATTTACGCTGGAGTGAAATTATTTCTGAAGACGAGCTGCTCTGGAGGAAGAAATCATCTCTAAGTGAGAAACAGAGCCACGGTGTCAGAAATGAGCTGTAAAGAGAAAATCATCTAGTTTAGGTGAAGTTTTCTAGGATCTACCCTTAGCCATCAGCCTTGTCAGATATTACCTAACATCTGAATTTATATTAAAGGCCTATTTCACAGCTTTAAGTATAAATTATGTATTAAATATCGAAAGGGATACTTGCTCTTATCCCTTTTTTTAGATGACTAACTTAGGTGATGTGGACTTTAAGGGTAAAACTTGGTGAGTATAATATTTCAGAGCTTTGAAAGTTAAGATGAAGTTGTTTTTAACTTCACTTTAATTACATTTATTTATTTGTGGCCTCAGTCAGTTTCCCTGCCTTCTTTTCTTTAGATAGTCTGAAATGTGATTATTGGAAATCCTCTCTCTGTGATGTTTGGAGCTGGTTTAAGATGCAAATTAGAGCAGGTTTCTACATTTTGGACTCACAGCTGACAGTTACTTTTCAAAGAGGTTATGAAACCAAAACTGATGGCCACGAGGTTGGAAATGTTTACTCAACTTCTAACTTTGAATCAATCTGGTAAAAGACAAAAAGAAGGAACTAAAGCTGAGTCCTTGAGTCTCTGAAGACACACCTGTGAACAAATAACTCCCAGTTAAAACTTTCTGTGCTCTACGTTCTTTTCAGTCAGTTTTACGACTTGAGAAACAGCCACGTCCAGATCATACAGGAAGAGAAATTCACCCCTCCTGATAAGTCTGAGAGTTGGTCCTTTCATGGTTCATTAGATCCTTCAGAGAACCACCTTTCCATCAGTTTGTAGTGAGTCTCAGTTTCACTGTAAATACTCAGTTACACAGAAGTTTCACTCTGAGTTACTTCAAGAGAATGAACCAGATTTTCTTGTGGTTAAGTTGCAGTTAACAGGTCTGAGCTGAAAAAACAGCATAAAGGTCCAGAAACAGGCAAAGAGATCTCACCCAGCCCTCAGTAAACTCAGCTGTAGATCTTATATGTGATTATGTTTAACTCTCTGTATTAGTCAGGTGGATTATCTCAGTATTGACTCTGAGATTCTTAGTCTACCTCTAGTGGACAGTCATGGAACAGCACTTTTTTACACTTCTGCATTGGCTGCTTGTTTTTCGTCCTACAGGTTATAACGATTATTGTTCGCTTCAGTCAAAGTGTCTTTGCCTCATTTACAATAAAAAAAACACCACAATCTTTTGTCCAGATCGACAGAAATGAAGTCCAGCTGATCTGTCTTTAGCAGCCTGGTCCAGCCCCAACTTAACAGGCAGAAAGTGCCAGTGTAGTAACAAGACACTAACTGGCTTTTTCAGAACCAGGACCAATGTGTTCAGAGGGGTTATGGTCATGGAAAGGCTGTTTTTAAAGCTCTCATTTGTCTGGAGTTCGAACAGACTTTTACTGTGTTAATGAAACTGTTCCTCTCAGTTTGTGATTGTACTTTTTTAACAGAAATGTTTGATAACTCTAAAGCAGTGTTTACTCTGTTATTTAAAGTTTAATCTGGATATGTAAAGTATTAGGAAAAGAGTCGTATTTAGGAGCTAACGAGGCAGTTTGTCTTGGGATAAACAGTTTTGGACTTGAAACACAACTACAGCTGCTGAAATTCATCATTTAAACATTTTTATGGATAGAGGTTTGCTGGACGTTTAATGCTGTTAAACTAAACCTCCTCAGGGATCTTATTGCGTAAAATTTGACAATTTTAAAACCTTAAGTATCTTTGTTGAGTCCTAGTACCAAGAAAAAAACGTAATTACTAGAGTAAAGGGAAACTAGATTTTCAATATTGTGCATCATAAATTTATTAGTTCATCTATGCTCTTAAACGTGACTTAGAGTTCATGTAATATACAGTTCAAGAGCAGCTGTGGTTCTATTGCTCCATTCAGAGAGATCATTTCGCCCACTAGAGCCGCGCAGCCTCAGATCTTAAGCTCCGCCTCTTCCAAACCCGCTGTGCGTCACTGAATGAAGGCTAAGGCATCTCTCTACTCCCTCCTTCAGCTTTGTCCGTCAGTTTTAAGCTTTCGGTCCTCTGTGCTTTAGTGTTTCCGTTTCTTAAAGGTGCTCGGTCAGCCGTGTGAACGCACACACACACACATACACGCCACAGAGTCTGAAGGGGACACCTGTACCTGTGTGTGTGCGCATGAGCTCACTAAGTGTGTATATCTGAGTGCTGTGTGTTGTGTGTCCTCTAGGTGAACAGGTAGCAGTAGAGGACGTAGAGCAGGGCCATGGCGGCGCAGTAGAAGAACAGGAAATCTGTGGACAGCAGCGAGGAAGACGAGGAGGACGATGAAGGTGAGGAGTGGTCAGGGGAGGGTTCCTCCACCGTCTCCCCCCTGTCCTCAACGGCCAGCAGGGCGGCCACACAGCGCGACACAGCGGGCAGCTTACAGAGAAGCACATCAGAGCACACACACACGTCCGTCTGGACACACAGGAGGAGGATACGGGAAGTTAAAAACAGGAGAGAAGAAGAAGAAAGACAAAACATGGAGCGGAGCGAGAGTCGGACTGATTCAGATAATATCATCATCAATTTTAGAATCAAAGACTTTGAATCAGTCTGACTCTGTCTCAGATGATGCTGCAACACGACTGAGCTTTCAAGGACAATCTTATTTCATGAATCTGCATTATTAAAAATCAACAATGACTCTGTGACTGATTTAACGCAGACGTTTCAATGTGAGGAAGTTACACAGGGAAGACGGAAAAGTGAGGATGAAACCTTACCTCAGGGACTCCCAGCTTACGGCAAGCAGCGATGAAGTTTTCAACGTTGAGTCGACTCTTTGCTGAGCTCAGTTTTGGCTGAAAATATTAAAAACATGAGCCACAGGAGAACTCAGACATCATACAGTCTCTTATTTCAGCAGAGTAACGATAAGCAAAGTGATAAAAGATCCTTCCTGGTTTTTGATCTGCTCCTGTTCAGTTCTTGTATATGTAAATGTCATATTCCCTCTTACACTCCAATGATTCAATAAATCCTGATTTAACAGGCGTCTGTTAAAAGATTTTTTTTTACGTCTGCTTATCCTTATCCACGCAGGAACATTCACTCAGCGAATGGCAGGAAAAAGTTTTAATAAAATCTGGATAAATTTTGGCTTTTTCACCCTTTGGCACAGCTCTACGTATTCACAATGTTTTCAGGAGTTTTGTGCAAAACTAGCCTAAAGCACCTTTGGGGAATGATGTGTTTGTGCAGGTTTTTGCGCCCCCATGTGGTCTAAGAAATTTTGTTAAATCTCTGACATTCTTGTCCTGCACTGAGAGGGGGAAAAAAATCTAATCTCCTCCGTTTGGTAAATGTTCTTCAGTGGAAGACAACCCAAAAGGGTCTGTCTTCACCACGCTAGAAACTACCTCCTCACCAAGTCAGGAGTAGGGATGGGAATTGATAAGATTTTATCAATAACGATGCCACTATCAATTCTGCTTATCGATTCGATTCTTTAATGATTCCCTTATCAATGCCTTTGTTTAATTAAAAAAAAGTAGACTATAGGTTTTCACCGTTTCACCGATAACAGAAAAAGATGGATGCCATCTTTAGTGAGAGTCTAAAAGTAATCAAACAAAAATGTTATTTGTACAGCGTTTCTGGCAAACATTGTGCTTATGTTAACACAGGACATATGTTAGAGTGACCATATTCTGAATCCCCAAAAAGACGACACTACACAGGCTTGTGTGAGTTTTTTTTTTTGAAAGGTCGAGCGGTCTATATGCGCTTCTAACTCAGTTAAACGCATATTATTCCAAATTCCCAAAGACAGAAGTGCATGCTGCATCGCGTCGTTGGCTAAAGTGATCGGATGGACAGAGCTGCAGAGTGTACTGATGCACTGCACTGTTTTATAATGACTGAATACACGTTCCGGACATTTGAAGGATTTTACAAACTCCCCCGGAAAGCCCCAAAAAGAGGACATGTCCAGGTAAAAAAGGACGTATGGTCACCCTAACATACGTACCTTCCATGCCGGGCTGAGACAGGGCTGCAGCGGCTGATGAACCGGTTGTTAACAGGTGTTGTGCAGTAGAATGCACCCCTGCCGTAGAATGCATCAATGACGGGAGCGTGGTTGAAACTACTTAACAAGGCAAAACAATCCAAGTTTTCCTTACCATTGGATGGATTCAAAAGCATAGGCCTTTAATGATTTCATTCAGGCTATTCAGATACGCCGAAAACAAAAGCCCTCTGATTCGGAATATTTGCTGTCGCGAAAATATAATGTTTATACCCCCGAATATACACGTCTGTGTGCATTTTAGAGAGACTTGAAAACAGAACCAAAGTTTGCGGCTCAATTTGACATATTGTCATGATCCAATATTAGTGTTTTTTTAAATATGAAATCCTTTTCTTCCACGTTAAGAAGCTAATGAGTGGATGGGATGCAGGGGGTGCATTCTACGGCAGGGGTGTATTCTGCGGCATAGCACCGGCGGAGAGCATTGAATACATGTGACTCCTTATATGTGATGCTGTGCCCCGTTGACAAATGTTTAAGCATGTTGCTGGTGTTCCCACCTTTGCAAGTTATCACTGCTCGACAAATGTCGCACTGTTGTTGTCTGTCTCAATAAAATTAGGCCCCTCTTTAGCTTGTTTCTGCGTACTTTTCGTACTGTCTGCCATATTGTTTTCTCTGTTCCCGTTCGCGTAGACTGGCACTCGCGAGAGCGTTTTTAAACGCACCCGGAAGAAAGGAATCGTAAAGGGAATCGTTAAGATAAAATGTAAATGATGTCAATGGATTGAACCATTTGGAACCCGTTCTTAACAAGAACCGGTTCTTAATTCCCATCCCTAGTCAGGAGAGCAGAAACATGTCAGAGGTTTAAGAAGGAAGGAGGGGGGTGGAAACTTGAGGTTGGACTCAAGTCATGTAGTTTCTGTAAAAGATACTTGAAATTTTGTTTCTCTTCCCTGAGGATGTTTTCTGATTTCCTATCCACACAGTTGTTGTTGTCATAGATAGAAACTGACCAGAGAGAACAGTTTTTGGGACTCACCACTGCTGGGGAGGGAATGTGGATGATTGAGACAGAGCGCGGCCTGATATTGTTGACCAGCTGACAGAGGGTGGTGCCGTTTGATAACGCTTCACCCAGATCCTCCGGAAGAGTGACCTTCAGCCGAGACTCCAGAGTCTGAGAGGAGAAACGAGTCAAGTTTAAGTTAAATGTAGAATTTTCTCCACAGGAAGGAGCAAAATTAACATCTTAAATCTGCAGAGAAGCTGATACAGAATATTTGATTCTGTCCCTGTAAAAGACTTGATCTATGTTTATGTAGTTTAGAGGTGTTAAAAGTGAAATAAACAGCTCAATTCAGAGTTTAATGAGAATAACTAAGCTTTGAGCAGGTGTGTCTGTTGTGTCTCACCTTGCGTAGTTGTGTGATATCTGCTCTCTCCTCTTTCGGTGAGCGCAGCATCGTACGTGACTCACTCCGTCCTGACTCACCCAGAGTAAAGACTGAAACAGACAGAAAATAAAAACAAAGTGAAAATGTTTCACAAGCTCTGAGTCAGAGTGTGAAGAGTTGTTTATGCTGTTTGTGCTGTTGTTGTTGTTGTTGTGAGCAGCCAGCGCAGACTCTCAGATGTACAGTCTTCCTTTACATTCAGGTGATTCTGTCTTTGTGTACCTGCGGGTTTGACGTTGTTGCGGGATGAGGTTCGAAACAGGAAGCTGTTTGGTTTCTGGGCCTGACCCGCGGGAGGAGACGTCTTCGGGGAGGAAGGCATCTCTGACAGAAACATCCGGATCAATGTTAGACATTTATTTAAATCATGAAGCCTCTGAGTTCATCTGATATAGATAATTGTTTAGAGCCTGATGGAGAGGATATGAGGAGGCTCAAGGCTTAGGGATAACAAAAACACGACTTCAGCTATTAATCTAACATTTCAATATCACCTGAGCCAAATAAAGCCAAGTTCAGGTGTGTGTCTGTGTGTGTTGTACCTATTCTGCTGACAGAGCGCTGTAGAAGAGTCAGAGGATGAACTGCGGTCACCTGGTCGGCACTCTGAATAACAAAAGAGAACATTTGGGTTTAATCGTTGGAAAAAAAAAAACTAAGTTAAGCTGCTTATCTCTGAGAGAAAACGAGAAAAACTCACTGCACATCTCTGCCGCAGACCTGAGTGTGAGCTGCTGTTTTCTGGAGATGCACCACTAGGGGGAGACAAACACCTGAAGTTAGAAACGACCCTTCACACGCCCTTTAACATCTAAATATTAATAAGTCAAGATTCAGACTGAGTCGTGTATTAATGAGTGTGAGAGTATAAATTCACAGAGTGATGTTCAAATCTTTGTGTGTTTGTTTCTCTACAGAGTTTAAACTCACGTTGAGACACTTCCTGGCTGCGCTGCTGTGGTCACATGACTTCCTGATCTGGTGACCGACTTCAGCGTGCTGCAAAGACACAGTTTGAGATGAAGACAGAGCCGTTAGACAGAGGAGATTCAGTCTTTAAAAACTGGAAACACTCGCCTTTTAACCACTTAATACAGAGTGAAATTCATGTCATGTGATTTGTGTGTCCAATCAGGTCATGAACTTTGACCCTGTTTAAAACATGGACTTTAGTTCTTCCCCAACCTCAGCAGAAACAGACAAAAATAAACTTTTAAAAATACAATAATCCAAACAAAACGGTCTCATATTTTCTCTTAAAGGTGTTTTTTTTTTTTTTTAACCTGCATGTTCATCTAAAGTCAGCGCTCACCTGCTCTTCTCCTTCTGCTGCTGCTGCAGACGCTCTCTCTCCTGCCAGATCAGGAGGTTCCCCGGCCTCCTCCTCTCCTCCAGGGAAGGGCTGGAGGGGGACAGGGGGGAGGAGGAGGCTGATGATGATGAAGGGGGACCCATGTCCACGTGGAGGCTGGACCTGAGGAGGTGAAAGGGCAAATTAGTCACACAGAGATTCAATATTTTATATTTTTATTGTTCCTCATTGTCTTAGTTTCTATACAGATTAGGATAAAAACTGCAAAAGTCTCAGAAAGGAGAAAAAAGGAACTTTTTAAACTGTTTCTGGAAATGTGATGAAAACGACTATTAGAGGTAAATCTGAATTTCTGAACACATGATGTAATCACAATAAACATTAAATGAGCGCAGAGAGCGGCTACAAAGAATATTAGAGACAAATTTAATTTAAGAAATGGACACTTTAGGGAAAATAGGAAAGTTAAACAAAAAGAGTTTAAAGAGGGTCTGTATGTGAATTATTATAAAGGGGAATTTCAGAAAAGCAGCCAGCTGTCTGAGCAACACATGGAATAAAGATTTCAGTGATTATTATGTGTCAAACTAAAAACTCATCAGGGTCAAGATGTCAGAAGAATCTGGACTCTAAAAGGACCCGGGTATCAACCTACGTTTATTCCCAAAGATACTAACAAAGAACCTCTTATTATCAGGGCTTCGTTTTTCCCTTAAAGATTATTTTATTCTCAGTTTTTTTCTTTCCGCCCTTTACGCTTCACTTAAAAAGAAACTCAGGTCATAAATGCATCTTTATTTGAAAGACCGATACTTCCTGTCCTTTTTTTTTCAAACTCTGCCTAAGTTTCAGTTGTAAGTCTCTGGCTTCTATTTTGAGGAATCCCAGAGGAAGTGCTGGAAGCCAAGAAGTGAAACATCCGTTTGTTGATTGTTGAGGGTTTGCAGGGAGGAGACTGGGATGTGCAACAGCTGATTGAATGTCTCAGTCTGACGGATTTCAATCATTTCAGGAGGATTAATGAAGGTTTAGGAGGTTTGAGGAAAGTTCTCACAGATTCAGACAGAAGAGCATCCTGCCTGTTTCTGCTGAGTCCTTCTCTTAGATTAATATGTGGCCAACAAACTCCTTTCACTGTATTGGTGCAGCTTTTCCCCTCACACTAACTTCATGTGCTTCATTTTTACTCTTTCCAATCAGCAGAAGAAGAAACATCGAGGAAATCAGCAGGGTTAGAGTTTATCTCCAAAAGTTCATCGACTTATATATCGCTGTGTTGATCTTTTTGTTGAGCGACAAATTAAACTTCTTGCAGCCACATTTTCTCACTTCTTGGACGATACTGTGCTCATATTTCTGTCTCAGTTTTATCAACATTGCAGCTCTTTTGGTCCGTGCCTGCACTTTATTTGGCTTTGCTGTTTTGCACTTTATTTTGTAACCAATGCATGAGAAAATTTAGCACAAGACACCAAATATTAATGAATTTAACCCTTTCAGAGTAGGGCTGGGCGATGAACCAAAAATTTACTTTTTATTTACTTACTTTATTTACTATTTACTCAGTGTCAAATAAATAAATAGATAAAAGTTGGTTTTGGATTTGTGTAGGTAGGCTGTGGTCTCAAGTCCCTTTAAGACGCTGTCCTAAGTCAGAAACATGACTCCACCCCATCCAGTCCGTAACAAAGACAAAGACAGGTGAGGAGATGGAGGAAGGTTAATAAGTAGGAGTGGCTGAAGTAGACGAAGTTAATGTGGGAGGGGGTGAGCAGCTTGTGGAGTAGTTATTGTCCATTTATCGTTATCAAGGTGAACAGCTCAATATATAGTGATATTGATTTGAGGCCATATCGCCCAGCCCTATTTCAAAGTCTCTGATTATTAGAAAAAGAACCACAGAAGCATTATAACCCAAGTTACAAGAGTAGGAGCTTGTTTACATGAAGTTTGTGTGTTTCTGAAGTTCGTTAACATCAATTTTTTTTTGTTAGGTGCAAAAATGAAACAGTACCCATCCCTGTATGATAGTGGGGGGGCGGTTTAGCTCAGTCTTTGTTGCATTGGTCCAAGACTTGGTTCCTGGTCTTTGGTCACCACAAACCCTTCCACAGTTCTCAAAAGTGCAAACTCCACATAGATGGTCCTTTAGAGAGCCACACAGAAACTGCACACTGGAGGCTTTGGGTGCAATGAAAATCCTCCACACTGTTTATTGAGACCCCTAAAACAGACACCTGATCCCAGATTTGATGGTATTCTGAATCTGCTGAAACTCTTTGTCACTCTCCCGCTGATACTCTGAGTTAAACATTGACTTTCAGCAGCCTAAAATGATCCAGAACATGCTGTTCTGCTCATGTGCTGCATGTCTGAACAGGGAGAGCTGAGCAGTGAGTGTTGGCTCTGTGAGATAACAGCCTTAACGATCCCACAGCCTGCAGAGCTTCAGTGTCAGAGAGGGACGGACTCTGTCAGTAATGAGAGCTGCAGGCTGTTGACTTTTCCCAGCTCTTCAAATGACTCTGAGGTGACCGACCAGGAAGGAAGTGGAGAAAAAGTGATAAAACCCTCATCTGTCTCTGTCCCTCTGTACACACAAACACACATGTTGAGTTTTCATTTACAGGACTGACCTGCATGATGATGAGTCCTGCGTCTGGGCTGATGAAGAGCTCTCCTTCTGCTCCTGAAATCAATCACACAGTCAATAAGTTTCACTTCGGAAATGACACACAAAAAGAGGATCTGACACCACAGCTCAGTACCAAAGGAGGTCCCGTGAGAGGAGGCGTGGGCGGGTCCATCCTCATCTCCTCCTCCTCTTCCTCTGTCACACTGCTGTCGATGAAGTCCACATGCTCAGCGTCTCCGTTCACTGTAAAAACAAATTTTAAGGTTAAGATGTTTCCAGCATTAAATACAGATTATAACAGCCCTCACTGCGGCCTTCCTCACCTTTATTGGCCCCCAGAGGAGATCCATCCTCCTCCTCTTCCTCCTCGAGGTTCCTCTGGTCTCTGCTGACCTCAGCCAGGCGGAGGGAGCGCTCAGAGAAGTCGTCTGCTGACTGAACACACAGAAGGACAGAGTCACTGAGTTATTGATCTGTGATCAATTCTATTGAACGCTGGGCTGTGATTTATATGGTCTTCTGTGTACGTGTAATTTTTAAAGCACTGAGAGGTGATTTTTAAAAATAGTCTCACTGTTACTCTGATGCTGCCTGCTGAGTAAAGCATGTTCATCATTAGCTAGACTGAGTGTTTCTTTGATTCTTTGAATTTAAGTGACCAAAGTCAAAGTTGATGTTCGACACTCACCCTAAAATAATAATAATAATGCATCAGATTTCATATAGCGCTTTATCAGAGACCCTCAAATCACTTTACATTGGATACATCATTCATTCACTCACACAGTCACATGTTGGTGGTGGTAAACTACCTTAGTAGTCACAGCTGTCCTGGGGCAGACTGACGGAAACGTGGCTGCCAGTTTGCACCTACGGCCTCTCCGACCACCACCACACAACACTCACAATCATACACCGGTGGAGGATTTAATATTTAAGGACTAAAGAGTCACATCAGCTTCATATAAACTTGCATTTATTAGGACCCTGAAGCACAGACTGTGACACTAGAGTTGTGAGGGATGACGTTGATGTGACAAATCAACATATTAGAAAGAAGAAAGAAGAGCAGGTGAATGTGCTGATGAGAAATGTTGTCTTGATTCTTGTAAACAGTGTTCCCGCTTTTTAAAAAAGCAAAGTTTGTCTCTCTGATTGTTGTGATTTGGCTCTATATAAATACAAATTGATTGATCAATTGATTGCACCAGATTCAGCCTGCAGGACGACTGTACTGTAGGGTTATCCAAAACTCTGAGTTTACGCTGGATTAGTGGATAAAATAATCTTGTTTTTCCCATATTACTAACCTCACAGAGAAAAAGTCCAGTCTTGCTGATTTCAAATGTGTCCCTCTGTATTCTTGCAAATATCTTATTTTACAGGATTGCTGAAGTTTCATGCAGGTGCAGCAGCGTCTAAATGACTGTGTGGTTAATGTGTGTGTTCAGTGTATTACCTCATTTCCAGACCAGCGTTTGCTGCCACTGTCCACACTGTTGAATCCAGAATCCAGACCTCCAAACTGACCCGAGAACAGCTCCTGGTCAGACAGACTGCAGAGAAACGGGCAGATTTTAACTTCAAACTGTGTCCAAAACAGAAACTGTTACACAGCAGGTCATCGGTCTGCAGAGCAGTGACTCATGTCTCTGTCCTCTGAGAGCTCCTCTGTTAAATACTCTCTTATCTCCGTCCTTGGTCCACCCTGTTTCATAAAAGTGGAACTAAAGAGGTCCACTAGAGTCCATAAATATTTGATCTAGTCTGCTTCCTGCTGATTTCCTGACTCTACATAACTTTGCCCCCTGCCTCTCATATTTCCTCTTCAGTATAATCTTGTTTGACCTGCTGTGCGTTATCTAAAACATCTAAAACCCCGTCCAGCTTCGTCTCTCACCAGCTGTTGAAGCCAGTGGGCCTGAGGTGTCTCTCCAGCTCCTCCTGGCCCCTCTTGCAGGCCTCCATGTTGAGGTACTTGAAGATGTGGTATTTGCCCTTGGAGCAGATCTGCGCGGGGGGCATCTGGAGGGGGTTGCTGTCCAGCGCGATGCTCTGGAGGTGCCGGAGATGGCGGTAACACAAGGGCACGTGGGAAATGCGGTTGCAGGAGACATCGAGCCGAACCAGAGGGAGCTCGGATATTTCTGGACGGAGCAAAAACAGAGGAGTTGATTGAAAAGTCTGACATCTGGGCCTCAGGTCAATTTGACTTTTAGATTTGACAGATTTAGCATCTGCATGAAAAAAAAAAGAGGCACAAAAAGTGTAAAAACTGTGACAGGAGAGCTTCAGTCAGCAGCCATGGGACTAAAGAGAGTCTGTTATAGTTTAAATCCTCCAGAATGTTTTAGTACGCATGCAGCGGCCTCTTAGACTTTTATCTACAGCAGCATCTCTCAGACAGAACCATCAAAACCTTGGCTGTCCATCTAGGTATATTTGCTCTATTACAGCTTTTTCTTTTAAATACAGTCATTATGTATAATAAATAACTACGATACGATATGATATGATACGATAGGATATGTAACGGTACGGTACGATACAATATTGTACAATACAGTACAGTACGATACAGTACGATACAGTATGATACGATACGAGACAGTACTATACGGTATGGTACTATACGGTACGATACGATACGGTATGGTACGATACAGTACCACACGATACGATACAATACGATACAATACGATACGATACGATACGATACGATACACTTTATTTTCCCCTTAGCGAAATTTGTCTTGGACTCCAAGAGCTGCACAGATAAAGCTGCCAACTGATGACACAAAGTACGAGACCTAACAAAGACACAATCACACAACCCATGCACATTGCACATACCCATACTGCACAAGAATCCCACAGACATGGTCAAAAGAAACACACTGACATTAGACAACAACAAAGAACTAGACACAGCAAGGCGAGACAAGGCAAGCGAGACCAAAAAGAAAATGACAAGATAACAAGATAACACCATGAAATCATTGCACATATTTTAGGAAACATATTAAACTATATTTTAGGAAACATTATGTAAAAACCTAATTGAGGAGGGCACAAATGAGTTTTTAAAATGGTCCAGTCTACATTTGGGGACTCTGTATCGTCTACCAGACGGTAGGAGTTCATACTCAGGGTAAAGGATGTGAAAAGGATCGGATAAAGCTCACTGTGCTTGCCTGAGAACAGACTGTTTGTACATGGACTGCAGGAAAGAGCTTTCAGTCCTCCCTACCACTTTCATGGCAGTCTGCACCACACGAGCAACTAGTGTGTAATGAGTCTCTCTCTCTCTCTCTCTCTCTCTGCTGTTTCCTCCTCCTCTTCTTGACAAACTGTTAAACCTCTTGAAGTCCTCCTCACTCCCCCCAACACTCTTTCTTTCTAAAGGTCCAACATGCTTTAAGGGAAGCTCATGTTTACCAGGATCCAGGAGAAATTCCCAGAAAACATCATGATTGGAGGAACTTTCCTGGAGTTTCGTCACTGGAGTTTAACTCTTTGTAGTAGGGCTGCAGCTATCGAATATTTCAGTAATCGAGTATTCCACCAAATACTCCATCGATTAATCGAGTAATCGGACAAAACATAGCTTTTTTTTGTTAAAGTGCAATTATTAATATACAAGAGAAAATAAGACATTAAACTTAATAACGAAAATTCACTTGTTTTCCTTCTTTCGAAACAAGGAACGCGAAACAAGTGTGTGCGTTAGCGGATTGCAATGCTCGTAAGAAAGCTGAATAGCTCCTGTGTTACCTGCTTTTGCTACTACCCCAGCAATGTTAGACTGCAAGCTAGCATGAAGAGGAAGGTGCAGAGCAGCGCTGTCTCCGCCCACGACTCAGGGCATAAAGCTAATGAGCTTCTGGAGCTCTGCAGAACAAAAGCCTCTCATCATTCATTTTTTCCGCTCCGCAAAACCAAAACCACGCTTACTCCTCCTTCTACTGTGGTGACGTTAGTGCGTTGTGTCACCTTGAAAATAATGTGTGCGAAACAGTGACGATTTGAGCTCATAAACGAGTACTCAAGGCAGAGGAAATACCTCGCTCTTTTTTTGTAACCGAGATATTCGAGGAATCATTTCATCTCTACTTTGTAGTAAGAAGTTTTATGGTCAAAGGCTGCTGTGGTCAGTAAGTTTGATTCTGTTTTAGCACGACTGCAGCCTTGTTTTTTAAAAGCACACAACAAGAGAAAAATACTAAACAATCCAGGCGTCTGTGGGCGATGAAGTCCTACTCTGGGAGCTTTAATTACAGTCGTGTCAGTGAGGTCTGCTGGCTTAGAAAAACGTGGTGGGAGTTCTGTTTCTGGTTTGAATATCGTCTTTTTCCATCAAGAAAAAATTCTCTCTGGAGTAATCACTCCTGAAACGTTGTCACACACTTAAAATCACATCCTGAGGCTGTCGGAGACGTGTCTGTACCTTCAGGCAAAGTGGTGAGCTGGTTCCTCCGCAGGTTCAAGTCCCTCAGACACTCGAGCTGCCCGAGCTCTGCAGGCAAACACTGCAGCTCATTACAGCTTACATCCTGACACACAAACACAGAAATCACACACTCAAACTGCTGAAACTTGCATGTCTTACACACAGTTTAAAAAGGTGACATTCATGTTGTAAGAGGATATTTTCTGAGTGGATTACAGCACAGAGGGACGGTGTGTTTTAGCATGTGTGTGTGTGTGGGAGTGTGGATATCATACCAGCTGTCGGAGGTGTGTGAGGGAGAATATGGAGGCGGGCAGTGAGCACAGCTTGTTGTTGCTGACGATGAGCACTCTCAGGAGGGGGAGCTGGAACACTGACGGGGGCAAACTCGACAGAAGATTACGACTGTGGAGACAAAAACACACACAAACCCACACACAGCTTTATTGCTGCTCTTTCTGCCATTATGTTGAATTCAATCTTACACCAGCCTGAACACAGTTTGTAGCAGCATATTTATTTTTAGATCTACAGTATATTTGCCCTGAGCTTTCACTTGTCTCTGCAGCCATCTGGGGGGGTTTCTGGTCTCCTAGTAACAGTGAAATTACAGTTTTGAGTAGTGTTGGTGCAGTTAACTCTCTTCTTCTCCAGCGAAAACAAACACTCCAGTTTAGATGCAGGTTTTCAAACAGCAGCTGAGCGTCTGGTGCTCCTGCAGACTTAAATCTGTGAGGTGAGGACAGTGCAAACTTTGCATGCAATTACCATTCTTAATGTATTGTTTGGGAGATTTTTCATCCTTTGACACACAGACTTTTTTCTGAAGCAAAGCCAGAAACTTCTTGTTAAAGTTACAAGATTTGGACCAAAGATTTGGATCAGGTAGAAGTCAATCAAGCATGGGCAGCAGGATGTGCAGATTAGGGGTGTCCTGGTACAACTTTTTTACCTCTGATACGAATCCGATATTGTAGCCTTCGGTATCGGCCGATACCGATATTAGCACAAACTTGTGCATGACAAGTTTTGCACTCAGCTGCAACGTCTTTTTCGGACTGTCATGGAAAATTCTGCCACAGGGCCGACATCACTCCTACTCCTTGCTACTTTATTAGTACCTTAGTACACACTGTTGTTATGATCATGTCGGCTCTTCATGCTGGATCTGAGAGCTGCTAGATAGAGGTGCTGGAGTGGAGTCTGAAATGGACTGCTTGTATCGGAGTGCTGGTATCAGACATTTCAGATGCAGGCCCATATAATGTGATATTCAATTTTTTGCCGATATCAGACCAACATCCGATATCAATATCCTATCAGGACACCCCTTGTGCAGATATTTTCTGTTTACCTTCTGCAGCTGCATTCCCATAAAAGATGATACACCAGTTCAGTCTAGAGGCAGAAAAAGGCCACATAAACATGAAGAAACCAGCTTGATCCTTTTCATAAAATGTAAAAATATCCTCTAATGCTAACATTTTTTTTAAAAAGTGTGTTTTATTCAGAGTTGAAGTTAGATAAAAATCAAGTTATATTACCATCATGCATCTCCAGATCATAACCACTACAAAGCTGCTTAAAAAAGCCGGTTCTTGTCCATAAACCTTCTCCATTATCTTGCTTAACTACATAATTTGGATCACTTAAAGAGCTCTGAATTTCCATCTTCAGGAGCACTGACGCTGAGGCAGTTTACCTGAAAAAGAAGAAGGATCCGAACCTGCACTGTTACAGTAAGATGGATCACAGACAACATGAGCATGACCATACAGTCCTTCGAGATTTGAAGTAATTTGCAAACCTTTATGGATATAACCTGTTTGGATTGAATCTTTTACTGGACTCTGGTCATGGGGATCATTTCCTAACAGCAGAAGGGGCAGACCATCAGTTTTAATTAAGTTAGTCCACTTCTGCCTTGTTTAAACCAGCTCAGGCCTGGTTTATGTCCTTGCTGTTGGCTCAGCAGCACATGAAAACCTCCTGAAATGTCCTGGTATTCAACATCTTGGACATGACCACAAACTACAACTAAACATCTTTTATTAAAATTCCCTTTGGGGATCAATAAAGTTCTTCTGATCTGATCTTAAAGCATCCACAGATTTGCATCCCTTTAGTATTTTTAGGCGTAGATGTTCGGTTTCTCCACAAGGCATAGGTAGATATCCAGGAACTGTAAACCTATAACCCATCCCTATTTGGTCTAAAGTAGTTGATCATATGGGGAGGTGAATGCTGGCTGGAGCTGGATGGTAGCCTGTGATCTGTGCTGCATTACCTGAGGTTGAGGTAGGTGAGGGCCTGGAGGTTGCCCAGGCTGGATGACAGTGAACGCATCCCATTGTGGTAGAGGCTGAGCGTCTCCAGAGAGATGAACTGACACAGTTCCTCAGGCAGCTCACACAGACGGTTCTTGGACAGATCTGAAAACACAAAGTACATAAACGTTAGAGATCTTGTTTTGTCTTCCACACTAAACATCCTCAGTGTCAGCTCTCCTCTCTTCTTCGTCACTATCACTTCTTCATCAGTATTAACGAGGTAAAAAGGATCTCAGATTAAGGGTGATACTCCCAAAACCAGAGTCAGATATATCTTTTCCAGACTTCCAAATATGGCCATTCTACAATTCCCATGATGCCACTTGAAACCATCTTTTTGTTAGCATACTCTGGCCCTCAGCTGTAATGTAAGCTCTCTGTATTTTCGTCCTTTGAGGTCAAACACAGATCCTAACCCACTGACATCCATCAAACTCAAACTCTGGTTTTCTGTTTTCTGGTATGCTTGTGCTGTATGACAGAATCCACGCTACGTTCAGAAACCTCCAGCCTAAAATTACCAAACCACACCACTGTGACAGAATCCCAGGAAAGACGGCACCCGTCCACTCCTGACTGAACTGGGTGAGCTCGTCCAAAAATAGCAGCCGCTTCCTGCTTTCAGTTTCCAGAGTTTCTGAATGTAGGACAATCTCATCCACCTTCAGATTGACATGATTAGAATTCAATCTCATTTCTATTAACATTTATAATGATGGGCGACTTTTTACCCTACTAACTCCCAAAGAAGTCCCTCGCTGGGGGAATTTTTCACTTGTCTTTACTCCAAAAATGTCAATCGCTCTTTTTCTTCAGGGAAACTTATACGGACTCTATCTATCATGCACAAACACCAGAATTGCTTCATGTCTCCTTTCTTACAGGATAAAGGACCGTGAGGGGACAGCAGACACAATACAGCATCAATAGATGCTCTAAAGAGCTGCAGAGATTCTAACAGCTCCATTAGCACCGAGCTCTCTCTGGCAGCAGCATGAGACAGACGTCTGTCAATGGCAGACAGCCCGATGGCTGTTTATTGATCGTGTTGGAAGCAGCAGGGCTGGAGGAGGAGGAGCAGGCACTTCCTCTCTTTGTTACAGCTTCAATGGAGGCTTTTATTTTGAAGATGTGAACTCGAGAATTCAAAAAGGGGGACAACAAAACACGACTTTTGCTGCTTTGGAGTTTAAGTGTTTTTTAAGAAGGGGATAGGTTTACTGAGCATCGTTGACTCCACTTATAATGACAGAGCAGCTCAGAGTATACTCGTGTTTTCTCCATTTATTTTCTGAATTTATCTCATCCATGTGTTTTTGTATTGTTTAAACACTTTTGCTTCATTCAGAGGGTCACACACAGGCTGAAACTTTGCAGTAATTCGTATCCAAAATAAATAGATTTTCTGATGATTTTAACTGATGCCACAATAACAAACGTTTAAGGCAGATTTGAGCAAAGTTGAAAATCATGCTTTGTCAGGTCTGTCTGCAAGATGATCCTTAAAATCCTCCTTTTTAAAATAGGGTTCTGCTTAACCGTATCAAGTACAACCTCAGGACTTCAAGGAAGACTAATATTCAAGACTTATATCCTGTAAAATGTGCTTCACTTCTTGTTCGAAGACATATCATAAACCAACACAGAACTATTTTAATACATAAGGCACTACAATGTTGATTTAAGCAGTTGGTTAAAGCTTTGAAAATAACTTGAGGCCTTTATTCAGCTGAAACTAATGCAAAGACAACATCTCAGATGTTTTAAAGTCAAAGTGTTGTCATTTTATGTAAATTATCTGCTTGTATAAATTTGATGCCAGCAACATGTTTTGAAAAAACAGAGTTCCCAGTGGATGATTACAAAGAATCTGGAGAAATCTCTGAAGACTAAAACCAAGACTGAATGATCCTGATCTTCAGGCCTTCAAATTTTAACAAAATTGTTAAAAAACAATTGCCTGGCATCAAATTGTTACTGTTCTACGCCCCAACTTTTAGATAAGATAATCATACTTTGATTGTCTTTCTGAACCAAACAAAGGATAAATTCAACATATTGGGCATCCATCTAATGAGGATTTGCTCACTTGGTTCTTATGTGATCACTGTAGTGAAAAAAAAAATGAAAATAGCTGAAGGTTGACTCCCTTTTAGACTAAAAATAAGCCAACAACAAAGTTAATAACCAATCTACTCATTTCAAACCTCCATGTGACATTTAATGAAACACAGCATCTTTAAATAAATGAAAACGAGGGTTCACTGTGTGTTCAGTAAAGCAGACAGCTCACATACTTCACTGTGCTGAGCCACATTAATGAAAGAGTGAACAAAGAAAGCAGAACTGGACCATTTCACATGGCCTTAATAAACACAGCGGGGTGGTTCAGTGTGTACATGTGTGTGTGTGTGGTTTGTGTACAGTGCATGGAATGGATACAGACTGTACAGTAGCTCTGAAAAGCCCGATCTCTCCCCGTCTTCACTGTCCCATAGCTGCAGGGGAGCTGGGCGAACAATGGGTGGGGGTGGGATTGGTAGGGTGAGTGTGTGTGTGTGTGTGTGTCTGCTCTGGGGGATGGAGAGGTTGTCTAGTCTCTGAATACACCCTGACAGAAAATACTACCACATAAATATCTAAGAGCTGTAGTTTGACTTGAGAGGGGATTTGATGGTTTAGATGGTCTGCTTAAGGCTCACAGAAGAAGGGGCTCCAGGTCTTCTACCTCAATCAGCTGATTTTTCTGAGCTCTTCTGGTTTAATTTGTCAGGTTAGACCTCATTTTCTTATGCAAAGTTTAACCAAAAACATTTTAAAAAATAACAGGCAGCAGAAGAAAAAGCAAGTAAGTGTTCTTTATGGTGCAACTGCTGTTTGGAGCCTAGTGTAGTTGAAGGGAGTGATGTATCATCTACCTCTTTAACAGAAAGGTCTCTTTCTGTGGGGATCCTGTCTATAATGATGTCAGACACTTACAATAACAGTATGAGCCCATCAGGGGCAAAAATAAGAACTTTCAGGAGGTGTTTCATAGTTGTGCACTGACGCAGGTCCAAATCTTTGTGTACCTGTTGGTGATTTAGACCAGAAAATATGCACTAAAATTAAAGCCAAGGTTTAAAAATGCCAGAATTTCCTTTTAAAGACAAAAAGACAAAGTTCCACACAGACAGCTAAACTTCATGGCAGCCTTTCTCTGCTCTCTGTCTTTCCCATGCTGCATTTCTGCCCAGATGCCCCGGTCGCTGCTGACACAAAGCCCAGACTGAAACACAGAGCATCATGGGAAAAGCATGTGCTGTGGAATGGGGCAGTGAAAAATGCCCAGTCTCACACTGGTTCAGACAGCAGGACGCTGGCTCTGAACGGACACAAGCTGGGGTCCGGAGCCAACACTGTCAGCTACACAGAAGAGGGGGAGGAGGAGGGGGAGGAGGGTGGACTGCATGTCATCATGAGAAGAACTGAGAGATCCTTCCGGGTAAAGAGCTGACTCACACAGGCCCTTCAGTGTCAGACAGTTAACAGCTGGCCCTACACTGACTGCTTTATGATTCGCCTCCTCTACTCCGTTTGATTGGGCGGAGGAGACTTATCATGGTTGAAGGTTTGTCAGCGCTGGCTAAAAAAATAAAAACACACGAGCTAGTAGTTGAAGTTGAAGAAAAAAAATTGAGAGATATGGATATAATCAATAAAATACAAGTTTAAGTACTTATATAAAAGCTTGAAAACACTGAGTGATTTGTTGGATCTGCAGGAAGTGATAACTGTAAGCTGTAAAAGAACTCAAATCCTATGATTTTTGTGACAATCTGTGTCACAAAATTTCAACAGAAATTCAACACTGAGTTTAATGAAAATTATCAAAATTAAGCCAAAGCAAAATAACTGCTTCAACCTCCTTCATTAAAGAGTTAATTAGAAATCTGTGTGAATAAATATATAAAACAGAATAAAAAGAGAAGCACATAAAAGTATAACACTGTGAGATGTTGAAAGAAAGTGCTGCCTGCAGAGGTTCACAGAGGGACATGTGGTCTAACCCTGTTTGACACCATTAATCTGTATTACCCACTTTCAGGTCCCTGCTGGCCTGGATCGACCCCTGTGGAGTCACCACGATGGTGACGGTGCAGATCTGGTGTCAGGCTAAAGAACAGGGTCACTTATCAATAGCCTGAAAAATGATCCTGGTTTCAAAACAAGCATCCAGACTAAAGACAGGAGCAAGATCACAAAACGTCTTTGTTTAAGCTCTAAATAAAAAAAGTTAATATTTGTGAAGTTAGTGGAGGATTTTAGTCCTGATTTATGGAAACAGGATGAGAATAATGGAGTCTTTCTAAAGTCTTCTGTAGTACATTAGCTGGTATCAGACAGTGAGTTTTTAGCACTAAGTCTGCTAACCTGGCCAAGCTTTGGTGCATTCTGGTTTAATCTTCACATGTGTGCTCTTCCATGACTAACAGAAAACACCTGCGATGAAATCACTGATTGTGGCTTTGCCAAAAGCAAAACAGACTCAAGAAATCTTAACCCACAAAGCTGAACAGCAGCAACCTCTTGCAAAAACCTGCACAAACATTATCTTATGAATGACAGTTATACTAATTTGACACTCAACAAAAAAGCTAAAGATGACAACAATTAAGATAATATTTAGTAATACAGTGTATCCCAACATGCATCTGAAAGGTTCTGTTCTTTGAATATGTGTACATGTGTCAACAAAGAGTGTCATAAATAGAGAAAATGCTCTCATGATAAAAACCACTGTCATTCCAAAGCTCTTCAGTATTCAGAACTAAAGGAGGCTGCAAGCTGAGCTGTTACTACCAGTCTTTACGTTGCTTAGGAGGTTTCCATCCTGAGCACAAGAACCACAAGGGGTCTCATACTCCAAAACAACACACAGACCTCTAGGATCTGATTCTATGTCTGCAATTAATCTCTGTAATTGGATGTTGTCATGGGGGACTATAAGCTGAGCTGCTTTCACTAAAGTTAGTTCAGTCATTGTTGCCATCATTCTTCACTTTTTGGTAGAAGATTAATTATCAGGCACCACCTTCTCCCCAAAAAGAAACAGAGAAAGGGTTTCTGAACACTTCCTGGAGATTAGTGGGGCTGAGAGCTGAGCTGCCACTTACTTCACCCTTGTTGTTTCTTGGGTGTTTTTGTGGAGTCTTGTGTTTTCACTGTAAAATACTGCAGGAGTAGTATCACGCTCGTAATTAGTTTTTTATTGACACATTTAAAGGCTGGGAGCTGAGCTGACACTGGTTACGATGGTCTTGCTTTTTTATTTGGTATTATGAATTCAAATATTTCACAGGTGTGTGATGACTTACGGCCCTTAATGCAGTAATCAAACAATGCTTGTAGAAAATAGACAATACTGTGTTTTTTGACAGTTTCATTTGGTGCTTTATGAGCTGTGAGCTGAGCTACCACTCAGACGTCAGATCCATGGAAAATACTGGAGATAAGAGGTGAACTGTACTATTGTCTTTTACCCAGTAAGCACTGGATCAAGCAGTTTCACGCCAGCAATCACTGTTTTCTGTACACTCGTCATTGGCGCTTTAAAGGCTGTGAGCTGAGCTGTCACTAACTTTCATCTATCTTCTTGTATTTTCTTGAGGTCTGAATCTTAAAACACTTTATCCTTCAAAATTAATAAGCTTTGATACAAAACTATTCATATTTTTTAATTTGGGCGTATTAAAATAGGCTGCTTGATTTAAGAGTGGGACAATTTCATTGTACCTCATTGTTAACATATACTTTGACTGTTTTTACCACCAATCCCCTAATTTAACCACAAAAATCTGGAATAATGTGTTTTTCTAATTTGTAACAGACCAGAGCACATGGCCTAATCACTGGCGCAGGATTTCAAAGGATCAGCAGAGCGAGGAGGATTGGCATGTCAGCACATAGCACTGTGTCTAATTACAGGTCAGGATGTGATGGATCCACTTCAGACACTTACATCACAGCTGACCCAATGACCTTCAGACCCTCCCAGGAAATTTGTAAAGTCTCTGAACACATGAGGAAAACCTCAATCTTAAGAGCAGTGGTAGATTTGGAGTAAACGAGGAGGTAAAGGCAAAAACAATATCATGTTGCTGCACAGATTGGGTTGCATAATCTGTGCGGGCGCAGTTCAAAAACAATGACATAATCAGCCTCAGTCCAAATTCTCAACTGAGCGAGCAACAACTGTTAAAAAAGCCTCCAAAATTTCAGGATGAACCTTTCATTCCTCTCTTAAAAGTGACGTTTAAAGGAGTTGAAGTCTTCATTATGAGAACTTCCAAGTCTGCACAGACTGCTGCTACCTGTCAAAGTCAATTAACGCACTAATCTGTTTGCAAATCTGATTACCTTTTCAGTGCTGCTCCAGCGAGCTGTCAGCAGCAGTAATAGCTGCTCTCTCCCCTGTCTCATGTCAGACTGAGAGCTAAACTGAGATTCAAATCCTTAGACTCTTGTTGCTATGTTTGATTTGTGATTGGGTGTGGTTAGGTGCATCAACCTCACCAGGAAAGTGTCGTAGGCACCAAAACCTGCATCACTACATGTCGTAACAAGAGAATAATCAGTGAATAATCCCAATTGTATGATGAAAATTGTATGCATTTACGTTATTTCAGATAGATCTTTGTTATAGACTATTCCTTGACAATGAGAAAGATGTGAAAGCAAGATGGACTTGACAAACAGCAGCTTATTTATGTCAACAATATTCAATCACTGTTAATGAACGTACGCAACAAAAAGTTCCAGGATTTCAAGGCCACTATCATAACTTTCAAGGTGATAACATAAAAGCAGCTGCAGAAAATAAAGTAAACAGAATTTCTGATGCTTATACCTGCTCAAACCAATGGATTTTGTTAGCTTGGCTCATTTTACAAGGTGTTCTTATTGAGCTTTATTGTATTATCCAAGCATCCGTTTTAATTTAAAAGCATACCTCTTAGGTATCCAAATCTAACACTTATCACTGAGCCTACTCTTACGTCTCCCTACAGAGTTTTACTCATTTTTCTCCTGCCTGTCTTAAGAAATAGCTGCAGAAATGTGAGGATATCAGGTTTCTCAGGGCCTCACCTGCTGTAGGGGAATGACAGTACAAAGGAGTATGAAGTGTCGGTATTTTTCCATGAAAACCAAAGAAAAAGGAAAATAAATGCAGCATGTTAGCAGCTGAGGAAGATTAGAAACTAAAAAAGGTCGGGAGAAGTCAGTCTTTGTCAGTGAATTCATGCTTTTTCTCTCCACAGTTTGGTGTGGAAATAATTGGATTAAAGGGCTAAAACAAAGAAAAGTTTTGGGCTTTTCTTTGAACTCTTCTCACATGTTTCTTGATGTTCATGAAGCATTAAAGACGCCGACTACAAAAGCTGGAAATTATATTTCATGTTACCCAGCCAAGAAAACACACACAGCCAGCCCTCAGCAGGACAGAAACAGAAGAAAAGAAACTCTGGGCCTCCCTGCATGAACCGAGGCGTGTTTGTGAGTTCATGAGTCTCTGCTCGTAAGAGGGAGGTGAGGATTATAAAAAAGGTACAGAAGGAGGAGGGGAGAAGGGGGTGAGCAACAGGAAGATAATACCAGGAGAGGAGAAAGGACAAAGGAGGTGAGGAGCAGCCAGAAAGAGGATAAAAACACACAAAGAGGCCGACTGTGATGGCAAGATGACAAAAACCTCCAGAGAGGAGTGACTCAACAAAAGACGACCGATCTTTACGGGTTGAATCCACAGGACTGAGGGGAAAGACCTGTTTGTGCAAACCGCAGATAACTGAGTCATAGGGAGAGCTCCATGGGTGAGCCTGCACCGCGTTGGCTGTTCAAACACTCCAAACTTGCATATCTAAACTTTACTGTTTTTACGTGAGTGTCTGATTGTTTGTCTCAGATTTGCCAAAAATCCCCTGACAAACGTCTTCATTTCAAGATGCTGACAAAACTTCACCCAACTATCAATTATCTGTCCCATGTGTCTTGTTCAGGGTCGCAGGATCTGAATAATCCCAGCTGTCGTTGGCTGAGAAGTTGGGGGCACCTTGTACTGGTTGCCAGTCTCTTACATACGGAGACAAACAGCCATTCACACTCACACTCACACCTTCAGGCAATTTTGAGCCGCCAATTAACCTAACAAGCATGTCTCTGGACTGTGGGAGGAAGCCACAGTACCCGGAAGGAACCCATTTATTCATGGGCAGAACATGCAAACTCCACACAAAAGGGTTCCTGTCTCTGCCCGAGGATTGAACCAGAAACTTTCATGCTGTGATGCAACTTCTCTTACCACTGCACCACCTAAGTGTAAGTTCCCATACAAGGAAAAACACTTTTCTCATCACCTGTACATGAATACTTGAGTCATCCTCTAGTTTACCATCCCCGAGAGTGTGGAAGCAAAAAGCCTCTGCACTGTTTCTGCTGCAAACCTACAAGGAAGACACAGTCTCTACAAAGTGGGATGAATTTGCTCCTGGCATAACCACAGAAGCCATCAGCTGAGAAGCATGCATGCAAAACCACTCCTTAAGTGATTCCACTTCCTCCTGCACTGTTGTGATTTTGCTTCAGTGTTGCAGGGGTTGGACACCAGTGTTTAAGTCTTTCTTAGGAGAACTGCCCCAATAAAAACAGAAAAGCCTTTCTTTTGCATTTTTTTACAGCATCTTCAGTCACATGAAAATGTTATGGAATGATTTGTGTGCTACCGAAGCAAGTTTGCATGCCAGGCCAGTAGTCTGCAGTATAACCTCCTGAAATACAGTTTAGCATGTCTAGATTTGTTGGTTCAGTGTTTCAGAGTCAAAGGTTAGGCCTTGCTTTGAAGAGAACAATCTTTCCATTACAGTTCTTCTGGAGCACTTGCCGTATTTGTTTTTGGTAAGGCTGCATGATATTGGAAAGAACTAACATTGCGATTTTTTTTTAACCCTGCGTTATTAAAAATTGAAGGAATTTTCACCAGATGACCTGAATAGCACTTTATGTTGTGCTGCACTGCTATAATCTTGAGGACAGTTAACCTGCACTGATCTTACCTCTTTTTGTGAATGTTAGTAGAGTGGCTTTTGTCTGTCTCAGAGATATTTTTAGTTTTTATTGTGCTGGGGCAGTATTGTGGCAACAGATGAACACAGAACACGTGTTTTGGTCGAAAACATCTTGTAACCGAAATAATTCCAGATAACTGACTTTCCTTTTCTTTTTGGTAACAAGTCTTCATCTTCGGTGGTTTTCTCTGTTTATTGCTCAGTTTGCGATTGTTGTTGTTGTTGTTGTTACTTGGGTTGTGCTGAGAAACGCATGTCCTCAGAGAATTGCATGCACCTCACAAATGCGCACTGCTTATAGTAGAGAGTGGTCCACGGAAATGTACAATTTAAAACCCATACAGTTCTTATTTGTTGGGCTTAACAGTGATGAGTAATGTTCCGAAAGTAATTCTCAGCGGACAAGCGTTTCTCAGCTCAACTCTAGTAGCACCAGCGACTCCCTCCATATGCAGGACATGTGCAGGGGTGGGTTTCCTCCTCTCTGATTTTGACAGCTGGCAGGGTAGTCTGATTGGCAACTGAGAACTGAGTCTGATTGGCAACTGAGTAAAGAACGAAGGTGATTAGTGGATCGCTGCACAGCGCATGCAGAGTCACATGCAGTGTTTCTCAGTCGGTTACCCTTGAAATTAGATGAGTTCATTCACCTCCGACATCGCAGGCTCTGCGATGTGACTATCACGCACACATACATCACGATGACAATGCTCAAACGATATATCGCGCAGGCCTAGTTTTTGGTGTTTTTCCGCCTCTGCATCCGTCTGTAACCATCTTCACCCTGCTCTGTCAAACAACTGCCAGGCAAACAATCACTCCCATCCATGAAGCTACAGATACTCAATATTGCCTTTTGTAACTGAGTTTAAAACCTTGCCTGCGTTGGTTCAGATAGGCCACAAAGTCGAGCTCAGTCCTTAGCACATCAACTGATCTTAACCCCAGCCCACAACAGCCAACAGCTCAGCTTATTATTACCTTCTATGCGTCCAAATTTGCCAATCTCAAATTAGGTGCTCTCTTTAGACTGCATCAGCCCACCTACACATCCTGCTTCCTCTGCAAACTGCTGTTACCTACCTCCACCCCAGCACCTCCTTTTTGACTCTGTGACTAATTTTATCAGAATAGTATGTATTCACTGGTAAAAGATGCCTGCTTAGTCCAAAGGTTTCTGCTGCTGATCTCCCTGCCTTGGCTTCCCTTTTGCACACATTAAACAAAGAGACAGCTCTTCCACGTACACTCATAGAAGGGCAGGGAGCTCTTAGAATGGAGCTATACCACCAAATAAAACTTAACACAAGCAAATAAATAAAGAGGTACCAATTGAAATACCATTTGAAATTTACATTTGAATCAAAATGAAGAAATTGTGCAGCTAAGGCCATCCCCAATCACTCCCCCACACTCAATGCCATTAATTTTTAGAATTGGCTTTGCCAGTTAATTGCAACCCACATTTGTTAATATTTACAAAGATCAAAAAATAACACTATTTATCTGATATTTTCCTTCGCCAACTTTTTAATCTGCTTTCTATTCATGGAGACAAAGGGACTTTTTCTTGTCATGTCTCTTCTTTCTTTAGAGGATTGTAACTACAGCCTGCATGAAAATAATCTTAGCAACCATGAGCGGCGGTAACGCCTACAGGAATAAATCTGTATAAAAATAATCTAGTTAGGACAATCAAACGCATCCTGGTCGGTCTTTTCTTAGCTGATGAGCTAGAGCCAAATAAGACATCTCACTTCCCTCTCATCTCTAATGAAAGTTGCACATGTGCGGCAGCAATCAGGCAGGATGTGTGGATTTGTCAGCATCACATGGTATATAAAAAAAAAAGGTTTGTATGATTGTTTGATTGATGGAAATTCGTCCGTATAAGTAAAATTGTGCGAAGGTTGATGAGGATAACGGATTTAAAAGGATTCAAGATTATAGAGACACACACTAACATACACAGGACACAGCCCTTCTTCATCTTTCCTGTGCACAATAACAAAGAAAACACCGTCTCAGGATTGAAATCAGTGACTCGTATCCAGCGGCCACACCTAAACTTCACTTTGACGTTATTCGAAATGCCACACACGGTTTCGAGCTGATGTTATTTGGGGTTATTTCACAACGTTACCAGTGACAACACATCTCTGAGAGTGCCGTAAGACAGGATGTGGTTGTGTTGATTCCTGTTACAGTGTTAGTTAATGCAGAATGAGGAGCAGCACTGCAGATACAAGCTGAGCATAACAGATCTGTTAGTTTGTTCATGTGTGGGTGGGACGGCACGACCAGGAAATGTTTGTGAAGGTGGAGATCCACTGGTCTAAGAGTTTTATTCAAACAAAAATCGAGTTAAAACGATCGCTTACTAACCCAGAAGCTCTTAGATTCAAGTTTCCTGGTGTTGTTTGGGTGTAGTGACTTTCTGCAGCATCTGTCATGGTTCCCCAGACACCACAGACTGTTGTGACTAACTCAAGCCCAGGTGCCTCGCTTAGAAAACAAGACACAACATGAAATAACATATTTTTTTCTGTTATGGTGCAGAAACACAAGCCTCTTCTTTCAGCTTCTGTGGTTAGTCTAACAAACTTTGAACAAGTTTGGCTCCTCTACCTTAGGACTCTCGTGCTAAATGATGGTGTAGAGGCTACTGACAGGTTATCACTGGAAGTTTTTAAGTCTTATTTTTTTGAAACTCTTGGTTCTGTTAGAGTTGAGGGGTTTTGAAATGTACGATCAAACTGATAATGTCAGAAGATTTTTTTTAAGGTACTCTCATCACTTCCTGACCACTGAACAGCACTATTAACCTCAATAAATCAATACAATGATGATTTTCTAAGTCACCTTCTCAATTTATTCCTGCACAAGACCAGAGGAAGATGTTTTATATGTCACAATGTGGTGTGTTTAATTTTTAATGCTGTTTACACCCAATTTCCCTTAATGGCTGCTTTCTAAAAAAGGCATTTTAACAGCATTAACAGGAGACTTTTATTGTGAAGGAAATTAAAGGTGTTTGTCTTCTAATTAACTGAGCTTTGGTGGGGCATCAATTAGCAGAGATTTTCAAAACAACAGAGGAGTTACAGTTTTTAAAGCCCCTCCTTTAAACCCATTCAGTCACATTTAATCATTTTGGACTAATAATGAGCAGGTCATTTGCTGAAACACACCTTAAAATAGGTAGAGTCACTGTAACAGAGATGCAAATCCCTGCTGTGCTCACCTGGTCAGACCCAAAGCTGCAGAAAGAGATGTACTGTACTGATCATTGTTGACTTTTACTGGACGCACAGACACCTGCTCTGACACGAGGAGGGCTGTTCTTTGGTTAGCAAAAGACCAGGGTTCGATGAGGTCACAAATTCGACTGTTGCACCACATTACTTTAAAGGTCACTGTGGCTAGTAGTACGTTTAGCGAATTTACACATCGTAGCACAAAAACCCCTGCAGTCAGCAAGAGCAAATGTTCAACCCTTCAGCATCAGTGTGTGGGAAAGTAAATCTCCCACACCTTTAAGTGCAGCCACTCTCTTACTCCCTCTAAATGAGGATCCTTCTTTTTCACAGCAGCTTAAGCAAAAAATCATTATCTAGACTTTAAGCTACAACTGTTTTAGGGAGTCGTTTTCTGATGCATTGCACTTGGCAGGGAAGTCGGAGCTGATTTACCAGCTTTTCCCTCCTACGTTTGCCTACTCCTCTCCTCTCACCTTCCATCCCTCACCCTTGCTTCTTTCCCACTCCACCTCCTCTCTCCTCTCTTCCTCCCACACTGTGCAGGATTTACTTTAGCTCTTGTATGCAAAACTCAGCGTGGCCATGCAAAAAGAGGAGCTCAACCACAATGATGCCCAACAAGACCGAAGAAAACAAAACTGACATGGAGAGGAAACAACAACTATGAGGATATCTTATCATTTTCTCCACTGCAAACTAATACACAAAAAGTTTAAATATAGCTGTGAGCTGTCAGGAATAATTGCTTTAAATGCAGATGTCTATAGGTGAAACTCTCTCCTCCCTCCAACGGACCAGAAAGTGAGGACCAGCAACAGGATTAAAGCAAGCAGGAGATATGTCAGAGTATTTCTGTTTTCATGGAAACGGCATGCACACTGCGAGAAAACCGGCAATGAAAGAAAAGCAAGGAATCAGTGCATTTCATCTAATTTACAGGCTATTATTAGACATGAGATCAGATCGAGTGTAATTACAGTCTGGTTTGTGTCACAGATGATCTCTGGGGTTAGCAAAGCCTGTTTGAAGGGTTAAAGTACAAACACTGTGATGTATTTAATGTCTGTGGTATTAATTATCCATCCAGATGTCCCTTTAATAAAAAACAGACACCAGCATGCAGATCACACCCACATACATCCACACACATATTGAAGTTATTAGTTTAAATCAAGCAGGAGTCAAGGTGAGGAAATTACAGAAAGGAATTACTGAGATAGAATGTAAGGTTTTCTGATCACTTATGTATCTATGAACGTGAAGTTTTATACTCAAACATGGTTCAAAAATGTAGGAAAGCAGGATAACACGCAGCTAAATGGAGGTTAAACAAAAAAAACAGGATTATAAAATATTTACCAAGTGAGTTATTCTCTCTAGATATTGTCAGACACATCGTCAAAGCCTTTTCTCTTCAGATATGAGTTTATTTTGAGGGACAAAAGTTCAGGAAAAGCTTTATTATTAAAAAATGATTTTAGTCTCCTAAAAAAAAATTAATTACAAGAGATCATATGTTTCATTTGAGTTTAGATCAGAAAATTAAAAGCTAGTGGAAATCCTTGATTCAGTCTTTATGTCATCTAATATAACATAATTATGTAAAGAGGCAAAGGACCAACGACAGATCCCTGTGGTACTCCACAAAATCCTGACATATGTGTTTATGTGTTAAGTAAATAGTCGTTCAAACACACATTGGAGAGTAGAGTGGTTGTTGTACGCAAAAAAGTGAAAACATAGCACATGGAGAATGATACTTCTCAGACTTTAAAGGTGCTTCTTGTCCTCAGAATCAACCACCACCTCACTGATAGGGGTGTAAGCAAGTTACTGTTTTATCCAGAATCTGACTGCTTAGTACTCGTCAATATTCCAGACTCTACACACTGTACCTTTAAGACTGCATTCAGTTCGTTAAGAAAATGCTTAATGTTGAAACACTCTAAAAGGGGAATTAAAGCAGTTTTAGTGTGATCTAAAAAATTGGTGAAATGACACACCAAATTTTTCAAAACAATGTTATGTTGTCGAGTTATATTTTAATGATACAGAGTAAAAAAAACTCTATAACTGTCAATAAAATAAACACAAACAAGGAAAAACAGACATTGGACCAAGGATGGACCCCTGTGGCACAAAAAATACGGTGGATGGAAGGTAAGGCAAGATAAATTAATCCCATGTTCAAATAACATAAATGATCACATTGCAATAATTTAGGACAGACTTTAATTAAGCCAGGCTCTTTTTTATAGTAGAGGAGATTCATCCACAGTGCTAAACTGGAGCCTTGAAATATTTGAACATTTGGTTTAATAGCTAATAAAATGACAATAAAGGGGAAAAGTTCCCACCTTAACATCTGTTGGCCAAAAACTACTTACTCCAACCCACCACCCCCGTCTCTTGTGTGTCAAACAAAATCACTACAGAAATTTTGTAGGTTAATAAAGTGTCTTTGAGGATATATCAAATACATATTATGACCTGGACTCAAGAATTTAAGTCACTTTTACAGACGATAATAAACTTCTGCATGACTCTCATTAAACCCCTTTGAACCAGACCATTGTCTAAGGATAATATCTCTTCACCTTGTACACCCAGGTCTATAATAAAAGTCTTTCAGTCCATTAAAACTGTCTTTGAGCTTCCCATATATTTTGCCCTTATAAAAGCTAATCCTTTGAGATTTTGCAGTAATCCTACAATAACTGTAAAGTAAACATAAGTATGAATACACAGATACAGCTATCCTAACCCCTCCTAGGCCCCATGGCCTCTCTGCCGTGCACAGACTTTCCTCAGTGAATCAGCCATCTGGCCACCAAACACAGTGGGAGTTAATGGATCTGCCGGGTTACATAAGGCAGACTGGGCCTCAGCTTTCATTATTCACCAAGCAGTCCTCTCCACACCATTAGATTATTTACACACAGTCTTATAAAGTTACATTGTGTTGCAGGACAAACACAGAGCCAAGAGGAATCAGCACTGAGGACCATTAACTAATGACTGCCTGCTGAGCCTGCAGGAGACAGCAGATAAAGGATTTAAGGAAAGTAGAGATCTGAGCATGCAGCCATGAGGTCCGGGTTTCAAATCCAGTTGGTTAACCTATCTGATGACACAAAGGTAAAACAAGGGCATCAACTTTAACATATGCATATTTATATCCAGCATAAAAGCTTACAAGAAAATCAGTTTTAAAACAGCTGAAGTTAGCCTGAGTGAAGCTTCTGTATGACTTTCTATTTACGTAAAACTGAGACTCACCCTAAACATATAAGGAGTAAACCAGAGTGAAGCTTCTGTGTAACATACTATTTATGGTGAAAATGAAGTGTTCTCTTCATGGTCCACTGCAAGCATGTAAGCCAACCTTATAAAAACGTCGTGAAGTACTGCACATTTATTTCTAAGTATTTTCCCAGCCTGATAAGCCATGGAAGGACATGCAGCTTTACAGTATCAGCAGATCCTAAATTACAGATGTGGAACAGATTGGTTGGTCATGTGGTCTTGGTTGTGAACGTCATCGTGGTTCCCCTACAAGTAGCACAGATGGACACAAAAGTAGCTTCAATCACAACAAGAACTAAAACTCTAGATGTCTACTCTCCACAGCTAAGCAGATGTTTTATCAATCTTCTGTTTTCAAGTTTTAATGCTTTTCAGTTTCTTTTTAAATGCTTTTAACTTTGTTTTTTGGCTTTTTTTGACTGTGGGAGAATGATTAGAACAAGTAAAAATGTGAAAACCGAGTGTGGAATGAGGTATTAACAACCGTCAGACTTGAAAAATGAAGCTGCAAGTGTCAAAAACTGCAGTTCCTAAAGTGTTCACTACAGGTTGTTTGCAAAAGCAGCAGAAGCCACATAGACAAAGCCAATATTAACAGCAGGAATAAACATGTTTACAGCCTAGTTTAAGGAAAGATCTTGGTCTGAATGCCAGCAAAAAACTGTCTAAAGCCTCAACTACACAATCATTTAGCACATCCGAGAAATGCAACAGCAGGTTAGGTTGCACAACAAGCCCTCGACAACCAGTCTTTTAGCATGGCGGCAGATGCAGGCCTCTGCAGGTCACTGATGCACTTAGATCAGTATCAGGATTGATATCAATCATCATGTATCTCTATTACATTCTATTACTTCCAAAACTAAGTTTCAGGAGCATTTTGTGACCGTTTCTAAACCCCAAAGTCACAAACAAAAACACATAAAAACCTTAAAAGTCGAGGCAGCAGCAGCAGACGAGGGACTCCTGTATTCTGAGACTGTTTTTGTGAATGAAGATTGGTGGGCTTTAAAAACAGCATTTCAAAGCTGATACCTCAAAATGTATCAAAAGAGTGCCTACACTTAAAACCGATGTGAGGCTTTAAGCGGTTAAATAAAGTACAATGGTCAACCATCATGCAGAAAATAAGTTGTTCCTTCTTTAGAAGTCAGGCAGAAAATGCAAACTCACTCTGAAGGGTCAGAAATGATGCAACTTCTGCACGTTTGCAAAATACAACCTAGTTCTTGTGTTTCGTTTCAGAGACTCTGTGCGGCACATTATATGCATGTTGGCAAAGTGGTTGTGTTGTCCTAAAGCCTGCCTGTCTGTGCGTGTGTCTGCCCTTTCTCTGGTTACCTCCCCTGGGACAGAGGAGGGAATCCCCCTCCCCACCAGCTGCTGTGCTCTGAGAGAGCAAACCCAGCAGCAGGCTTCAGACAGAGAGACATCCACACATGACAACACTAAAAATACGGGAAATTAAAAGTATGAGGAGTGGACTGTGCAGCCATAACTGACTTGTGGTTTCTGTTAGTTCAACAAAACATAAAGGGAAGTTCAACTACAAGCTGACAAACAGGCTCATCAGGTCATGAAGGGCTCTTAATTTCTTACTTTGTGGGTCTTTTCAATATTTCACTTTCTGTTTCATGAAAAAGATCTTTAAAAAGTGGCTTCACAGCTACATGGAAACATCACGGTTCTAAAGTGTGGAGCAATCAGAGAGCTAAAGACTAAGAGACGAAGACAGACAAAGCAGAAGTGAAGAGGCAGCCCACATCCGCTGCACAGAGGAAATAAAACACACCGGGGGGTGAACACACTCTTACACACACACACACACACACACACACACACTGCTCTGACATGCATGCAGTCTCACTTAATGACACAGAACAGATGTAAACAACTGACAGGGAAGGCCGCAGCCATATGTTGAGCCCTGCACTCATACACACACATACACACACACACATGCACAGAGGGATGAAAACAGGGCTTGCTCAGCCCAACCATGAGCCGACAGTACAATGTCGTTTTGCAGTTTCCAGCAGCTTAGTCAAAGGGCTTTTCAGCAACACTGTTAAAACCAGGCCAGTGGTTAAAGGGGGCAGCAGGGGCTTGATTTACTGTATCACTCTCCAAAGCTGCATGTAATCACACAGAGTAAGAAAACACACAAAACTTTTGCTATTTTTTTTTTTTACATTTTTAGGTGCAACAACAACAAGACTGTAGGGCTGGGCAATATGGCCTCAAATCAATATCACGATATATTGAGCGGTTTACCTCAATAACGATAAATGGGCGATAACTACTCCACAAGCTGCTCACCCCCTCCCACATTTACTTAGTCTACTTCAGCCGCCGCTTCAGTTGCTACAACTTTTGAACCATCCTCCATCTCCTCACCTGTCTTTCCGTCTTTGTTACGGACTGGATGGGGTGGAGTCACATCTCTGATGTAGGACAGCATCTTAAATGGACATGATACCATAGCCTACCTACACACATCCAAAAACAACTTATATATATTTTTTTTTTTGACACAGAATTTATTGACATAGGCAAAATGATGTCAGTTATTATTGTAAATTTCAGTATCTGTAAATATTGGGGTTTATCGTCCAGCCCTACACGACTGTCTGATGTTACTAAAACAAAGTGTTTACAAGCACTGCTGCTAAAAAGTCTGTACTCTCATAGCAGTATCTCACAGCCAGTGATTCCAACACATACACAGTACCTGGTGGGTATAGTATGCTGAGTATATTCAAATCCACTTCAGTTTAACTGTTGACACCTTTTACACTTTTCTGTTTTCTAATTTGTCAAAGTTTACCGTCTTCGATCACTGGTTTATCACATGAGAAAGGTGAGAGTTACACCAGTGCTGAAACGTTCACTGTGAGATATTTTAAAGGGACATTATGTCAAACACACTCACACACACCGTTCATTATTCCTCTAAGTCAGCTGCTGGCTGGCTTGGTTTAGGCATGGAGTGTCTGTTTATATATGTGTGTGTGAGAGTGTGTGTGTGTGTCCCTCCTCAACAACAATCTCTTGTCTCTGACATCCCCTGAGGTCATATGAGACAGCCGGTCAATTTATTAACTCTGTGCCCATGCAGCGTTTTCATTTCTCCTCCTGCAGAACGAGCTGCTCTGAAATGAGTCGTGTTGGTCCAAACAATCATTTTTTAATAAACTCAGAATCTGGTTTATTATTACTGAGAGGGACATCCAGATCCCAGACTGACTCCTTTAATATCCAGCTCCTTTTTTAGCCTCAATTCAAAGTGCCTCCTTAAATTTTACAATTAAATTCAAATTAAGAGAACTACCAGTGTTTAGGGGGGGCACAGCATCAACAAAGCATTACAGTTACCTAAGAGCAGAGAGTATAAGATGTTCCACAGTGAAAAAATGAAACCCAAATAAAAGCTGGAGGATCCTCTTTTATTGCTTTTTAACCCACAAAGTCTGTGCTTGTATTACTCCCCGCTGTGTTGTGTTTACATGTCATTAATGCAGACTGCTGGCTCGTTTCTTGACTTTACTCTTGTACTCTTTACTCTCTGGTGATGCTCCTTTATGTGGGCGCAGTCTTTTAACGGGGAGAAATGGCCCATTTTTATAGCTGCTGTTTCACTCAGACAAAAACACAAGCAGCCGAAGATCTGGAAGTTAAATTATGAACAAGATACAGACTCCTGAGGGGGTTCACTTCTGTAAGAACTAAGGTTAGAGGATGGGATATCAAATGCAAAAAGCAAACTGTACTTAAGGCCGGGTTGTAAAACCATCCAGACATGAGATTTTTGTAAACTTTAGGTCCATAAAGTCCATAAACCGAGGATATTTCACCTGATATGAATAAATCACACAGCAGACTTAGAGGACACAAAAGCCAGCCTGTCTGCAGATTTTATCTAAGATTGAATTACACGCTTATTTCCTGCAGCACAACATAGTTTGAGTGAGCTGTAAAGAACTCAGATTTTCTCTGGAAAACAAATTTCTTCCGCAATCAGACAAGGAAATGATCACAAGCCTGATTCACATATGCACAAAACTCCTGAAAATTTTCAGTTTTTCAGGGAGGTGCTGCAAAAAAAAAAAAAAAAGCTGAACTTTTCACCCTGACTTTTTCTTTCAAGTTCCCTGGGAAAACTTCCATAAGAAGTCAGGCTGATGATGTAAAAATGTAGCAGGTAAAAGTCAAAGCAAGCAGGAGGGAGGTGGCGATGACATTTAAAGCACCTCCACAAGAGGAACACATAATTGGACTAAGTAAAAACAGCCACAGATATTGAGACTTCCTGACACAAGACCTGGTACACTAACGTCACAACCACATGTGACATCACCTCACTCTGACTCATGTTCAGACTCAAACAATGGCATCTACACTGGCACCTTAACATTCTAGCCTTCTGCCAAACACAAGAGTAGAGCCAGCCCATGCAGACAGGGAAATATGTCAAATCTGTGCCAGAATGATCGCTGAAAAACAAGGAAATGTTACTATCAGGCTATCGAGTCGGAGCTGCTTGAGCTTGGAGTCGGTTATCTGAGTTGCCAGACCCCTAAGTGTGGACACATTTTGTCTTTTGTAAAAGAAATTTAAAAAAAAATTGGAGGCGTCCCATAAATCAGAGTCTGTTTGCAAAGTATACAGAAGTGAAGTTAGACACACTGGCTGCACAATCAATCTTAATACTCAGCATGTTCAGAGTCAGGCTTTTGCAACAAGGCCTCAATTGTGCAAAAGTGCAAGAAAAAAAATAAACAAATGAAACAAAAATCACATTAGGAGAACTTCTGAATTAATCCCTGCTGAGTTTTTGTAGGACTGTCATTAATAAAGAGAAACCTTCTCCTCAAATAGAAACCTGCAGACCGTTGGCACCAAACATCTCTTATGTAACAGCTTCAATCCTGTAACACAAATATCACAGTTTTAAAACCCACACTTGGATAACCCAATTACAAAAGCATTTGCCTGAGGGTGATCTGTGTGTATCCACACTGAAAAACCTTGGAGATTTGTGAGTCCACAAGGTGCACGCACACACAATGACGAGGCTTTGTTCGCTGTAACCGCTGCAAGCTACCGGGAAACACTCTGAGGAGGAGGCAAGCCAAGTCTCTTTCTTTGTGTGTGTGTGTGTGTGTGTGTGTGAACCTTTGACCTTCCTCAAGGAAGCTGCTCCAGTAGGGAAGGAGAAGGGGGGGCTGGATGTTATCATAAACACTGCAGGGCCTCTTCAGCCCAATCTTACCCCAGTTTAACCACCATGTTTATCTCCGTAATCGCAACACAGCTTCAGTAATATCCGGCACACAACAGCTCGGTCTGTATGAAAGGAGGAGCAGCTTTACTGATACAAATGCAAAGTCTAAACTCTTATGTGCAACTTAATTTTAGCTGTGTCCAGTTTAAGTTGACCTTGGTTGACTTTTTCTAGTTTGCTGATGATGCTGTGGTTTCTTTCGAGAAGATTTCCATATCTGTGTTTTGAAAATATTGCCACTTTAGTATGTTTTAGAATGTATGTTTAATATTCTATCCCTGTTCACAATCAAAACTTACAAGGTCTATTTTGAAGGCTTCAAACCAATTGGCTGAATTTGAACTAAAACTGTTAGCATCTAAGTTTGTCTATTTTTTTCCATTTAAACCAACTTCATACACTGGGTTTAATGAGAAGACCTACTGTGGTTTCACATTTACCTCTCAGACAGGCTTCAGTGTGTCCAAATTAGTGCCGTCCAGTCTTCTTATCTCAGCATTACAAAGGGAGTTCTTCAAGGTTCAGTTCTTGGGCCTCTGCCGTTAACCACTGATGTAAATAACATCACAAATTCATTAAAACGTCTTTTTTTAATCTTTACGCTGATGACACTATCCTTTACACTTCTGCCAACTCCATGATGCCACTCTGAATCTGCGACACACATTTAACCAAACCACAAACAAAAAAAGACAAATTAAGAGGTAAAAGGAACCCATCGCACGCTTCCAGTCGTGGCTTACTTATGTATAGCGCTAGATCTTCTTTTAGTTCCTCTGCTCGGAACACTCAGAATTTAATCCAAACAGAGTTCAAGATGACTACACTTGTACAACTGAGACTATTTCAAAATTTTGTTTCTGATTTTATTTACTTCAGCTGTTTTTGCTTTAACATTCCCATCGCTCCAGCTGTTTTTAACTTTCTCTGTATATCATTTTTTATTCTTACCCTTTCTCCTCTTAATTTATGAATAGCATGTTTTATTCTGGTTCCTTTGTCACTGCTAGCCCCTCACCTTCTCTAATTGTTCATTTAAAACTGTCTGCTGATATTTGTATCTGCTCGATTGCTGTCGATATCTCGGCACTGTTGCAAACAAGGTTTCTACTTCAATGTGTTTTATAAAGATTAAAATGAGTATTCACAAATAGAAGCCTCTTGCACACATGCACATTGGAAAATTTCTAGGAAGCTGTCCATTAATATGCACGTCAAAAGAAGCATGTTGTCTGGACAGTTGGACAGGATAGGAAGTGGAGACATAACCTGAAATAGATGCTGTGAAAGTCTGAGATGATTGTTTGCAACATATCCAAGATGGCGGATGAAGCCAACATAGCAATGACACTTTTTTGCCTTTATATCAATTCTACATGTGAGCAGATACCTATGACACACTTTCATGCATGTTTACATTCTAGTCATGTGACACAGATGCAGACACAGCCTAAACAGTCAGTTCAAATGAGAGGCTGCACTAAAGTGATGCTGTGTAATCAAAAAAGAAAGCCTCAGATCATAGAAACTGTCACTGCGACCCTTTTCAGAAAAGCTGCAGCAAAATCTGATCAAAAATGGAGCAAAATCCTAAATTTCAACCACTATCAATAAACAGCTACTGAAAGAGAAGAAAGAGCGAACAAATCTGAGGAAAAGAACTTATTTTACTCCTCCTGCTATTCACACAATGTTTTCTCTTCAAAGGTCTGAGGTTTGCAGATAAAAGCTCATTAGGTATGAGTTGGCTGCATTGCTCTTCGTTCCCTTGGAGCTTTTTCTTCTCCCTGACTAACAGTCTCTGCAGGCAGGAGAGGAAAATATCAAAACAACACTGAAAATATCAAACTGGGGTCAAAGTTTTAAGATCTTTGACTGTGATCTTGTAAATAAAGGTTTCAAAGAAGCTTAGAAAGTGCTTTAAACGAGGATGAGTGTAGACCTGCGGTACGACTACACCTGATGATGACAGCTGAGTGAATCAGCGAGGGCTGTCACCACCTGCACACACACATACACACACAGACGGTACAGGGGCAGGACTCCATATAGCTCCTATAATGACAGTCTGAGTGGGTTTAACTACCAGCTATCTCACAGAAACTGAGACCAGCTCATTACTCAGCCACAAAGACGAGCTAGGTGCTGCAAAAACATGTTTTTAAGACTGAAATGTCCACAATCAAGCCGACAGAGGAGAACCGCCTGTGAATTAGGGCTGAATGAAAAACAGCGAGTCACTATGACACAGAAGTGTCAGCACCTGCTGAGCTCAACCTCGAGGTGAAAATGAAGTGGACTAAACAATAAACACATCCCCGATGGAGTCTTTTATGTATACCTCTTTGCTTGACTTTCACTCATTCAGTCATTTCAAAGTAATACAGCTCATCAGCGTCTTCCTAAGGGCTGCACAAATGCAAATCTGGGCAGACACTGGTTCTTATGTTTAATATAACAAACTCACATAATACATACAGAGAGAACAAGCAGAAGAGCGATGCCATGGCGTCACCAGTGTGGATGTTTTTCTCTGTTTTAGAGGATGAGAACATGAATCAAGAGTCTTTTAAGACACCTGGAGAGTCTCAACTGCAACTAATAAGAGTGCAATGATTTGTCATAGCAATGATTTGATTGGTAAAAATCAATGGTAAAGTTGGGGCGCATTCACACCACCCTCATTTAGTTTGGTTGAACCGAACCCTGGAGTGTTTACCCCCTTGGTGCGGTTTGTTTGGGTCGGTGTGAACACTAACCTCGAACTCTGGTGCGGACCAAATAAATGAACTCTGGTCCGCCTGAAGAGGTGGTTTCGGACTGCTATCAAATGAACTCTGGAGCGGTTCATTTCTGGTGTGAACGTCATCCACACCAATCACAGGAAACGCACCACGTAGTGGAACGTTGTGAAATAAATGTTTTCCGCTCACCTTACTTGTCCCGATTGACACCAGAGAGAATACGCATCGTGGTAGGCTCTCATTAATGCCTGTCGCCATGTTGTCTTTATCCATCTGTTGTTTCCAGCACGTCTACTCTGGAATGTGACTTTTGGTTCCGTTTTCTGGAGCGATTGAGTTTCTCCTTTGTGAACGCAAACCGGACCAGTTAAACAATCAAAACAAATGTATCGTCTTGCCTTTGATTCAAATCAGGAAACTGACTTTTAGGTGTGAACACGACCTTAGACGCAGATTAATTAAAAAGTCATTGAGAGAATCCTTAAAGAGTGAGACCTCTTGGCTTCCTTCTATCTTTGCTGAGAGTGACAGGAACAAGTAATCAAAACAGCAAAAAAATACACCAAGAAGTGAGACATCTCTGATTCTCACTATCTCTGCTGTGTGAAGCACATGCAAAACGGCAACAGGTAGAGAAGTTACAGCAACGAATCAGCAACTGAAGCAACATCTTTGGCATTGGGTCAAAGTTTCTAAAGTTTGGAAGCATTTCATTCAACACTACAAAAAAACACCTGCCATCGAGAAGCGAAACTTGCTTTCATGGGAGCGGTAATGTCAGTATAGTTTTTAAACATTAAATAGTTCATGCATGCAGCTGTTAGTCAGTGACAAAAGAGGAAGCGATTGTAGACAGGCAGACATCAAAAAAGTGAGGTCCGACGCTAACTCTTCTGGGTCAAATTATCATAATATTAATTTACCATAAGTATACACAGAGGGTGAGGTACCAAACAGAAGGGAGGCAACTATTTGATTAAAGGTCAAATAGTTTCCAGTGACATCAGAAAGTATTTGTCCATCCAGTCTGATTCATAACATCTACATTCCATTAAAAGTCTGATCCAGCACTGACCACAGCAGGACCCATTAAAATGGAACACCTGAGGGGCCTGCAGCACTAATTAATGTAATTACCTGTACCTGACACGTCAAAATGTCTGTCACTAACTAACTTCAGGGACAGATTTAGGAAAAACTGTAGGTGGCACTAAAAATACAGACACCAGCTGTGTTTCGCAAAGTAGAACCGACAGGTGAGCTCATGCAGAGATAATAAATTAATGTTGTCGTCCAAACCAAAGCATCCGCTGAGCCATTTTTAACACTGTAAGCTATCAAACACTCTATGCTGGATCTCTGACATGTGGAAAGCTCAAATTAAACCACAATAATTTTGTAGAAATTAATCTGTTCCTCAGATTTCAACATGCTAGGTCCAGGAGGAGCAGAAACACCCCGGAAATTCATTCCGATATTTTTTTAACTGGTGTCCAAATTGTTACATATTTTGTTTAAAACAGCTGTAAAAGCTCCTTCAGGCAAATGTGGATGAACTGCACCACTGCTCTCTTAAAAACAACCAGACTCCACTGACTGAAACAGTATTTCAGCCCTGCAGAAGGTTTACCACTGTCTCAGTCTGTTAGTTTCTGTGAATCAATGTGTTATTGTGTTAAACTCAAATAAAGCACCAGTTAATATTCTCTTATATTGGGTTGGTTCACTTGGCTTGCAGCGGAGTCTGTCAACAAGCATGACATGCTAAGGGATCGATTGGTATTTCCAACCAATAAGTGGTGAGAGTTCGCATGATAGTGGCTGTGACAGAGGGCAGAGCAAAGACACACAACTTCAGCAGTAAGCAAACCAAGTCCAGCAGCTTCCTGCAAATTTATGTGAAGATGTAAAAAAACTGTAAAATAGCTTCTAACTTTTCAGCTTTACTCCTTTGTTCATCGGCGTTTTCTCTCTTCACTTAATATGTTTGCCGATGGACCAGTGCTGCTAAATCTCTCTCTTACAGTCTCTCTTCGAGCTTTCCGAACAAATAAAGTCTAATTGCCCCCAAAATTTCTCATTACAGAGGAAGGATGAAACCTCTTAAGTTGTGCAGTTTCCCAAATAAACCCTTAAAACAGTGGTAGACTAACAACTCCTGTGTTCTGCGCTGTTAAACTATCGTCAAAGGAGTCTGGTGAATTTGAAGAGATTGACAATGGTGCTGTTTCTGGATAAAAAGGGATCTATCCTCAACAAAGAAAGCTCTATGTGTGCGAGGATGCTTTTTCTAATATTGTCAGACACCAAGAATAACAACCTGAGCCTGTCACATACCAGAATTCCCCTGTAAGCTTTCCTGCAAGGATTCCTGAAACCCTCAAAACCTTCCGGAGCCTCTTTTGTGGTTTCTGCTCATGCAAAACTAATTTTAAATCCAGGGAGCCAAAATTGGCACAGCATGAGCAGAGATACCCTGACTTGCAGCTCTGCATCCTACACATCCCAATATGCAAGATGATACCAACCCCTGTGCTGTGGACAGAGACACACAGTGGTATCATTTACCACCATGCTGAGCTGGATATGATGTGTTTATCCAAGAACCTGCACTTGGACAAACACATCTCAATCAGGAGATATTACTGCAGGTATGAGATACATTCATCATCACTTCCACAGTCATTAGAGCTGGGCTTCCCCTGCAGCAGGTGCCTGTGTGTGTGTTTATGTATGTTCAAGGCCTCGTCATCCCATAGGGCCTAGACCTGGGTTGTTATGAGCAGATGGTCATAATTAGAAAAGCACAGAGAGCTGTGCTCAGCAGCAGAGGAGGAGAGATAGACATGGGGGTGTTGCTTCAAGTCTGTGCGGATTGATTTCAGCAACCTGGATGGGCTAATCCTCTTTTCAATAAGACAAGGCCAAAGTGTAGTTCCCTTTAATCTGCACAATCACACACACACCTACTTTAAGGTTTTCCCCCCTGCTGTTGTTTTAATGTCCCGCTGCAACAATGGGATAAAGTAAGTGACACGCACTAACAGTGAACACCAAAGTTAGCATCTTAATCGCAGCTTCTGATACGGCTGTTCAAGGAAAAGGTACAGACACAAAGTCCTCCTGGTCCAAAACCACTTATCAAATTTGGGCTGGATTTTCTATAGCTCTTAAAGAAAGCTTTAAATTCACAAAGCCTTTATTAATTCAAAGAAAACTGTGAAGTCTCCCTTTTTTGTGCTGTCACATAAGGAAGAAGGGTGTGACAAATCTCTGACTGGGTTTTAAAGAGTCAGTAGCACATCTGAATAATTCAGTCCAGGTCTGAAGAGTCTTGGTAATGTGGTGCTAGATCAGGGCCTGGTTTAATGTGGTCTGGAGGTGAAAAGGGGGCAACAAAATTGACCTCTTTTCTATTTTTGCCAGTCTGAAACTGTTTTGAGAACTCTGTAGCCCCTCTTACATAATCTAGTCTAGATTTCGCAACTCTTGGTAGTCTAGTAGCTTTGCATAAGGTGTTGTTACAGTGGAAAAACACAAGAAAACTATCAAACCTACTATAACATTGAACTATGACTCAAAGACAAACATGTACAGGGTTTAAAACTCATGGGAGGATATGATGAGGAAGAGGAACTTGCATTTTCTTCCTTTCTCTTTGAAGAAAACTTAAACACGACATGGCTGTTTGAAAAAAGGTCTATTTCATATGGCTTGGTTCCAACAGAGTAACTATAAACACCTCATAAAATACGCCCCAACTTTCAAGTCACACAAGCAGGAACATCTATTCAGAAAAGAATGAATTCTAGCATGCTAATAGCAGCACTAATGTAAGACTGATAATGCCAAACATCCACTTTTAAGAATAAAATGGCAACAGCAAAGATGGTTATACATTAGCCGAATTAAAAAGTAAGACTTTTTAAAGAGAAAGAATACATTGAAAACCAACTTCAGTCGTGACAACCAAAACCGGGGTGGTTTTTAAAAAAGATCCATGAAAAGAAGTCGAGGTTCGGTACAGACGCCTCCCCGTTAGAAGAAAGGGGCAGGTGTCGCTAAAACAAAAGGAGGTTCTCGTGATAATAGCACGCCCGCTCGTGTTAAAGAAAAGAGTTAAAGAAAAGAGTGAAAATTGAACAAACCTGCATGTGTGATGTCGGATAGGTCGTAGTTCTTGGCACTGCGGGGAAACTCCTTCAGTTTTCGGTTGGATAAGTTGAGAGCCCCGCTCGCGGCAGCCTCCTCGAGCGCCTTCTCCACGCTCCGGCTGGCCGCTACGGTGGCCGGCAGCTGGGCTCCATCCCCAGCAGCCATCAAACATACAGGTCTACCTCCTCCTCTGTTACTTTGTTAGATGCGTCCGCTTTACTTTCATTCCCCGCTGATTCTTATAAACTCCAAACCGAGCGCGTCTTCTGGTAAACTTCCTCAAAAGTACAAAATATAAATCCGAGAAAAATCAGTAGGAGACGTGAGATGTAATTGCGTTCCTCAAACAACGGGGGCTCGCGCTTCTTCCACTAATCGAGAGAGCGGTGTGAGCTGTCAATCTTTCAGGAAGTTACGTCAAGTTCACACATTTCACAACACGATTTTAGGAAAATAATGTCTTACCTTCAAAATAAAAGCATACTTCTCAACAAACTTTAAAAAAAAAAAAAATTATGATTCTTTATAATTTTGCACACTGTTCGATCAGGCAAAGCACATAATGGCTTGACATAATCATGCATTCCCAAAAATTAACATGTCATAAAAGAGCTTTTTTCCCTGTAATCTGGTAAGAATACAGATCTACTTTCATATCATATGATCATTTTATGAAGAGAAATTTTCCTTTTTTTAAATTTTGATTATTTTGGCCTATGGCTCATGAAACTCACAGATCAGGTCTCACATTGTTTAAACATTTTCTTTGATAAAGCAAAAAGGTAAGGTGTGGCATTGAGGTGATCAGCCTGTAGCGCTGCCTCCCATTTTTTTTAAGTAAATAAGTAATATAATAGTCTGCGTTTAAAATTAAAGTACATGAAATGATACTCAGCATATCCATTTGATAGCAGTAGTGGTTCTGTGAGCAGGTGCTAAGTCCTGTTACATAAGTTAACCAACATCTTCCTTAAAGCTTCACTGCAGTTTGAAGTATTAAGGTCTCTAAGATCCTCCAGGTAGACTTTAAGGTGCACCAACTCTGGACTTGATAAAACACAGTATATCAACAGCAGCGGAAGGCATGGCACCCCTGATCATCACAAAGTGTGGAAACATCCCACTGGACTTTGAGCACCTGGGCCTTGGGCCTCTCTGATCTTCCTCCATACTCTGGAACCTTGACATAATATCGATATTTATTTTTTATTTACCTTTATCATTGTAACTTCCTATAATCGCTCAAATTTACCCCAATGAGAAATCAAGAAGGATCATGTTCTCCTATGATTTCTTGACCATATTTGTCTGTAAAACAGATACTGAGCAGTTCCCTCATCAAATCAAGATATGTCAGTGTAATCTGTAAACAGCAAATTTAACTTTCTTTTTTTTGGAAAAAAATCAAAAGTGCAAAAGTAGCCAAAAACCTGACTTCACCGTAGATCAAACAAAAGACTTTTATTTTGACAGGTATAACCGGAAATCAACCGAAACTATTCTGCCTTTCTACCAGGCTCACACGAGGGGGGTTCGGAAGGGTGCAGCCAGCGAGTGCGAGGAGGCGAGGCGAAGAGTGGGCGTGGTCAGAATGCGAGTAATTTGACTGGCACCCTTGTGGGCGGGGCTTCTGCCTGGACATTGAATGAAGCTCCAATTAAATTAAAAGAAATACAGAGATGCTGGTGACATTATAAAACTTCAACCAATCAGAGAGCAGTGTACTTAATGAAGTACAGCCAGGTGATCCAATTATTGCCCCATTCATCATGAATGGAAGCTGCTGCCGGGTTCTTTAGATGAGAGTTGATTTTTCTGCTAGAATTACAGTCATAAAAACGATGAACTACTATTGGAAAAAAATAGGATAAAATTGTTGTTTATATTCAGTGTTTATATGTGTGTCTGGAAACACACATTTTTAAACATCCATGTATGTGCACATGCAGTGTCAGCAGGACCATAGCCTCCCAGGAGGTTTACAGCCCATTCTTATTCTTTCTTTCAGGAACAGATGACCCCCCTCCTACACACACAAACACACACACGCACACAGGCACACACACTTCTGCATGCATTAGCATTGTCCCCTTCTCTCCATCCTCCCTCCATCCCTTTCTTCAGCCCTTGTCTCCTCCCTCCCTCCCTCTCCAGCCTCCCATTGGACCATCTGTCAAACTCTTGTCAGGGTACTAGCCCAGCTGCGACCAGCTTACGTGTGTATGAGTGTGTGTTTATGTGTTAGTGAGGGGGGTTAACTTTCACTACATGCACTTTTCAAATCCATTACCAGGGGCTGGTTAACTCATCCTGCTTCACTGTGTTTCTATCAAATTATATTGGAGCCATAGTTCACACATATAATATTGTTTGCATTCTCTGCTTATTTTTCTCTATTAAAGTAAACAGAAATAACATCATTAGGGGACCTGCCTCCAAAAATGTATTTTTTGCATTTTTGTGTGTCAGATTAGGTCCATATTATGTTCGTCTTATGTTGTAAATGTGAAAATAAACTGTTACATCTTTTGCATTCTGTAAGGATTTAAAATAAAGAAACGGGTAAACCAGGCCTATTGAAAAAGCAGCTCATTCTGACGTCAAGCTGACCTTGCTCATTATTATTCATGAGCGCGCCCTCAGTGAGCCGCGCCCACTCTCTTGTTCTTGTACTCAGTCAGTCATCACTACTCTCCAGCCAGAGCGAGACCCAGCTACCACTGTATCTGCTATGGGTCTCTTCCAAATGACCAGGGTTTCCTTGGGTTCACTGCTGGGAAAATGAGCTTAAATCTGGGCAGAATGAATGAGAAAACACCGCTGGAGCACAGAAATTAGTTCTTTTGCTCTCCGGCTTCTTCTGCAACTTTCACCTCCTTCGGACGCGGACTCAGGGTCAAAAATATATGGTTTAGTACCTGCCATTTTTAGCCTTTAGGATAAGGTGACCAGATGTCCCCGATTTCCGGGGACAGTCCCCGAGTTGGATGACCTGTCCCCAGCAAAAGCTGTCCCCGAAAATGTCCCCGATTTAAGCGTTTCATGAATGAGAACAAAAATGTTGCGTGTGGGCTCGAACAACGGTTATTACAGTAGCAGAATGGGTAGGAAGCACAAGTAAGCAGTCTTGAACTACAGTGTTTTCAGGGGTTATTACAAGGGGCATGCGCTGCTACTAAATAGTACTGAGATGTTGTCTGTGATCACAAAGCCCCTGCACCCCACCACCGCCGCACCGAATGTCCCCGGATTTAATTACAGATATCTGGTCACCTTACTTTAGCACGCATTAGCAAAATATATAAACCAAAATCCGAACCTCTACTGCTGAGCCAATCAGAGCAAGTCAGGCTTCACAGCAGCGATCCAAAAAGAGTCTCAGTACTGGGGTTCCCCCTAAATCCTGATTTGCACTCTAAAATGCTGTTTGTATTGAAACGATCGTATTTAAATATAAAGATTGCTCTTCTATTTTTTTTTTTTTTTGTGCCAAATACCCACTTTAGGGTGTTTTTGTTTTTTCTGTTTTCTTTTTCAGAGTTTTTTGTTTTAAAGGTTTTTTGCCCATTTTAAGGTCTGTTTTTTTTTGTTTTTTTTTCTTGCCTGGCACCAATGTCTGGATGAGCTACTCTTAGTCTGGTCCCTCCCCCACGACCTGTTTGCCTTGGGTGACCCTTCAGAGGCATAAAGCCCCTGACAACATAGCTCCTGGGATCATTGGGACACACAAACCCCTCCACCACGGTAAGGTGGTAGCTCGAGGAGGGGAAAAAAACCCTCCCATGGGGGAGGGAAAAACCATAAGGGTTTTTTTTTGGTTTTAAAGGTTCAATCATTTACTTGTTGAAGAACAAGTTTTTCCAAGATTTTACTTAAAAAATGGTAAGTTGGATGGTTCCACAACAGGGGACCATAAAAACTGAACGCTGCCTCCCCGTGTGTTTTTGTTTCTGACTTTGGGTAAGGTTAAAAGGCCTGTGCCGGAGGACCTCAGGGTCTGCGAGGGTTGATTTGGTAAAAGTACATCAGATAAAAAAGAAGGGCCAAGTCCATTAATACATCTAAAAACTAATAAAAGAACCTTACAATCAACCCTGAAACGGACCTAAAACGGAGTGGCGATCAGTGAGATAAGAGGTGAACCAGTTAAAAACAGTGCCTGAGAGGCCGACCAGGTGCTGAAGTCTATTTAATAAACTGTCATGGTCTGCTGCATCAAAGGCGGCGGCGGTTAGATCCAGCAGGACCAAGACTGTGAGGTTGCCATTATCAAAACTGCACCTGATGTCATTCAAAATTTTTAAAAGGGCTGTCTCAGTACTGGGGTTCCCCCTAAATCCTGATTTGCACTCTAAAATGCTGTTTGTATTTAAACGATCGTATTTAAATACAAAGATTGCTCTTCTATTTTTTTTTTTTGTGCCAAACACCCCCTTTAGGGTGTTTTTGTTTTTTTTTTTGTTTTCTTTTTCAGAGTTTTTTTGTTTTAAAGGTTTTATGCCCATTTTAAGGTCTGTTTTTTTTGGGGGGGTTTTTTCTCGCCTGGCACCTTTGTCTGGATGAGCTACTCTTAGTCTGGTCCCTCCCCCACGACCTGTTTGCCTTGGGTGACCCTTCAGAGGCATAAAGCCCCTGACAACATAGCTCCTGGGATCATTGGGACACACAAACCCCTCCACCACGGTAAGGTGGTAGCTCGAGGAGGGGAAAAAAACCCTCCCATGGGGGAGGGAAAAACCATAAGGGTTTTTTTTTTTAAAAGGTTCAATCATTTACTTGTTGAAGAACAAGTTTTTCCAAGATTTTACTTAAAAAATGGTAAGTTGGATGGTTCCACAACCGGGGACCATAAAAACTGAACGCCGCCTCCCCGTGTGTTTTTGTTTCTGACTTTGGGTAAGGTTAAAAGGCCAGTGCCGGAGGACCTCAGGGTCTGCGAGGGTTGATTTGGTAAAAGTACATCAGATAAAAAAGAAGGGCCAAGTCCATTAATACATCTAAAAACTAATAAAAGAACCTTACAATCAACCCTGAAACGGAGTGGCGATCAGTGAGATAAGAGGTGAACCAGTTAAAAACAGTGCCTGAGAGGCCGACCAGGTGCTGAAGTCTATTTAATAAAATGTCATGGTCTGCTGCATCAAAGGCGGCGGCGGTTAGATCCAGCAGGACCAAGACTTAGTGCTGGACGATAATTCGATAACAATATATATCGATCGATAGACGTGTGGTGCGATAGAAAAAAAATGGGTCAATAAAAAGTTCGATAGAAAAACACAGTTTCCCTTTCTTTTTCATCATAGCCTATCATGTAGCTTTTACTACAGTCATTACTTCCTCCCAACCAATCACAAACGCAGACCCAGGTAGGCTACGGCACCAAGCCCAGCCCCTATCAAACCACAACAGACAGCACGTGTATTAGAAAAAATGATACAGCAAGGAGAAACGGAGGACATTGTCCCGAAAAAAGGTTTCAGTAGTTCACCAGCATGGTAATGTTTTGGTTTTTAGAAGTCTGACAAAAAGCGAACAGCGGTCGTTTGCAAAATTTGCAGAGAATTAGGAAAAACCAAGTCTGGTAACACAACCAGCTTGTTTTACCATCTAAACCGATCGCACCCGCAGGAGTACGAGCTGTGTTGGCCGCGCCGCGGCTCCACGTCATCTTCGGAGGAATCCTCTGGAACCGCTGCCAGCACCAGCACAAAGCAAGTGAAGCAGACCAAACTGGACTTCGTTTCTTGCCAAAATACGACAAAGCGTCCGAGCGGTATAAGGACATCACCCATGCAGTAACATGCTCCATAGCGAGGGACATACTGCCAATAACTACCGTTGAAAAGCCTGGCTTCGACCAGCTTCTAGCCACTCTCGACCCGCGATATGAAGTGCCCGGCCGCAAGTATTTCTCAAACACAGCGCTTCAGGCATGAAAATGGGTCAGGAGTTGAAAAGGTGAGTGTTGTGCCATAGAATGCACCCCTGCATCCCGTCAACTCATTAGCTTCTTAAAGTGGAAGAAAATGAGCTCATATTTTACAAAGACGCGAGTATTTGGATCATGGCTACTAGCAGGGGGTGCATTCGGCAGGGGTGCATTCTACGACACAACACCGGCGTGGATAAGTCCTGCTTCTCGTGCTTAGTTTGTGTATTAAGTCAATCACATGATAATTAAAAAAAATAAATCTCCCCGGGAGAAATATTTCAGTGTTCAGACACCAGGCTGTGGGCAGTTTCCCACACAGTTAAAACTGGTAGTATGCTATTCCCACCTAAAGCTATTCTGTTTATTTATATATTTGTTTGTTTCGTTTATTTTCATCAAAAGACTATTTAAATATTTATTTATCAGATTTTCTGGTCACTTTAGTCTTTATGTTTGTCAGTATTTACTGACCTCACTCAGGCCACTTAAGTTGATTTCTTTTTTTTTTAGTTCTTTTTTAAAAAAATTTCAGTTGTGGTAAAATAAAAAAGGTGGTTGAATAAAGGTTTGAATTTGAATTCAGTGCTTGTGTTTTCTTTATTAAAAGTAGGTCATTAAGCAATAGCATAAAACATCCAGGGCTGCAATTAAAATATATGTTAAAAAATTATAATAATTATATCGATAATTATCGATATCGATCAATATGATTTATTTTTTATCGATATGCTTTTTTTCTATATCGTCCAGGCCTACCAAGACTGTGAGGTTGCCATTATCAAAACTGCACCTGATGTCATTCAAAATTTTTAAAAGGGCTGTCTCAGTACTGGGGTTCCCCCTAAATCCTGATTTGCACTCTAAAATGCTGTTTGTATTTAAAAGATCGTATTTAAATACAAAGATTGCTCTTCTATTTTTTTTTTTTTTTGTGCCAAACACCCCCTTTAGGGTGTTTTTGTTTTTTTTGTTTTCTTTTTCAGAGTTTTTTGTTTTAAAGGTTTTTTGCCCATTTTAAGGTCTGTTTTTTTTTTTTTTTTTGTTTTTCTCGCCTGGCACCTTTGTCTGGATGAGCTACTCTTAGTCTGGTCCCTCCCCCACGACCTGTTTGCCTTGGGTGACCCTTCAGAGGCATAAAGCCCCTGACAACATAGCTCCTGGGATCATTGGGACACACAAACCCCTCCACCACGGTAAGGTGGTAGCTCGAGGAGGGGAAAAAAACCCTCCCATGGGGGAGGGAAAAACCATAAGGGTTTTTTTTTTGTTTTAAAGGTTCAATCATTTACTTGTTGAAGAACAAGTTTTTCCAAGATTTTACTTAAAAAATGGTAAGTTAGATGGTTCCACAACCGGGGACCATAAAAACTGAACGCCGCCTCCCCGTGGGTTTTTGTTTCTGACTTTGGGTAAGGTTAAAAGGCCTGTGCCGGAGGACCTCAGGGTCTGCGAGGGTTGATTTGGTAAAAGTACATCAGATAAAAAAGAAGGGCCAAGTCCATTAATACATCTAAAAACTAATAAAAGAACCTTACAATCAACCCTGAAACGGACCTGAAACGGAGTGGCGATCAGTGAGATAAGAGGTGAACCAGTTAAAAACAGTGCCTGAGAGGCCGACCAGGTGCTGAAGTCTATTTAATAAAATGTCATGGTCTGCTGCATCAAAGGCGGCGGCGGTTAGATCCAGCAGGACCAAGACTGTGAGGTTGCCATTATCAAAACTGCACCTGATGTCATTCAAAATTTTTAAAAGGGCTGTCTCAGTACTGGGGTTCCCCCTAAATCCTGATTTGCACTCTAAAATGCTGTTTGTATTTAAAAGATCGTATTTAAATACAAAGATTGCTCTTCTATTTTTTTTTTTTTTGTGCCAAACACCCCCTTTAGGGTGTTTTTGTTTTTTTTGTTTTCTTTTTCAGAGTTTTTTGTTTTAAAGTTTTTTGCCCATTTTAAGGTCTGTTTTTTTTTGTTTTTTTTTTTCTGCCTGGCACCTTTGTCTGGATGAGCTACTCTTAGTCTGGTCCCTCCCCCACGACCTGTTTGCCTTGGGTGACCCTTCAGAGGCATAAAGCCCCTGACAACATAGCTCCTGGGATCATTGGGACACACAAACCCCTCCACCACGGTAAGGTGGTAGCTCGAGGAGGGGAAAAAAACCCTCCCATGGGGGAGGGAAAAACCATAAGGGTTTTTTTTTGTTTTAAAGGTTCAATCATTTACTTGTTGAAGAACAAGTTTTTCCAAGATTTTACTTAAAAAATGGTAAGTTGGATGGTTCCACAACCGGGGACCATAAAAACTGAACGCCGCCTCCCCGTGTGTTTTTGTTTCTGACTTTGGGTAAGGTTAAAAGGCCTGTGCCGGAGGACCTCAGGGTCTGCGAGGGT